CTGCTTTTATCTGGCTCCCTGTCACATGAAGCATTGTTTCTGTCCTTTGACTTTCAGTGTATGAATTTCTTTTTGAGTTAATATGTTTCTTATATGTCGCATATTGATTGATCTTGTTTTGTGATTCATTCTGCCTGTTTTTCTATTTATTGGTGAATTGAGGCCATCTACATTAATGGCTTTGGCCAACATATACTGGCTCATCCCTTCCATGCTTTTTTCCTGACATTGGGTGCCTACTTTTCTCCTTCAATTGTCTGCCCCCCTCAGTGATCACACTCTGCCATTGTTCCTGGAATGGTCATTTTTCTCTCTCTCTAGAATATACTTCAGTACTCTTGGTAAGGTTGGTTTGGTGGTCATAAATTCCTTCAGTTGTTCTTTATCATGAAAGCATTTTATTTTTCCATTAATTTTGAAAGATAGTTTTGCTGAGTACACCAATCTGGATTGGAAGTTGTTTTCTTTCTGGATTCAAAATATTTCATTCCAAGCTCTTTTGAGTTGATGGTTTGGGTTGAAAAGTCTGACATGATTCTGATAGGTTTTCCTTTACAAGTGATCTGCTTCTTTTCTCTAAGAGCCTTTATTATTCTGTTCTTGTATTGAATTTCTGGAATCCTGATTATTATATTCCAGGTGTTGATTTATTTTGGTTTTGGCTAGTTGGAGTTCCACATGCTTCATTTATCTGTATATTAGGTCCTTACAGTATGTTTGGGAAGTTCTTAAATATTACTTCTATAAATAGTCGCTTTATGTCATTTGTGTTGACTCCTGCTTTTTCACTGACACATATCACTCTTAAATTCTTTTTCTCTGTATTTTCTCACCGCATTCAATATTTATTTCATGGCTCCTTATTGTTTTTAAGAGATCTTCCCTTCCATGATCGCTAGGGGCCATCCTGTCTTCAAAGTATGAAAGTCTATCTTCTAAGCGGTAATGCTAGCTTTCAATAGAGTTTTGAATTTCCTGGATATCTCTTTGAGTCTGTTTCATGCATTCCAATTTTCTATGTTGTTCATTCAATACGCACCTTTTAAAAATAAATCTATGTCTTCTTTTATTATGTGTGTCATTTCTTCTTTTATCTGAGATACTATTTATGATCTGATTTCTTTTACAGCTTCACAAAGTGGTTTCTTTACTTCAGTTGCCATCATTCCAGACATTCCAGGTGTGTCACTTCCACTTTCTTCTATGTCCGTGTCTCCTGGACTTGTTCTGTTTAGGTTAAAGGCAAGAGATTGCCTTTGTTCCTTTGTCTTGAAATTTTCCTGGGTTCCTTCAGATGAGTGGGTTGTAGGGTCCCAGGCACTTCCTGTGTTGGCCACCTGTCCACAGTGTAAGGGATGGGTTAGGCACTTGGGTTTCTCCTAGTCCAGGTTCATAGGGAGGTGGTGGGGTGCAGGGGGGACTTCTCCAGACAATCACGGCTTCTCCAGGACATGGTTGGCTCGTTCTCTTGGCTCACATTGGCTTCAGGTCCCTGGCTGTAATGGTGGCCAGTAGGTTTGTAGGTCCTAGGCTTGCTGTTTCTTCTACCCACCCATGCTAGTTACCCTGGAGAGTCCTGATGGTGCATGAGCATGGAGGCTTTATCTTCTCCTACTCTTTGCTGACTACACAGGGGAGAGTCCTGATGGTGGCTGGTGTTCATGCATAGGCTGGGCTGGCTGCTTCTCCCAGCAATTTTCTGTTTTGCTGAAGGGGAGAAAGAGCTTTGCTGGGGATTGAACCCAGGGCCTTTCACATGCCAGGCAAGTAATCTATCACTGAGCTACATCCTCGGCCCAGTAAGAGTTTTTCCATAATTTATGCTGGCATTATTTATTTCTGTCATGTGGTTTATATTCATAATTTCTATAAACAATGACAGCATGAATCTTTATGGCATAGGAAGACAAGCATAACTAAATATTATAATATAAAATCATAAATTTAAAGCAATACAAGAAACTAGAGAGAGATCACATAGTCAAAAATTTTTATAAAAAGAGGTTCAGTTCTCATTATCAGATTACCATAATTCCTAGCCTCCAGATATTTAATGTAAAATTTACTTTTACCATGAGTTGTCCTTAAAGAACAAAAAAGAAATGAAAGTAGCTTTGCTGAGCACATGAGTGTGCACAAAATCGTGCTGTCCTTTTATTTTGATTCATTTCTATATATGTAAAAATTTTATTTTTACATCTATTCCTTAGCATAAGATACTTAATTATACTAATACTAAATATACATTACTCTGTACTTCTTTTTTTTTTTTGTCTTTTTCATTTTTTTTTTTTTTATCGGTACTGGGGATCGAACTCACGACCGCCTGCTTGCAAGGCAGGTGCTTATGCCGCTGAGCTAAATCCCCAGCCCCCTACTCTGTACTTCTTTGCAAGAGGAAGACACAAAACTACCATTGTTTGCACCATCCATTATTTCTAGCATAGTCAATTTATATAGAGGGAAACATTTAGGTTTTTGTTTTGTTTTGTATTTTGGCACAGTATGTGCTAAGAAATTTCAATTTGAGATTCTTAATTTAAAGGACACTAAAAGTGACAACATGACAAAAAGTATACAGAAAAAATGAAAGATGGTACTATGCAAAAAAAAAAAAAGAAGATTTCTCATGTATTTTCCTTTAGAACTTTGTAGGTATGGGTTGTTGATTCCAAAACAATCAAGGGCTCAAATTAGCACCTATCTCTCATTGGTAAGACAGAAGTAGGAAGAATCGAGTGGGCTTGGGAAACCTTAACAGCAGAGAGAGGGTCCAAGGCTGTTTTTCCAGGAGGCTACTCTAAGAATAGAGAAAACCAGAGCGAATTTTTGGTGCAACCATCATGAGGGAACCAACATTCAGCCAGAGTTATGGCCTGCAAGGAGTTTTGGGCTTCCACTGATGATCATTCATTGAAAAACTGTGTTCTTTTTTAGTCAGCAAGAGCACTAGATCAAAGTTCTGCCTTACTATAATTCTGTATTTACAGTGGTATGGACAGTGACTAGGAGAGGGAAGATTAAGCTAGAATGAAAAGATATTTTAGCAAAATTCAGATTCCATGAAATTACCTCGGGAATGTCTGATAAGATGTACATATATTAAACAGACAGCCACTTGTCCCAAAGCCAATCTTTGCATACTGGAGAGTTACATACGTAACTCATAGGAACAGCACAGAGGCAGGCTCTACGTACCACTTTCTCTTTCTGTCTGAATTCTACACAGTGATAAAAGAACACAGCACACTGAGCCAGAATCTTGTCAACAGGAAGCCCAGGGAATTGAGACATACTGTCTGGCACCAGCATGGCATATTCATGTAGGGATTATGCAGTGAACATTTCCCAGCATCTGCTGTCTGCTTCTGCACATGCAAACAGGAGGGTGAGGGAGACAAAGTACTTGGCCCCAGCAGGGAGCAGCAGAGGAGGCCAGGAAGCCTGCTTTCCCACACAGTGATGTATTGCTATGGAGCATCGCAACGTGTTGGGAACTAGTGAGGATTTGTGCTGTTATATTTAGTTTTATAATTTTTCTTTGAATGTTATCATCTACACTAGCATCTGTCCTTTTTAATCAAGGTTAAATCTAGCAGTATAATGGTTTATTCATACCTCTGCATAAACAGGTCTTTATTAATGCTTTCTTGTTCAGGAGCCTGAACAGAGTTTTTCACAATTAGTAATTCTCATGTATTCTTTTAATTCATGTACTCAACAAATATTATGGACTGCTGACTGTGTGGATAGGCTCTAACTAGAGATGGCATAAGATACCAAAAGGCAAACAAGTAAAAAACTTCCTGTACTGCAAATAGGGGAATCCAGACAATACAACATAAAACACAGCAGTCCCCATTATCTACAGAGAACATGCTCTAAGTGTCCTCCATGGAGACCAAATTAGCACCAAAGTCTACAAATATGTTCATACCTATACATGCACGTCTATGATAATGCTTAATAATTTAGGTACAGTAAAACATTTTTGAAATAACTAATAATAAAATAGAATAATCCTAAAAACAATAAAAGCTATATGAATGTGCTTTCTCATCTCAAATCTTTATGATACTACAGATAAATTTTCTGATTATGGTTGGTTTCCCACAGATAACTAAAACCATGGAAAATGAAACCATGACTAAGGAACTGTACAGTATTTATTAAAGAATGATTAAAACTGAGAGCTAATACCTTACTACCTTAGCACATGTATGATATAACTATATGTATTATATATATAATATTTTCTGGCAGATGAAAAGTAGGCTATCATTAAGGCTCCTACAGAGTATTTGGACTAGAGCTTATGTGGCCAGAGTGCTTTTACTTCTTATGCTATTTCCTTTTGAATTGTGTGATTTATTTTTTAATGTTATATATTATTTATATGATTAGGCAATGTTGCTTAGGTTTCTGAAAGAACACAGTAGATAATACATATTCCTCACATTTGATTATCATACTGTATAACGTGATATAAAGCTCAGGACCAGAAACTGTTTGAAATTTCCTTTTGATTCTCCTTTTCAAAGCATCAAGCTATTCTTTCCTATCCAGGAAGACTGAGAATAGTTTATATTTTGAGAAAATAAAAAGCGTCATCTTCAGGGAGAGATTCTCAGCTGGAATGAAGGATTTGTTAAATATCTTTTAAGAGCTTGTCTTTTTTGTTATACTTTCTCAACAACTTGGGGAAGATATAATTTTATAAACATAAAAGTTTCCTTGAAACAGTTTCTTAAAATGTCCAAAAGTATATCCAATGTGTAATTTTTGCTAACTAAACAAAAATGTTTAAATTAAGTCTTAATAAGCATATATTAATGTTTCTATAAATCAGGCAGTAAAAGTTTAAAACGTATAATCAACACAAGGAATGTGAAAAGATATGGAATATAAATCATAAAAAGAGATGAAATCATTATGTGATCAATTTATTTTGACATTATATAAAATGTAAAGTACATGGATAAACACTGGGGATGACATACCTTTCATATCTTTTTTCTCTAAGTCCTTCAATGCTTGGACAAATGTCAACTGACTTTCAGTGAGAGGCCAACTGTTATACAGCACCAAACACTGTATGATATACTTGTATTCCTGTGAAATCAAATGCAATTTTTAAGAGCAAATGATAAAAATAGACACAGTAGGTGTCTAATATAATTTATTGTACTAGGCACCTACAAAGTTAGACGCTTTTAAAAATTCTGTAACATCACTATCTATAAAAATTTAATATCCTTACATCCTTACATTAATATCCTTACCTGACACGATCTAAATTTCTAATTTTTTCACCTCAATGAGTACAAGGTAGTATCTCACTGCTGTCATATTTTTGTATTTCTCATATTATTAATGAGGTTGAGTATTTTTTCAAACAATATAACTGCACCTATGTTATAGGGTTAGCGTACAGATTAAATCTACCATATATTTAAAGATATTGACATAGAGAAACTGTTCACAAATTCTCATTCTTCAAATCTGAATACCATTATGGTGATATTGCATGCAGAAAGTATTACACATTGACAATTTTTAGAGGATTATTTTATGGCAGATTTTTATGAACAGCCCAACTGAGCAGTTTTTCTAATGCTACTATACCTGCTGGGGCATGGCAGAATTCTCTTCTGTAGTGGGGAGCACAGTGATTACTTCGTCTTCCAACAGAGGCAGGGCACTGTCTACTAACACACTTCCGCGTCTACTCTTGTAGGGTTTTTGACTTCCTGGAGCAGATTTCTTCTTAGTATATACTTCTGACTCTTTCTTGGGTGGACTATGATATGGAAGAACTTTCTTGTTAGCTAAATAAGGAAAATATTAAATTAGTGTGTGTGGCATGCAATTTATTGCTGATTAAATTATTTTATAATATATTCAAAGGGATGTTTATTTGAACAAGATTAAAAAACAAAATCATCACCGGATTCTTTGAAATATTCTATTTTTAAAGAAATCAACTCTGAATTATGTGACCTACATAGAGCAGTACACATTTTGAACGAGCATTCATGGCTAAAAGCATACACAACATTTGAATAACACCACAATCCATGCACATGATTTTTCTCATGTATTATATGCATTCATGTTATCACATTTATCAAAGGATTTACTTTAATCTTTAATTTTATATGCATTATTTTATAATTAAAAGGTACTATAAGTACAGCTTGGATGCATAAAGTATAAATATGTTAAATCTTATTAATTACTAAATATGTAAGGAGGTAACATACGTGAACGACACAGGAAATTCTAGTTCCAGCCATAACAGAGTCATTTGCACTGGACATATTGTCCCATCAAAACATTATAAAATTAAACAGAATGTGTAAAGCAAGCATTTTCAGTTATTGTAGAATATATAGCCCAAGATTCTGGTTCTTGAGAGGTAGGAAACATGGAAAGTGATTTCTTCACTTTTCCAAGAAAGAAATACAAAAAGTAGAGATATGAAAATATGCTTCACTAATAAGAAGTAAAATATAAATTAATACTTTGAGCACTCATGTGGCCAAAAGTCAAAAATACTGCACAGCTCATAACAGATAAGGGAAACAGTACAAAATTTATCAATGTATGAAAAAAATCAAAACTACACACATACATACACCCAAAAATTCTACTTCTTGCATTTATCCAATACATATGCATACATGAATTTAGAAACTCACACATTGTTTTTTAAGATTCTTCATGATCTGTGAAACAATATATTGAAATTATTGCAGATATGAAAGTTGGAGCCTGAGATAACCATGTGAAATAAAATCTTTTACTTTCCCTAGGCCATAGTACTAACTCAAACGCTCAAATTTTATAGAAAATCACAAATTTTAAAGTAACCCTACAGCATGAGTATTGGTATAATATTTTATTCTTGAAACTCATGATATTCTGTAAAGTCCCATAATACAATACAAGATGTAAATAAGTCCATATTTAATGTTTTGTTACTGGAATCTACATTTTTGAAATGGAGTTTATCCCTCGGTGTTTATTCATATGCATTGCCATATCCTGTACACACACATTCACATGCACACACACCACCACCACCACATTTTGCATGTATTTTCGTGGTTGTATTCCAGAAACATATATTGTAAAAGATTTCAATAGATATGTTTCCAAGAGAAGCAACTGTAAAAAGTAATTTCACTGATGTATCTGCTTGTATAACTCACAAACATAAATGAGTAGTATCTGTTCAAAATCTAAATTTCCTGTTTGAAAACTACATAAAAAAATATCCAATTCACAATACATCTCTATCACTCCAAGCGAAGAAATTTTTTTGTAAAATAAAAATTTTTCGGTAAAATGTAAAAGTAATATATAAATAAAAATGCAACTGCAAATAAAATTCAATTGTGTAAAGGTGTAAGTTTACCTTATCTATATATTCAAGGCAGCCAGAGGAAAAATAATTACAGATTTTTGTTGGGATGAACTTGAAATTCATTTAGAAAATGCAACTATACAAATAGAATCATCTTGTAAAAGCAGACCCGTCACAGATGTTGGGTTTGTTTTGATCAATTTCAGTCATCCTTTTACTCAATTTTACTACCTCTTTCTCATAAAGTTAAGCCACGTTAAGTTAAGCCAACTCATAAGGTTGGCTTAAAACCATTAGATGTAACCTTTATTTTAAATGATTACATTTTGAAGTAAAATAATGATAAACTGTATGACCTTTGGGTCATAAGCAGCGTTTATTTTCATGAAGTTCTACCTAAACATTAAGATAAATGCTGGTCAAACAAGTGATTTAAGGAGAAGGAATGAGATGAGAATTGGGAGAGCTGCACGTAGATGCCCGCTAAGCTTTTGAAATTAAGGCATCCTTCTACGAAGTAAATTATAAAACTGACATGAAATGCAATTAAAACTAAGCTCATCAATTCTCTGGTTTATGTAAGTGGAGCGAGGGCAGGTTTGGATGAGAAACTATCAAGTATTAATGTGTTCTCATTATTGGGAACAATGCAGAGGAATATTCATGAACAAAATGTAAATGATGGGGTAAATGACAACATATGCAAAAGAACAGCTCAGTCTTACTAAAAGCATCTGGGATGTTTCCTGTTCTCTGTGCCTTACATTCTACATTTATTTCCTATTTATATCATTTCTGTGTTGTGTCTTCTCAATTCCATGTTCCTCCAAGTCTTATTCCTATTGGAAAGGCATATCCCTGGATGGCTATTTTGTTGTTGTTGTTCTGGGGATCAAACTCAGGACCTTGTAGTTGCCAGGAACGTGCTTATGCCACTGAACTAAATTTCTGGCCCCCTTGGATGGGAATGACAATTCACACATTGTTATTAGAATGAATAGCAAAAGGCTAGACAGAATATATTTGGAGATTGTTTTTAAAACATAATTGTAAAAATTAAATCATATGCCAATGAACAATATAACAGTACTATATATAAAATTGTATAGCAGCCTGAGCTCTACAAAAGTATACTACAAAGTATACATACAAAACTATATACCACTGAATATACTTTTTAAAAACAAGATGTAATTTTTGAATTAAAATGTCAACTGGTAAAAGAAAAAAAATTTGCATAAATTTTTAAAATACAGAAATGTTTTTTAAAAATAAGTACGAATATTAATAACTAGATTATAAACATAAAAGAGTAATTAGAAATTGAATAATAAATCCAGCAGGTCATTCTAAGAAAACATAGATAACACTGAAAAATCCCAGAAATACCTGCTCAAGAATAAATTTTTAAGTACAAATAAATAACAACATTCAATAATGATTATGGAAGCACTGAGATTTTTAAATTATAAAACAATCTTTACACGCAAATTTATGCAGATATATTTGAAACACTAGATGGCTCTGACACTTGTAAATAAAAAATACATATTATAAAAATGAAAAAGTTTGGAAAATAACTTTAGAAATTATTTTTAAAATTATTAAGAAAACAAAGGTCTATCCTCTGAAAACTTTAGACTTAAGAGTTTTGAGACCCAACCTAATAAAATTTTTAAAAATTAATGATTTCTCAAGTTTTAAGTGATTTTCGAAAGTAGAAAAACTAGGAAGTTCCTAAAGTACTTTAATAGCTTCTTATATGTCTGTTTGTTTGTTTGTTTGAGACAGGATCTCACTGTATAGTTCAAACTGGTCTTGAACTCACTTATGTAGCCCTGGTTGGCCACTAACTTGGAGTGATCCTCTTTCCTCAGCCTCCCCACCTCTGAGATTACAGGCATGTACCCCACACCTGGTGTTTCCCTTAATTTTAACTAGGGAAGTGGAAAAGATCAATGTACAGATACAAATGTAGAGGAAAAACACATCCATGAAGGTATGAATTTAGGAATATGATCCAACAAACTAAATAAAATCATATATTCTAAACATGAAACCATGGTGGCCAAAGAAGCTTTATTTCAAAAATACAAAAGTGATTAAGACTATAAAGTAAACTTATGCAATTTAATTGGCTAGAAGTTGATGATTTATAAAAGCAATAATGTATAAGGTTCTAAACCTATTCCATACTAAAATTCTCAGCTATAAGTAGAACTTTCTCAAATTTCATAAAAGTCAATTATTAGTAAGCCACCAACAAATATACTTAATGGTAAATGCTACAAGCTCTTCTATTTCAAAAACATAAATATAACCTCATCAGTTTTATTTAACACTATTTAAGGATCATAATCAACATACAAAGGAGAAAAGCTACAATTTTATTAAGAAAAATTTCAGCAAAATATGCAAAGTTCTCATCAAGCTTAAAATGTAAATGCAAAGATGATGAATAGGTATAAGAATTATACTTTAATAGAATTTTTGGTTAAAAATTATATTTTTCCATATAATTATGAGATTCCTGTTCCTTAGTCTATAATTTTTCCAAATGTTCTGCATTGATCATGATTTTAAAGTTAGAATCAAGTTAAAATAAACAATATACTTCACAATATAATTGTTAATTATTTTACAAATAACTCACCTAATTTATTGAGATTATATTGAAAATAGAAACTGTAAAGTCCATTAATTTCACTAAGTAGAGCATTTTCTAAAAACAAGGAATTAGGAATAAAAGTAAAAAATTATTTCAAAGTAATAAAAATTGTACTTCTTGGTTAGAAGGTCCATGTAATAAGAAAGCAAATTTTCCCACAAAGTAAAATCTTTAGAGCCTAATTTCACATGCTGTTATATTGAGGTGACTGGCGTCAAACACAGTGTTTCTTATATTTTTCTGTAAAATTAATTTAAATGGTCACTTGCTATTTTAACTTAAAACATTTTAAAATGTCACAAAGTAAGTGTTTATTTATTAATCCAAATACCCAACTCAAGAAGACACACTTACACTGGAAACTCACAGATTTCTCATTCCCCAAGAAAGTAAACGCTGGGATTATAGCTTGGCCTTTTCCAGTGGAGCTCACCATAGTTTCTTCGTTTTCTAGCACCTGCAGCTTGATGAAAGCATCTGGCTTGGATGTGCGCACTTGTATTGTAATAGGTTGTACTAATGCCACTTTAACAGAGTACCTAGTAAGAAAAGAATCTAACTTTATAAGCAAGCACATCGGGCTTTCCATCAAGTAAAGAAAATGGTATAATTTTCTCGCATGATGATCTAAAAATAAAGCCATTTCATAAAGTCCACATGTATTCAAGAAATAGTAGAGCTACTGGAGACTTTGGCCAAGTATCCAAAAGACAGACAAACAAAATGTTAACGTGTTTTTATCACCATCAGATCCCAAGCACAAAAAAAAAAAAAAATTCCTTTGTTTCTAAGATCTGATAAGCAGTCATGAAATTTGACAGAACTAAAAGCCTTCATATTTACTAGATCTGTAAACTACACGCCATCTCCTTCATGACCCTTACCTTTGTAGTTAGTCAAAGAGCACAGAGGACTGTTGCAGAATTTAAAGATAGAGAGATCAATGGAGAAACAGGAGGACTTTATTAGGGGTACACCTGGCTCAGTGGGTGGGACACCTGTCCAAATGGCTGAGCATAAACAAAGGAAAGGTTCCAGGTTTTATACATGGTAAGAGGTGTCAGCCTGCTTAGTGACATGTGAACAGGTAAGGTTACAGACAAAGGCTGTTATTCATGTAATGACAGCTTTGTAAACAGAACCTTTGAACCTCGTGAGGACAGGAAGGTGTTATAAACCTGGATGTTGGATGTCATGAGGTGCTACAGGACTCTTTCTTCAGGGCCATAACTGTCATTCCTAATCAGGAACAGAGCAGAAGTCAGTCCTCAAGGAAAACAGATGCTGGTGAGAATGGGCTGCCGCAGGACTCTGTTTACAGGAATGTAGTTGTTAAACTTCTCTGTAACCTCACAGAGCCATGTACTTTCAGGGAGGGAGTTCGAGGGAGAGTTTTGGTTTTCTTCTGAGTTCTGCATTAGGCATAAGCAGAATCCTTGCAAGATCCTCTCTTAACAGTATTTTCATTCTATCAAAATATAGAGAGAAAGTAAAATAATACAGCCTCTATCTCACCCTTTATTTTACAAATTGGAAACCTTTGGCAAGAAAGCCAAAAACCCACAGTCTAACCCATCCTTCCCAACTCCCACCCTAGGGAGGAGAAAGTATGTTTCATTTATGGTTTTTTGTTTGTCTGTTTGTTTTGTTTTGTTTTATGTGGGGTTTTTTCCCTCCATATTTTATAGTGTTTCAATGCAAATGCTAAGGACTCAATGTTTCAGTCTCTAGAAATGCGTCCTTCTCAGGATCTTTTCTCCCTTGCATCATAAAATATCCTCCTGTTTTTATCTGTGTTACAATAGTGATTGAATTGGTAATAAAGAATAGGCATGTAGGTGAATAAGGGAGACACTATAGTATAAAAAAGAAAATACAATAGAGCGATGGATTCCAGAAACACAAGTTTTACAAACCAAGCACAACGCTGGTGTGAAGGCATGCAAGGGCGTTGAGAGCAGAGGAGGGCAAAGAGACGAAAGGCATGTCAGAATTAGAATCCACACAACCAGTTTATGAAAGAGAACACAGTCCATGCTGAGACTACTCAGGGAGAGTATAGAGGAGCATAAAAATAAGGTCCCCTTGACAGATGAAAAAAAGTTGCACCAGAATCTGCTCAAAGTCAGATCAAAACGAGGAGAAAGTAATGAGGAGGAAGTGTTGAGAATAACGTCTAATGAAAGTCAAGATGGAGTCCAAACAAATATCTTTATCATTATATTCATCCGTGTACTCACGTAACTCCAAATTATTTCCAAAAGAGTACAGAAATTGAAATTCAGAACTGACTCTGGATTTTGTTGCCAAATTTGTTTAACCTGATATATTACTGTCTTTAAAGGAATGCCCCCCGTGCCATATACCTGAATAAAATTTTCTTATCATTAGGTATGTAGTAGTCTCTGATTTCCTTTATGGAGAAGGTGTTGCATGGAGTTTCTCGGGAGAGGAATGGAAGCGGGGTGTAAGGGCCAATGAGGCGCAGTTTCCATTGTGAGGCCGGCACAAACATGTCACCACTAAATGCTTCTGCCACGAACGTGTATCCCTTCTGTAAAAAAGTGCAGTTACAAAGACATGAGTCACATTGTCACTAGTCTTTCTCTATTTTAATGAGTAAAAGTTTTACGATTTTGATATACCTGTGGATTCCAAGATCTCTTAATTGACATCAAACCACTAACCCTGTATTTTGAAACCCCTCTTGGAAAGCATCATCATAAATGTCTACAGGAAAATTCTTTTTCTAATTTTAAACAGAAAAAAGTACAAAATCATAATAAAACAGAATTTCAAAATAGGCTAATAGGAAAGCAACAATAACGAACACATTGCACATTGTTATATTCACAGTATTGTTCAGGGCATAAAATATAGGCATGAAGCATTGTTCAGAAAATTGCCTACACAAAATGTTCCCCTTAATGAACTCAGAGGAACTAACTCTAACTTCCTTGTGTGATTTCTGAAGTAAAAAACAAGGTGCTTAAACACAGTAAATAATTACTATGCTTTCTCTAGTTCTTCTGATGCTCCCTGTGGTAATTTTAAAATCACTGCATTATTCTGAAATAGCTCAGTAGCTTCTTTAAAAAAAGAAAAAATAGCAAAAAATGTTTCAAAATGGGCAAATAGGAGAGTACAATAATTAATATATTGCATATTGTTATCTTCTTAATAGTTACTCAGTGTAAGATATCGACATGAAATATTAGCACAGACCTTTCTTTTCAATGAACTAAGAGAAACTAGCTATATAACTATCTTAACTATCCTGTGTGTACATATATATATTTTTTCTCTTCCCTTCCTTTCTTTCCCCTTTTCCCCATCACAGTTTCTGTTTTTTATTTTTTAACAGTTTCTTCCCAGTTCACAATGCCTATTTTATATTTTGGATCTTATTTACTCATGCAGATTCTCACACTAGTGTGACAATACGGATGTTTATACATGTGGGTCTGATTTATTTCACTTAGGAGTATGGTCTCAAGTTGTTACCATTTACCTATAAAAGCCTCAACCTTATCCTTATTTATAGCTAAGTAGTCCTCCATTGTACAGAAACACCATGTTTTTTATCCATTCTGTGGTTGATGGTTACTTATTTCCACATTTAGCTATTATAAACTGTGCTGTTATAAACATGAGTGGACATATACTGCTGTGGAAAAATGTTTTTAATTCTTCAGGGAAGCTACCCAGAGGGGAAATAGTTGTGTCAAATGGGACCTGTAATAGTAGTTTTTTAAAGGCATCTCCACCCTGATTTCCACAGTGGTTGTACCAGTCTACACTCCCACCACAGTTCTTTTTTCCCCATAGTCCCTTATCTGTTACTTGTTGATTTCTCGATAATAGCCACTCTTATGGGAGTGAGAGGGAATCTCAGTGCTATTTTTTTTGCATCTCTTGAATGACTAATGATGCTGAGTATCTTTTCATGTATTTATTTTCCATTTTATTTCTTCACTTGGGAAGTATATATTCATCTCAGATGCCCATTTTTGGATTGAGTCTTTGAATTTTGAGAGCCTGATTTTTTTCAATTTTTCATCTATAAGTTCTCCCCACTCTGTGGGCTGTCTTTTCACTCTGTTGATTTCTTTTGTTGTGCAAAAGGCTTTTTATTAAGATGAGATCCCATTTGTTGATTTTTTTGTAGTATTTCTCACACAGTCTCAGTTTTATTCATGAAGTCTCTGCCTTCCTCTATGTTTTTAAGACTTCTACCTATTTTCTTTTCCAGTAAATTTAGTGTTTCTGTTTTAATATTCAGATGTTTGATACATTTTGCTTTTAGTTCAGTGCATGGTGACAGACAAGGGTCTAGTTTTAGTCTTTGACATGTGGAAAGTCACTTTTTCCAGCACTGTTTATTAAAAAGGCTATCTTTTTTTGCAGCGATATTATTTGATATTCTTATCTCACAGATACATCTTTCCAGACTACAGAGACAAAAAATGTTCTAAGATCTTAGCAATGAAGGTGAAATAACAGCCGCTCTGACCCAGTGGTGTCCAGATGTGTATCCAGAGATGAGCTCCTTGCGTTGGAGAAAAGCAGCAGATAAGAATGTAGGAAAGATTACTTCATGGTGGACAATAGCTTCACTCCACATAATTGGATATCTGGTCAAAATGTCAATGAATCAAACACTGGATCTCATGAGATGGAAGTTTCAACACAATTCTGAGTTCATAATTCTGTTTCTCCTAATAAGTTTATAATTCTGAGTTTATAATTTCAGTTTCTCCTAATAAGGAATTTAAAAAGACAGATTGACTTACAGTTATTCTCTGTAGCAACTGTACTTTACTTACAAAACCGCACAAGAAATTAATAATTTTTGTAAACATTTAAGATGCTTTCCAAGAGGGATGTTAAAATACAATGTTAGTGGTTTGATGTTAATTAAGAAATCTTAGAATCCACATATACATCAAGATTATAAAACAATCTTGTAATGTTTTATAAAAGATTGTAAAACATTACAATATATAGGACAGTCTCAAATAGGGACAAAGTGACTACTCAGTCTTTGTAATTGCACCTTTTTACAGAAAAGAGAAAAATGAAGAGATTCAAACCAGGCCATAGCTACATTATGGAAGGCAGCCGAGGTGGAAGCTCAGTGCTTTAGTACATGCGAAGGCATATATACCTGCAAGGTACAATGCACAGACATATTGCTACTTTTATTATTTGAGCTTATTGTACTAATACATTAAAGAAGCAAAATAAAGTTGAATGACTTATCTTGTGTTTGGACAGATTCAGAAAATAATTTTAAGCAAAACAAGCTATAAAATCATAGGCAAGTGAAAATCTACAGCTATACTAGTGATAAAACAGTAAGACAGGACATCCCTTCACACGGTGATTTAGAGGCAGTAGTGCTCACAAGAGGCTTGGAAGACTCTTACCAAATCCGTAGGTACTCTGTAAAGGGGGAAAACAAAAACTCAAATGCAGGAAGGCAATTTAAAGGAGAAGCACACCAGATACATTTCAGAATCAGGGATATTTAGAAAGGAAAACAGGGCTGCCACTTGACCTTGGTACTACTTACAGCTCAGGTGTGTTGAACACACCATCTCGGGAAAGCATCTAATCTCCTGAGGATAAAAACCAGGGCAGCTGTAGCTCAGGGGAGGGAGGGAGCGATTAGTGCCCAGCTGCCCAGTGCTCCAGCAACTGCTGCCCAGTGCTGCCTACCATGGCTCGCTCCTACAGGGAGACAGAACCTAAAAAGAGTCAATAGAACGGAGAAGGTAGAAGGAATAAGACAGAGGAAATGGGGATGTTTTGTGCACTCTGAACTTGACAATTAAGGCAGAACAAACATTTTCATACATTGTTTCAGAATGGACCGTGTTAGGATAGCTTATCTAATGACATAGAACTCATTTCTAGAATTCAATAGCACCTATGACTTTGATAGAATCTCCCTTTAAACAAAATTATCTTTTTCCTCTTACTATTTGGGATTTTCCATTGCTAATCACAAATTAAAGAAATAGTTTCTGTTCCAAAGGAAATCTAAGCCACATTTGATAAACACACACTCAAAAAGCAGTTCACTACTGTCAGGACTGGGTTTGTTCTTGAATAACTAGTTTTCTTCCGCTATTATTTGTTAATACCCAGAGTTCTGCTATCATGAAGAATCAGTTATACATAAGGTAATTTTTATAATACTACAATTTTTAATAAAATGTTATTCTTAGGACGAGGGAAAATAACTATAGTATAAAAGAAAATTGAGATAAATAAATGTTTATATATTTACAACTTTTATTAACAAATATCTTGTATTATTTCAAAAGCAATTAAGATAAATTATATGTATGAACATATGAATAAAAAGTTATAATAAAATGATATATTGATTTAGTTGGGCTTAATCAAGTGAAAAACTTTTTAAAAATTACATCTAAATGTAAAATACCATATATAGATTACTGCACACAGAATATTAATATTCATCAGATTTTTCATAAAATAAAAATGTGAAATTTTGCCCAATTTAAAATAAAATAAGGCTCAAGCTGTAATTTGATAAAATGTTCAAACGTAAAATCTGACTGAAATATCAAAATTTCTCTTAAAAATAATAGAAAAAATTTAAGAGTTTAATAGAATATACTCGTTTTTAAAATTATAATGAAATATAAGTAAAAACTCACTAAAATATCTTAAAATGTTATACATAAATACATCATATATGTCAGTTGATCTAAATTGTTTCATCAAGATTTTTGTTGTAGTGACTTTAAAGTTTCCTAAATTCCCTCATGCAGCTCAAAAGCCTTACTAGGTTTTTACTAACATATTTTAAATGTATTTTTCTTATAAAATGAGCACTCAGTAGATAGGTATGTCTCACATAAAATAGCACATAGCATCATAGGCTGAAATGAACCTCAGAACTCAAGTATAATCACAACTCAAAGAGAAAAGTAAAGGGATTCAAAGCCATGCCACACCTACAATATGGAAGGCAGAGCTAAAACAAATATCTTGGTTTCTTTGCCAGCTATACATTGCCCTTTATCATCATTTACTATCAAAGGAAATAACTTAAAGCATAAAGATGAAATTTAAATAAGGAAGCCATTGGTTTGAGTGAAAATTAGAAGTCAAGGCCTGTCATTCCACGCAGCAGGACAACCATGCTACCGCGCTATACACTTTAGACAGTGAAGGGTTTATGCACCCTTGCAAAAGATGATGGTAATGGGAGGTAGATATGTAACCTCAATCTTCAGAAATAAATACTCCGTGAGTGAAATGAAATGGAAAATGGACTAAATAAGCTCTTTAGATCCATTTCTTTTCTTCTTTTTTATTTCAGTACCAGGGATCGAACTCACAACCACATGCTTGTAAGGCAGGCACTTACGCCACTGAGCTAAATCCCCAGCCCTGTGATTAGAATTTCTAATGCCTTCTTGTAATGAAATCTTTGGGGTGAAGAAAAAAGAATGCACAAGGTAAACAGTGTCGTAGTGTGCACACTTCTTCCTGCTTTCAAATAAACAGGAGATGTATCAGGAAAACTCAGGACCTTATTGTTGTTACACTGAGGGCACTTTTTCTCCTGCTCTCTACAAGCCAGTGCCTTTTCACCACCATTCTGTGCTATTTATCCAAAGGATAAATTTTACATACCTTATTCTTGGTATAAAGATAAGGCACCACTTTATGGAAGACCTTTGGCACTTGTTCCATTGTGTCATTATTAACAACGTGTAGTACGCAAATTCGAAGTGTAGTATACATTTTGGGAACCAAAATCATATCTTGAGGAATAAAAAATGTTTCTCTGTAATTACAAAAGCACGAACTTTCCCTTAACATGAATCTTAAAGTTTGAAATTAGATTCAATGCCAATTATTCTTAAGTTTCAAGCTCCAAATAACTACAAGGTTCACATATTATTTTCATTTAAAAATTATCACTAATGTACTATTTTGACATATGAAAGTAAACTACATTAAGAAATTATATTTTATAATTAAATTGTGGCTTTTATCTAATATACTGTTATTTAGAAGTTAAAGCTTCTGTTTCTTTACTGAGGGCATATTAATTTCTTATACTATTTTAATCATTTTCAGAAAGCAGTTTATGAAGTTCTTCGCATTTTAATATAAGGAACATAGACAAAATTTCTACAATATCTCATTCATGCCTAGCAAGTGGGAAAGGATGTTATGTAAGTTATGAAAGCAATCTTGAAGCTGCTTTTTATTACTACTAAAAAATAGTCTACAGATATGAATATTGGATGCCATTTAAAAATGATACCATTTGCCAATTTATAACTCACCTGAATACTATAAATGGTGAATTTGGTGGCTGATCTGGATAGGTCAAAATATAGTCAGCAAAAGCAAGCTTAGTGTCTTCATCTTGATAGCATGGATAGTATTCAAGAGACTTGCACTTAGTTTTAAACATGATTCTATATATGTAAAAATAAATTCAATATCAATGATCAGTGAAAAAACTCTTGAAAGTTGTCTAAGTTATCTGAAATTCTTAATCAAAGGAGTACATAATTCACAATCAAAGGAATAATCAAAGCTCACAAGTTTAAGCTAGAAAGTTTAGAAATATAGAAATAGGATAACCAGTAATAAAATTGGATCAAAGCAATTAATTGACTAAAGTTGAGGTAAAGAATAGCATCTAGGATGCAACTGAATGTAAGGGATGGGTTGGAAAAATACATTTTAAAAGACTAAGGCCATGGAAAAAAGGAGAGTTCTATTTTCCTTCTGCATTATTTCTAATGTATGAGGGAGTGATCCATGCAACTGCCGAAAAAATTGCAACTGGTTAAAAAAATTGTAAGTTGAAACTTCTTCCTGTTTGTTTCCTGGAAGATTGTGGCATATTTCAAAGCAGGATGGAAGTGACTGATTCTTCCATCCTTCCAGCCCTCCAGAATCAAGACCAAAAATACAGTCTTTTATATAGTGCCTCAGCATTTAACTGGGATAGAACCCATTATGGCAGCAAATGGTTTCCCATTAGAGGTCAAGACAGAGATGGAAGTGTTCTTGAATTCCAGAAAGCAGATGGTCACATTGGTTGTTAACAGAAAGTAAAATGGAGGTCCTCATGGAGGACGGAATTCACAGGTTCCATTTGATCACTGGTCTTTAGTGGTGGGAGGAAATTAACAGGGTTATATTTGGAGGGTTTTTTTTTTTAAGCCTTTTAAAATGTTGACAACACTGAATGGTCGTGTAACTGTGTCTGGTTTGCCTGAGGCAGAACTGATTTATGCCTATAGTCCTGGTACACATATTAATAAATTCTCCATTTTCCTTGTCAGAGCTTTCCAGTTTGAATGATGAATGCCATGATCACTCTGAGTAATAACTGCAATGTGGTGGTCTTCATTACTGAGCACTGAGTAAGGCACACCGGGCTGATGAAGATAACACTAAGACAACAGCTGAGCTAGCCCAAGGATCAAGCAGGTCATGCAGGAAATCGCAACTGAATCTCCCACCATTCTAAAATAAGGGTGAGACTAAAAGCCTTTGCAAACTGTCCTGATTCCCTTCAAACAGTGTGTGTGATTTCATATAATTCAAGAAATCCTAGTAAAAATAGGGCCATCAATATTCACCTGTCATGTGTATTGACCCAGAGAGACATCTCTGACCAAGTTGGAAGCTTCAGCTATAATTAAGATTTAATCTTAATTCAGTCACATTTTGTTTGATCCAAGTCCATAATAGGGGAACTCACCTGCGAGGTGTTGGATTTGAAACCAGAGGTCTTTCCATGAAAGTCCCAAAAGCATACAAGCAAATTGGAAACAGGGGTTTGTGCTCTTTGTGTGTTCATACCTGTGGACTTTTAGGCTAATGTAGAAAACTCATTTTAGAGCAGAAGTCAATCCAGCTAGAGTGCTCAGGTATAACAGCACCCAAGGAGCACTGAGGATGAGGGCACGAGCCGTTCATCCCCGAGCTGGACAAGTGCAGAGTCAGACTGCGTCCTGAGTTAGAATTTTTGTATTTGGTTCATTATAGACTTTTTCATTAATTTTAGCCTTATTAACTTTATAAATTTATACATAATTTTGTATTTTTTTGTTTGTAAGTAGAAATTTTGTTTTAATTTTATATTGGTCTTGTATCCATATCTTTATGTAGCCTTTTTGTCATTTCATACAGATTATCACATCATCTGTTAACAGTGGAGAGATTATTTTGCCTTCTTTCAAATCCTTGTTGCTTTTGCTTTGGTTTACTGCCCTTCTTGGAATTTTAGGATTACCTAGAATGGAAGTGGTTGGGCAGGGAACTTTGCCTCATTCCCATAAGCAGGAAAAAAGCTTTCAAAAATTTCACTGTTAATCATACTTACAATAGGGTCTCTAACTTTTTATCTTATAAAATACTAGCTACCTTAATATATTGATGCCAGTTTAAATTTTAATTTGCTAAAAACTATTTTCAATTTTGAATGTGTTTTAACTTTTATTAAATAGTTTTCTGAATGTACTCATACAATGAAATATTTTGACTCTTTTTCTTATTAATGTGCTAAATCTAAGTGTCTAATCTGCCATATGTCTGGGGAGTGGGACTACACACTCAGTGGGGAGGTACTATCCTCCTAGACGATTTCAATTTTGAGTTGCTAATAATTTTTGCATCTGTGTTTCAGAGAATAGTTTGTCTGCAATTTCATTTTTGAACTGTCCTTGTCAAGTGTTGGTTGTGACTTTGGAACTGTTTTCTCTTTATATTCTCAAGAACATGGATAATTAATCATCTTAGTGAATTTAAGACAAACTGCATCATGATAAAGAATGCATTATGCATCTTTATCCTAATATAGTCTCAACTAAATCATTATACTTGTTTCTGATTAACAGTAGAAATTTAAAAAGTTTTTACCCTACCCTGAAATTGTGAGCTACTACTGTCAATAATTTGTCCCTTCTCAGACCTACTAGTCTGGCTGTCCTTCCACAGCAAATGCCTTACTTCTCTGGATGCTCGAGACTTTTCCTGTGGTCTTTGGTTTTCAACAGTTAGACTGCCTTGAGATTTACGTATCTTCCAATGTCTTTTCTACATGGGACAGGCAGAATTCCTTCAAAGTATCAGTGCATGTTTTACATCACTTTGGAGAGCTCTCATTTATATTTTTTAACACTCTGGGACTCTAGTTACATACACACCAGGCCTGTTATGCTACTCACTTCCCCCACGTGCTCATTTGAAATACTTTTTATTGTCTTGTCTCTCAGTGCACGAATCTCTTCTTTTATTCTGTCTAATCTGCTGTTAAACTCACTCTCAATTTTTCCATTTGACTATATTTTATTAATTAAATTTTTCTCTTCAGTTATTCTTTTCTTCATTCTTTATTTTCTTGGGCAATTACAAACTATCTGCATCTCTCATGATTTACATATTTTCTCTATAATTTTTCTCGTAGTGTTCAGACTATCCTACATCTTGGATGTGGTTTGTATCTTGAATGAAGTTTATCTATGACTTAATCTGTTTCTGCTGTTCCTGCTGACTTCTATGGTTTTATCTGATCACATTGTTTACTGGGGTCTCTTTCTGCAGATCCTAAACTACAATTCTGTCTTCTTAGCACCATAGACTTTAGAAAACTTCTTAGCCTTTCATATGGTTTCTATTTATAATTTTGGAAACGCACAATTAAGGCACAAACAAAATGTAGTAAGTATTATAGAAATACGTTAGGTAAAATGTCAATAGTGACAATGTGGTTCTAGTTGCAGTGATCAGAAACAATGCAACAAATAACAGTAGCCCTTGAACTGGACTTTTAAGGACACCCACAGACTGTGAAGAGGAAATATCTCTGTACTACTTTACCTTAACAGAGACAGTGCATATTGTTCTAAATTCAGTTCCAATATTGCCCAAATTTTCTGAAGAGCATCTGCAACACTGAGATTTTCCTTTGTGCCTAAAAGTAACATAAAAAGATCGTCATTTATGGCCTTCATTTTGCAGAATGAAGAATTTGAATCTCACAAGTAGGATGGGTTCAAATTAATAGGCGTGATGAGCAGAAAAATCAGGTTTCAAACATACAACTATAAGTCTTCTATCAAGAGTTTTGCTCACCATATTATGCTACTCTCCTTCACTTTTAGTTTAAAAAATCATAAAATGTTTTTTGATATAATTTAAGATACTTATCAAATAATCTTTACATGGAGACTTTCTGTCATGCCAAAAAATTCTTATGAAAAAATTTATCTCAGGAAAAAGTAATCCAGGCAATTTTTCTGAGTTATGGACAAATGGCTGAAAACTAGACATTCTGACAAGAAAAATGCAATCCATAGTAAGCACTTCAAAACTGAAATATTGGAAACTGACATCCTTTTACTAATTACCCTATCTTAACTTTTTCATAGAGTTTATCAGTATCTGAAACTGATACCACAATTTATTTACTTATCTAGTATATACTTACTTCAACTGGAACATAAAATTCATCACAACAGAAACTCTGTTGCACCGAAAATCAAGAACAATGCTTCACACACAAGATTAATTCAATAAATACATGTTGAGTGAAAGAAATGCAAATATTATTAATTGTAGTAAGTTACTGAAGTTTTTCAGACTCTAAATAATAAATAAAATCATTGTGTGAATATTATTTTAAAATATATATGGACAAACACTAAAGTACATTAGTCATACATTCGGTCTGATAAATTCGGTCCAATAGAAAAAAATTTAAGATCAGGCAGTTATAGTACTTTCTTATCACAAAAGTAGGAAATGTAGTTTTTTTAGTAAAATCAAATGAAATAAAATGGAACAGAGTCAATCAGAACAAAACAATGAATGTGACGACTTCAAAACAAGATAAAAGGAAATCAATGATGGTTACAACTATTATGCCTCTTGTTGTCTTCAAAACAGTTGCCCATTTCATCAGATATAATAAAATCAAATGAAACATAAGAGAATAAAACCAATCAAAACAAAATAATGTAAGAAATACATAATTTCAAAACAAGATAAGAGGAAAACAACAATGGCTACTATAATGCCTTTTGTGATTTTCAAAGCAGAGGCCTACACCATCGGACATAAAAAGTCACACAAAAAATTTAGAATAAAATTGATCGAAACAAAACAATGAAAACAATACAGCGCTTCAAAACCAGATAATAGGAAATCAATAATGGCTCCATAATGTAACTTGTTATCTTTGAAATAGCTACCCATGCCACCAAATATAATAATATCAAGTAAAATGAAACAATAAAGCCAAACATAGCAGAACAATGAAAACAACACAGGACTCCCAAACAAGATAATAGATTAACAACGGTTACTGTCTTTCCTTTTTAGACATTTCTTCCCCTTTCACTTGCACAATATCTATTGTGCATTTTGGATCCCACTAACTCCTTCAGTCTTTATACTAGAGGGATGATGTCCATCCATGGGACTCTGGACCATTTCATTCATGAGAGGGATCTCAAGTTGTACTCATTTACCTATAAGAGCCTTGAGGTTATCCTTCTTTATACCTGAGTAGCTCTCCCTTGTATAAAAATGCCATATCTTTCTTATCCATTCTGCAGTTGATGGGCAAGCTACCCTTACCTTTTTCTGGTGCTCTGTCACATAGAGCATTGTTTTCTCTCCTTTGACTTTTCAGTCTATGAATTTCCTTTCTAGTTAAATGTGTTTCTTGTATAAAGCATTGATGGATCTTGTCTTCTGATCCACTTTGCCTGTATTTCCTTTTATTGGTGAACTGAAGCCATCTACTTTAATGGTTATGGCCAACACGCACGGGCTCGTCGCAGCCTTGCTATTTTCCTGTCATTGGCTGCCTACTTTCCCCTCCATTCAATTGCTTGCCCCACTTGACAATCACCCTCTACTGCTGCTCCTGGAATCGTGATCATTTTCCTCTCTCGCTAGAACGTCCTGTATTTTTTATAGGGTTGGTTTGGTTGGTTCCTTCAGTTTGTTTTTTTGTTGTTGTTGTGGAAGTACCCCATTTCTCCATTAATTTTGAAAGACAATTTCTCAGAATAAATTAATCTGGGCTGGAAGTTGTTTTCTTTCTGGACTTGCAATACTTTACTCCAAACTCTTCTTGACTTGATGGTTTGTGTGGAATAGTCTGTCATGATTCTGATGGATTTTCCTTTGTAGGTGATCTGTTTCTTTTCTCTAACAGCCTTTACTATCCTGTTCTTTTGCTACATTTCTGGGATCTTGATTATTATATGTCTAGATATAAGTTGATTTTGGTTATGGCTACTTAAGAGAACTATATGCCTCACTTAGCTGAATGTCACATACTTTTCCCATGTTTGGGAAGTTTTCTGCTATTACTTCTGTACACAGACTTTTAATGTCATTTGTGTTGACCCCTGATTTTTCGCTGATACCTATTATTCTTAAATTATTTTTCTTTGTGTCATCTTGCAGCCATTCAATTGTTATTTCCTGATTCCTTGTTATTTTTAAGAGCTCTTTCCATTTGGAATTGCTAGCTGCAAACCTGTCTTCAAGATCTGAAGGTTTATCTTTCGTTTCTTTCAAGCAGTTTTGCCTGCTTTCAATGGAGTTTTTAATTTCCTGGATATCTCTTTGACTCTGTTTCATACATTCTAAATCTTCCTTATGTTGTTCATTCAAGGTTTTCATTTTCCTATGCTCCTCTATTTTTTATCTACATCTTCTTTAGAGATGCTCAGCAATTCTTTTATGTTTTTCATTTCTTCTTTTACCTGAGATAACATTCCTGCTGTTGTAATTTCTTTAATAGCCTTATGAAGCTGTTTCTTTATTTCCGTTGCCATCACTTCAGAAACTTCAGGTGTCTGACTCCCCATCTCTCCTGTATTACATCTCCTGGACTTGCTCGCATGGGTTGGAGGCCAGACACTGCCTGTTGCTTCTTTGTCTTGACTTTTTCCTGGGTTCTTCTGAAAGTGGGGTCCCAGACACTTCCCGCATTGGCTATAATTTCTCTGAAGTGTGACTGGCTGGTTCTGTTGGCCAATGCTGGTTACATACATACAGTGGTGGCCATTGGGTCCTCTGGTGCAGGGCTGGCAGCTGCTTTTCCCAGCCTGTGCTGGTTACTAACAGGAAGCATCCCAGATGGCAGCTGGTATGCATGGGGCCAGAGCTAGCTGCTGCCTCTGGACCTGAGCTGTTACGGTAAGAAGCATCCCCCAATGGTGGCTGGTGTACTCATGGTGGCAGGGCTCAGAAATGTATTTTTTAACCTTTAATGTATGCAGTTTTTATGTCTGCTTGGATGAACATTTTGACGGTTGTTATTAAATGTTTCAAAGAGAGGTATATTTACAACATCTTTCAAAATACTTGAATTCTACTGGAGATAATTCTTTTTCTATGAAAAGGTCTGCTGGAACTGCAGAGTGAAAATGACTGAATTTTTGCATCTATTCTTATATTTTAAATCAGTGAAACACATTTTCATGAAAATTTCATTTTGTATACATAAATATATTTGATTTAATAAATCTGAGAACACATGTAAAAGCATTGATGCTTTCTAAATGTATGTCACCATGCACATAAATGGAGGGCTCTTTATCACTGGTTCATCTGCTCAGTCCATTCATTGACTTCATTGAAATTCAGCATATAATGGTATAAAAGAAAATTTGTGATTTCACTAAAGTTTACTAATGCTGCGTACTGCTAGGCACTGGGAATTCACAAAGAAAAAAACAGCTCCTTGTTTGAAAAGAACTCATGACAGATCGGGAAAACAACATTCCCTGGGTCATTCATCTATTCATGCATTCTTTTAGCAAGTATTTATGATGTAATTAGTATATGCCACACACCATGGCTAAATTCTGGAAACAAAAAATGAGGTTTTTGGGATTTATTTATTTAATCTTTTTTCTATTTTTTTTCTTTCTTCCCTCCCTCCTTCCTTCCTTCCTCCTTTCTTTTCCTTTCCTTTTTCTTCCATTCTTCCTTATGTGATATTGAGGACAGATCTCAGGCCTTCACACTGAGCTTTATACCTCACACTTTAAAATGTTTTTCTTTTTATTTGAGACAGGGTCTTACTAAGTTGCTAAACTGCCCAGGCTGGAGCCTCCTACCTCAGCCTCCCAGAGTGCTGGGATTACAAGTGTGTGCCACTCTGCCCAGCCGAGAGAATGAGTATGGACATGCTTCCTGACCTGAAAAAATTTCAGGATTTATAGAATAAAGATGTATTAGCTGATCCATAAAACGGGATGCTTTAAAATACTTTTCAGTTATACAAATAAACAACTCTACATTCGTATACACATATGTTATTTTATAAATGTGAAGTTATACCTGGTGTTCTGGCTTTCATAAGGAGCCTAACATACATCCCTCTCCACCTGGTTTGAATTTTAATTGCCGCTGATACTTCCTCAGGAGGACACTCTTTCTCCTTTGTTGATGTGGGATATTTAATGTCTCCCCATTCGGCTGGAAAGAAAAAAACACGAACTCTAGATTGAGTTATATTTAGTTCTTTCCTCCAAGTTTCTATGACTGGTTAGTAAAGCCCTCCAACATACCAAATGCTACAGTGGTAGATTTACCATTATATTTAACTTAGCGGGGAGGATCAAGGACAGAACCCAGGGCCTTCACACGGAGCTATATTCTCAGCCTTTTTAAGTTTTGAGACAGGCTCTTACTCAGTAGCTAAGTTGCCCGTGCTGGGCTTGAATGTGTGATCCTCCTGCCTCACCTTCCCAGAGTACTGGGATTACAGGCAGGTCTTTAAAGTAAACTTTCTGAAAAAGAGAAATACATGAAGAGCGACACCAAGTGACTCTTTTGGATTCTTCTGTGAAAACAGGCAAAGCTTTCCAGAGAACTGAAAGAAACCATTACCATGGTGGGAACAGGGACGGAACACAGAAAAGGGTGGCAAGAATAGGGCCACGTGGGCTGGAGGATCTTCCTAGACTCCCTCAAGTCACACATAGGCCAGTGACTATCGCATTTCTTAAGGTTAGGACTAAAATGAGGAAGTCCTGGGCTCCTCCAAAGTATGAATGAGCGCTGAGGAGGGAAATTCAGCAACTCCCTGGACTCCATGAGCTTCCCAGAGCATAACTCAAATTGCATGACCATCCATGCAGGGAAAACGTTTATGCTCACACATCTCAAATTATGTACCCTACACAAGGCTAGACATTCCTTGGTTAAATATTTTTATTTGATTAATACCTATAGAAGCATCCTCTGAGATGAGATCAAGAGTTTCCACATCCAAAACCAGAGCCCGGAATGCAAATTTGAAGCTTGAAGAAAGCTTTGCTAGTTGAGCTTTTTTCATTAAACGCCATAAAGAAACATGAAAAACCTGAAAAAAGATAGAAGGCACTTATTTTTTAAATCTAAGAAAAATCATAATCTGGCCAAAGAGTTCCTCAGAAAATGTAAATACTCTAAAAATAAAATATAAAATTAAAATTTTTTCACATATATTTAACAAAAGACTTTCAAATCTCATTCATCCAGTAAAAGATCAAAACTATAACTTGGTTAATTTTAATAAAATTTAATTATTACAGTGATGTTCACAATACACACTCAAAATAGTGTGTTAAATTGAACAAAGTTCAATAAAATGTATGATTTTTGTGCTTAAGCAAGTTAAATATCATATGTCATTGATTAGAAGATACTATGTTGCAAAACATAATATTTAATGTGCTAAAAAGAAAACATTATGTTGCTTATTTTTATCACTTTCTTAATACATAGGAGTACTTATATTGAGAAAGGTTTTTTTAGTCTTATTTAGACAAAAGTTTTACATCATATGTCACATAGCTGTGTAGTTACCAAATATGAAATTGAAATGTTTTGCTATCAAAATAACTCCCTTTTGTGTTAAGTGCGCAAAGACCTGATTTGTATATTAAATCAGGGCTAGCCAGGTAGGCCTGTGCACAGAGTAATCTTTGCAGCACGGATGGTGGCTCTGTATGGCCTCCTCAATGCCAGATCCAATGAATGACGGGACAGGACACATTGTAATGCCTTTACAAGCCTGTCTTTCCACTGGATGGCACTTGGTGGCAGCAGTCACCATGTTCTTATCACTGCTTTTAAAGTTGCTCACAAAAGAGGATTCCCAAAACTGCTTCCGGAAGTGGCAGAATAATGGAGTAAATAGAGGAAACAAGAAATAGTATTTTGATGGGAATTAATGTATTCTTTACTGTAATTTTTTATAGAAACATATATTTTGATCTCCCTTCAATCACTCAGTTGCAAAGATTTAACTGCTAAGGATAGTCTGGGTCTCATTGGTCCTAACATGCCATAGACAGAATAAGCTCCCTGGTAGACTGGAGTAGCACACGACAGGGTAAGAATTTAGCCTGGAGATAACATCCTACGGTACATTTCCGTTGAATCTCGGGTCAATGTGGAATAGTGCTGTGTATATATAACTGAAACATATAAGCCTGGGACTCAAAATGTGGAAGTTTCCTCTCTCCCCATCTCTCGCTCGCAGTGACTCATTTGCAGAATCTGTGTACTTTTCCCCTGCAAGCACAAGTTTGCAGGACTGAAGGACTTAGTTCCTGGAAGTGTCATGCCAGGGATGTTTCTACTAGTAATTATGACAGGACTTACAATAAACCTAAGCTATAATACACATCTGATTGCTTTGGGTTCCTCTTCCTGCAGGATAAACAGGGAAGAAAGTGACAAGAGTACTCCAACTTTCATGGAGTGCTAGGGTTCCTGCTACATAAAAAGGTGGGAACAATTTCATCTGGAACTCTCTGGGATACTTCTTAGGGCCTTCACAGTGAACGAATAGCAGCTACGGCCTCACAAAAGTAAGGCAACCATAATGTCACACTCATTAGAACTGGACTCTGGGTCTCTCGACAAACAAGTCACTAGCAGCAGTGACTACAGAAGAGGAACACCCAGGCTGAGTGGGACAGGAGACAGATGCTGACAGATGTTGAGTACCAACTGTGGCCAGTAATAGACCTGGAGACTATTGCTTTCCTGTCATACGGTGATTTAATAATTTGTTTGCTTAATTTTAGAACTTATGAGCAGCTAACACATGGAAGAAGGGATGACAGTTTATTAATGTGAGGGCAGTGTCAGGCTACTTCTAGACTTTAATTATAGCAAATATTTCATACCAATTATGCCCTAAGTTCCTGGCTCTAACCTTGGGATGAACTGCTCCAGAAGTAAGGTTTTGAGATAAAATATGTGACATTATAGGGGCAAATACAAATTAAAAATGAGAAGATCTGCCCCTTTTCTTAAAATTGTCACTTCAGAAAACTTCAGTTCTTTCTCTTTTTGAAATATGTGTAATTTTTTTTAAAAGATCCATAACCTTCTTGCCAGTTTTACAACCCAGGGCAGTCTTAAAGTCCTGCAAACCACCTTCTTGAAGTGTTATAACACCAAGAAAAAAGAGAAAGAAATGGGGATTTAGCTCAGCGGCATAAGCGCCTGCCTTGCAAGCAGGCAGTCGTGAGTTCAATCCCTGGTACCGATAAAGACGAAAAAGACAAAAAAAAAAAAGAATGACAGGCCATCGTGGACTGTAGAGGTAGAGAACCAGGCTTCACAAAGAGGTGATCCCCACCTGGAAACTAGCACCATGTGTGGGTCACTGTTGGAGTAGGGACAGCCAGACCCAAGCCTATGTCCGTGAGTCAGAGCCATTTGTGGACTGCAGAGGCCTCACCTGGAAGGGAGCCCCACCTGGAAACCACATCATTTTCATTGTTTTGTTGGGTTAGGTTTTACTCTCTTTTGTTTTGTTTGATTATGTTAAATCAGATGGCATGAGCAGCTGTTTAAAAGATAGCAAGATATATTACGGTAGCCATTTGGATTTACTATTGGTTTGTTTTGTTGTCCTTTACTGCGTTCATTGTTTTGTTTTTCTTGTTTCTATTTTATTCTTTTCTATTTGATTTTTACTATACCCAAAGGTATCTGCAGCTGTTTCAAAGACAGCAAAAGGCATGATGGTAACTGCTGTTGATTTTGTAAGGTTTTGAAGTCCCATATCACTTATACTGGTTTATTTTGATTGGATTTATTCCATTTTGTTTCCCTTGGTTTTATCCTCTTTAAAATAAAATAAAGAATGATAACACTCTAATTTCTCAGTTTCTTTAGAGACTGGAGTTTGACGTCAGTGAGAACCCTACTCCAAGTTACAAACTACTTGTCATGAAGGTATGAGAAGCTCATTTTTCTTTTGCATAAAGCCAACCGAGTAACACAGATGGCTGTTTCCAATGCTAAGAGAATTTCAGATGAACTATGGGTGACAAGTGATGCAATTAGGTCTCTTTACTTACAGACTAGTCTTGAAAGCATTCATGCAATGGTTGCATCTGCCTGATCATATAAAAGAATGACAAAGACTGAGTGTTGTGGTGCATGCTTGTAATCTCAGCACTCTGAAAGGATGAGGCAGGACAATTGCAAATTCAAGCCATGATGGGCAACTTAATGATGTAGCCAGATCCTGTCACAAATTTAAAAATACAAATGACCGAGAGTGTATCTCAGTATAAAGACCCTAGGTTCAATTCTCAGGGCCACCAAAAATTAAAGTAAAAAATAAAAGGGTAAGATTATCTTCTGTCTTTGCAATGTATTAGCTGATTACCTGGTATGTGTGACATATTCTGATTTAATGTTCATTCCATAATAAAATGATTTTCTTTCACTTCTGTCTTTGTAAATAGGGCTTTAAGATTGGGAAGAAATTTTATTGTTAGGTATTTCCCCCAACAACACCCGACATTCAAATAAATTTGAATAATAGCTAAAATGAATTTGTGGGAAAAGAAAGTTTTAGTATAAGCATGTACTAAATACAATTTAGTTGCATGTTTACATGAAATTAAGATGTACTGCCTCTCCTCCAAGAGGGATCTGGCAATGTTTGAAGTCATTTCCAGTTGTCACAACTGGATTCTACTGGTGTTTAGTGAGTGGAGACTAGTGCCTAAGACATTTCCCAAATGGCTCAAAATGTAGATAGTGTAAAGGTTTAAGAGCCTGACATACGTCCACTTGACTGCCACAGAGGAGGAGAGGACAAGTCCAAACAGTCTTCCTCCTTGTCTTAGTTACTTTTCTTTCATTGTTGAGACAAAATACCTGATGGCCAAAATTAGAGATGATTTCTTATAATTTTGAAGGTTTAAGTCTATACGAAGCTGGTTCCAAGCAGCAGGGTGGCATGATGGAGCCACCTTTCATGCCACACAAAAAGAAAAAATGACACGCCTTCTGCCTGCCCTTACACTGTATGGGAGCTCTGCCCTGAGCAAGTATAACTCGTACCACCAGTCCCAGTGCTAGACAAATGCTGGATTCAGCCACGTCCGTGGTTGCATGAGGTTGGGTGGGCCATCTGAACACAAACCATAGCAATGCTCAAGGGGCCACCAGAAGGTCCTTTGCTTTCCTGGCTCCAGGCATCTTAGGTCAGCACACATGGTAAGTGTGAAGAAGTTACTGCTCAGATGGCAACCATCTCTGGGTGAGGAAAGAGTTGGTAAATAAGTGCCACAGTCTCCCCCATCTTTTGGTGGGGCTGCCTGAGGGATATCTTATACAGTTTATCAGGATCCCACGGATGATTTAGCCCTATTACCCCAGAGTAGGAATAATCACATTCTTACATTCTTCCACCAATTTATCTCTCTTTCTTACTCTCTCATGTTTACTTCCTGAAGTTCCTTCCCAAATAAACTGTCTCCATGCAAAATATTTTCTCAGGCGCAGATTGTGGAGAACACCTAATATAAGCTGCATTATTTTAAATAAAGAGTTTTCTCCTATGACCACTGAATCTAGATTCTACTTACCCTGAAGTGCTGGGCAGTAAGCTCCTTATCATGAAGAGTGACAGGGAGGTGAGCTGCTTGCAGATCTTTCAGAGCTGCAGAAAGTTTAGCCTTATCTTTGAAATTAACCATCACATTTCCAACAGCTTTCAAAATCACTAGAGACTGCTCTGTAAATCGGTAGCTCTCCTGTGAAGACAAAGTACATATCACAGTGTTCCTCATGTTTAAGTGTAACTAAGTTTATAAAAAAAAACCTCAAGTTTCTGGAGGAGAAAATCCGCTCTGATTAGTTGATTCAAACAATACTCAGGGACAACATACCTGACCGATGTATTTTACAGACACTATAGACATAAAAGCTCCTACCTCAGTGGGAATGCAAGGGAAGACCACCCACCTTATATTGGGTGAGTAAATTTCTCCACAATATTAGTATCTGGATTGACTTCCGGAGGATGTCTAGAAATTATTCCAACAAAAATAAGGATGGAAGCCTGTGTGGGATTTGAGGAGTGAGGAGCAGAGAAAATTGCACCAAGAGAGCCAGAAAGAGCAGAAAGACAAAAGGCTGAGCTAGCTGGGACTGTGGGTTCCCACTGCTGTTGACTCTGAGGAGACAGAAAGGGGCAGGAGAAAAGGATTTAGGAAGTAATTCTACCTTTTTAATCTGAGAAAACCCTGCAGTGCTTGAAGACTATCTTGGCTGGGGTGTGGTAGGTGGTGATGGAGATGCCTGGACCAGAGTGGCTTAGAGGCAGCCTAGACAGAGGGAGGTTGGCGGGAAACTGTGATTTTACTTCTTCCCTGGGGACACCACAGTACAATCAGTACTCTGTGGATGTGTGCAGCAGTACTGAGGAGTGACCAGAAAGTGTCTTTGAACAGTGCAGAGGTCTAGGCAAAGTGAGAAACTGAGGCAAACAGACACAGCTGACTTGCCACCTGAATGTATCTACTCTCTAGCACCTCTTCCAATCCCAAGGCCTCAGAAACACTTCATGAGAGTTGTGTTACTCCATAAGGTGAGTCCAGGACCAAACAAGTTTCCTGGTCAAGTGGCAGCACTGAGAAAAATCAGTTACAACTCTGTGGAGCTTGAGTTTATCTGCTCTTGGGTAGATTCTTTATTAGGATAAAAGAACAATAGGGATTGGACTTGAGCCCAAGAATCTCTGCAAGACAAGAGAAATGACAGCTTCAGGGAAATCGGAGCTCACAGACCAAAACAAATATCTGGTGAATTAATTCTCTGTGGAAAGTCAACAAGCTGGGTAATGTGCACTGTCTGCATTCAAAGTTTTTCACCAGATAAAAATTTCAAGTGAGAAGTCAAGGAAATGAAGCCATCTGCTTACAGGATTGACTGGCTGACCTTCCTTCCATTTCTATTGAGCAGAAGGAAACAGACATGGGGAGAGATGGCACAGCTAGAGAGAACAGCCCTGGGGATTCTTGTGCAGCCACCGCTGCCACAAGCAAAGGCCCGTGAGGTATGTCTGAGCCGGGAGGACACAGTGTGAGGAGTTGGTCTTGAGCCATCCTATTGCCCTAGGATTTGCTGGACGATTTAAGAGAATCCCACAGTACACTTAGAGTTGTTTGTATTGTGTTTTTCTTTTGTTTTGTTTTGGCTTTTTGTTGAGGCATTGTTAGGGTTGAGAAAATATAGGAATTAATCAGTGGGAAAGGGCATGTCTGACTCTTCACCCAAATGCACCTCAACACACAGGGCATATTCAAACTTTAGAGAGAACTTCAGAGAAGGTGCTGTGCCCATTTTCCCTGTCATAGCAGATAAGCAAGAGAAACAAAGAGAGAAGATGCCGTGACAGAACCTTCCGTGGGCCACACTATGCCCTCTTAAGTCCAGACACACACCTCAATTTCCTTCGGCCAACAAAGCAATGAATGGAAAGAAAGAGACCAAAAGTTAAAAGGCACTGAAAAGCATTGTCCTTATCCTTTATTCTCGAAGGGGTAATGGTGCCACGAGGTCCACATGAGACGTTAACAGGTGCAAAGGGGACTCAGTAGTGTGGAATGAAGGTAACTTTGGGAGAAAAAATAATTGTCACTAGAGAATTTAGGCTATTCATTATACAGATGTCTTTGGGAATTTCTGGAAGAATACACTAAGTGGTTTAAAAGATTAAAAAGTGCCCAAGTTAAATAAAACATGGAATAAAATCTAGAATAGAATCTTTGAAAATAAACACACAGCAAAAAGCAGTTGCTAGAATATTCACCTGTTCAAAGTGGGGTAGCACAATATCTTCATCCCCCATGACAAAAGTCACCATGCTGCAGACATGTATGGAGTGGCCCACGGGGGAGTACGCGGTGAAGAGCAGCATGTGTCTCCTACAGCGAATGAGCACCACATGAGAACCTAGGTTTTCTCTTTCTTAACACAGGGTCTTGCTATGCAGTTCAGGCTCCCCTTGAGCTCACTGTGTAGCCCAGGCTGACCTTGAACTCACAGAGATCCTCCATAGCCTCTCCTCAGATCCTCCTCACCCTCTTGATTGCTGGGATTACAGGAGTACATGGCCACATCTTGCTTTCTTTTGTTTTGTTTTTTTTTTTTTTAACACAAATGTAATAAATACTTCTAAAGTTTCAGTTAAAAAAAACACACTCCAAGATCATGAAATCTATGTTATATTAATTATATAATTAGACCAATGACAAACACGTACATGCTGGAATTACTTCTCACAAATTGTAATCACATTGTGAACTACTGGTCTTGATTTTTCCCAACAATAATAAATCATGTGAATATAAGGCTTTCCTAGTCTTTTTCTAACAAATCGATTATTTCATACGTGTTCACTGTGTCTCTCCTACCAGATTATAGTATCCTTGGGACGAGGGACATTCACCCCCCAGCCCCCCAGTTACTGAGCATTTAGATCATGTTCAGGGTATAGGTGCTGATAGGTTAGGGCCTGTGGAGAAAACAGGCCGTGAGAAGCTCTTTTGTCAATTCCCTGTCCTAAGCTGCACCCGTGGTTGACTGCTCAGAGTAACTCAAATTCTGGGAGAATCTCTCCATGCCAGAGACATTAAAGAAGATGTGAATAATGGTGAAGTTTTAAATTCATTAATCTTCTAGAAATTCTGGGTGCTCACCTTACATTATTTTAACATTTGGATTTTTCTTTTATAGGCTTGCCCTTTTGCACGAAAGCCATAGTTTTTCATTGGTCACAAATAATCAGCATGATTGATCTTGAGAGAAAAATCCAGGGAAATTTTTACTTCACCTGAAATATTAGCTATTACTCCAATTTTATTCACCAAATCAGGAAATGTTTCCATTACACGTGTTCTTTAAAATGGAAAATCTGATTATTTTCCCAATTTTACCCTAATTAAAATATCTGACAAAAACAAACCAGCTAAAGACTCTAGATTTGAAGGGAAAAATACAGTGTTTTTCAAATTGTTTAAACAGAATCCAGGTTCTTGCTACAGACTGTAGAAATATTTATGAGGAAAAAAATAGAATCCAGGTTTTTGCCACAAAATGTAAAAATATTTATGAGATTCTTTAATTAATTTTAAAAACTGCTAGGTTAAAAAATTTTTAGTATTCTTCACCAAATATTTTCCCAGAATCACTGACAAAAATGAATTTCTGAAAAGGTACCCAGTGTATGTTATTTCACAATTTATTCACTTTTGGAACTGATTAACAGACATGTGGCATGTGAAATTACAACAGAAAACAATATCCTAGAGTCCATATTCTTTACTTCTTTATTAGTCAGTCAACAGTTTGAAAGGCTTGAAAAAAATTCTAGTATAGCAAAAATGAAGTCAGTACCCTGCAGGCAGCTGCACCATGGCGGCCTTGGTGGCATACGTGTGAATCCTCAGAACAGAACTGAGTGGCTTCAGAGACTTCCAAGTAATCGTTTCACCTGTTAGGAGTCCAGGCTCCACACGAGGGCTGTCTTTAGTTAAAGCTTTAGAAAATGTGAAAATATATTGAAATTTGATTGTGAAACTACATTGGTTTTCATTTGCAATGCAGAATTCTCATGTGGAAATAAAAATAACAGTAACAATATATCATGTATTAGACGTATCTTAAGAATTCATAAAAACAGAAACTACTTTAAGTAAATAATTATAGGAAATGATACTCAGATGAATTCCATTCTATTTGTCTCTTTATAGTCATACCATCAGGTGAAGAATGAACAAATTAGGAAAAGGAAGACAGGAAGGTACATTACATTGTAACCACGAATGTAGGAGGACATAGTAACCCATTTCCTGCCTATGGGTAGAGTTCATTTAGCTTAGCCTGGAGATCCAACAGCATGCTGTGGATTCCAGACAAGGCCTCCATCAGGCTGTGTGGGTATCACGATAGACAAGCAGGAAACACATGGGCTGTGTGCAGAAGGGGCCTCTTGACAAGGCCTCACTTTGTAACAACCCACTCTCATGAAAACTCACTTACTCTGGAAGGCCAGCATTAATCCTTGCAGAGGACAGTGTCTCCAGTGACCTAATTATGTTCCATTAACCCGCACATCTTCAAAATCCCTCCACCTCCACATTATCACAATGGGAACCAGGGTTCCAGCACAATAATTGGGACCAGGCTTCCAACACATAAGCCTTTAAGGAACAAACCACATCCAAACCATAGCAGTAGCCAAAGTGGAATAGAAGAAAGCATCACTAGAATGTCATTCAGTCAGTTTTTAAATGAATCAAAAGTAACGACAACTATAGGTGAACAGAAAAATTGGATTTGACATAGTGAGGAAGCGAACAGATGTCTGTGAGCAAGAAAGCCATCAGGGGTAGGAGTGAGCATGGTCCTCAGTATCAGGGAGTGACCGCATCAGCTGAGTGGCATGCGTGGTCTTGTCTCAATCTGGGGAAACTCTGGTAAGGAAGGAAGTTCCTTCATGCATGGCATTCAAATCTTATTGCCTATTCCACAGGCTGTACATGATGCGAGTTTAGGATCTGAAATAATGGGTTTGCCTTTTCTCAGAGCCCTCTTACCTCCAGATTCCCCCCAGCGTACCAGTGCAGAAAAACAAACCAGTAGTTCAATAGGTTTTAGGTTGTCCACAAATAGATAGTACGACACACGTTCTTCTGAGAACTGCAAGAAACCAGACCAGCCATCATACTTATTGTTAGTTCACTGATACTATTATTTTCTACTTCTAATGAGAATACAGTATAATACCTAACACCCATAAGAAATTTCCTGTGTTCTAGGCATTGCAGTAAGTACTTTATAGTTTAATAATATGAAGAAAATCCTACTGGGTGAATACTGGTAATAGCCCATTGAAGCTGATTATGTAGGACTTCTGTGAGACAGGCCACCAGATGTAAGAAAGGCAATGTCTTTCTCCATGAACTAAAAAAAGGGACATTCTTGTTTCAGATATGAAAAGGTAGCAAGGAAGCTGGGTATAAGGCAAAGCAGCACCTAGATAATGAAATGCTGAGGGCTGGGGATTTAGCTCAGTGGCAGAAGCTCCTGCCTGGCAAGTGCGAGGTTGCGAATTTGATCCCCAGTAGAAAGAAAGAATGAAAGGAATTCTGGGAGGCTGGGGGGCCAGAGTGTCTTCCACAGAGAATGGGCATGGCTACTGAGGATGCATTTTGGTGTTTTACAGGGTAATATATGACTTTTTAAAGCCCTCTTTTACTGCTTTTCACAAGATGTTCAGAAATATACCTACTAGACTTCCAGGAAAACATGGCAGACAGATAACAGCAGCTACGGAGGCTCTCTGAGATTGCCAGCATAGAATCCAGGAATGGTGCTGTGTGAGGAGTCCTAAGCAAGGGGAGATATACCCTGCTGACCCAAGAATGAACTAAGCTGAGAGAAACCCAACTGGAAATGCAATCCCAGTGCTATAACAGGAACAGATAAAATCTCAGCACGGAAGCTGGAACCTATGCCACTAGAAGCCACGATTTGAATTTCCTGCTCCCGCTGCTGTGTCTGAATTGGTACAGCAGGGAGAGAGACGTGAAACCTCTGAGAGCGAAACTTCTAAGAGTGGGAAGCGGCGAATGAAGTTGAGAACGGGACTGGCAGGGAGCCCTGCACCGACTTGCGGTGAGTGAGAGGAACGGGGACCCTTCCATAGACTAGGAGGCTCCAACAGAGGACATTCTGGGACCAGGCAGACTAGCCAGAACAGGACGCTGCAGTGACTTTAGTTGCATAGTCCCCTCTCAAGTGGGATTGGTGGGGAGTGCTTGGCCTGGGTGATGCCGCAGACTAAGATCCAGTAGGCTAGCCCAAACCAGGTCTCAAAGCCTGGTGGTGCACCCTAGCAGTGAAGCCTTCAGTAGGTTGACCTGGAGGGGCGGGCCCAGCAGAGGCTGCACAGGTCTGTGTCTCTATAGTACACTGCACTGAGTGGGAACACCTAGCCGGGCAGATTCAAACAAACTGTAACCGACAAAGAAAAAAAAGAAAACTGGGCCTCCTATATATGCTTGTATGGAAGGAACAAAAAATCTGGGAAAAGGGAGCAATAAGAAAGGGTCCTTAGTCCCCAATCCTGAGAACACTGATCCAGGAAAGGTAAATGCAAAGGAGAATGAAGCAGAAAACATGCAATATCAGACACAGCACCAACAGACATAAAGTGATATCTCTGGAGCCTCATAGACGAGTTCAAAAGTGAAGTATTTAATGAAATAAAGCAAGATATAAGTAGAATAGTTAGAGAAATGCTAAGCACTGCCCAAGAAAAAACAGATGGTGGAATGGAAGAACAGAAAAAAAGGAGAGAATTGTTTGATAGAGAAAATAGAGAAAACATAGAATATGTGAAGCAGATTCAAAGAGATTACCAGGAAACTAAAAACTCTATTGAAAGCTGGCATATTGAAAGAAACTAAGGATAGATTATCTGAACTGGAGGACAGATTTGTAAGGTGGGAGCATGAAATGAAAAACTTCTTAAAAATAACAAAGAAACAAACAGCAATAATACAAAGGCTAGAAGATGATAAGAGGATCTATAACTTAAGAATTAAGAACATAAAAGAAATAGGGAGATAAACAAACGAACTACAAAAGCTATTCACAGAAATAATCCTGGAGAATTTCCCTAATTTAGCAAAATGTAAAGATACTCAGATATATGAGGCATACAGGACTCCAGCCACCTACAACCCAAACAGAGCTACACCCAGGCATATAATAATCAAAATTCCAGAAATCCAATGTAAGAACAGAATATTAAAAGCCGTCAGAGACAAGAAACAGATCACTTACAAGGGAACACCCATCAGAATTACAGCAGACTTCTCGGCACAAACCATCAAATCACGAACAGCGTGGGGGGAAATAATTCAAGCTTTGAAAGATAATAACCTCCAGCCAAGATTGATACATCCTGCACAACTGTCCCTAGAAATTGATGGAAAAACAAGGTGCTTCCAGGATAAAGAGGAACTAGTAGAATTTGCAACCACCAGTTCAATTCTACAGAGAATACTGCAGGATATTCTAAAAAAGAAAAATACCATGATTCCAGAAACAGTGGCAGAGAGGCCACAATGAATGGAGCAGAAAGCAAAATGAAGAAGAGACAACTAATGACAGAAAAAGAGCTCAACAGAAATGAAGCAGAGAAGGTTGGATGGTAGGAACAGCTATTTTGGAGAAAACAAGACATCATAATAGCTAGTGCTGATTTAATGTCATCTTGTTTTGAAGTCCCATCAAGCTTTTGTTCTTCTGTCTCCATCAGTCTTAACATGTTGTATCTTACTGGATTTTATTATATGTGATAATATAAACAAAAACTTTTATAGACATGGAGATTATACAAAAACCATTGTTCCTTTTCTGTTAATTGATTCTAAATACCCTGTAATACTGCCATTCCCTTGAACAGTTTTACATTGTCTTGATATGTTTGATACTACAGTATACGAAGTTATACTCAAAGATTTCAAGGAAAGAGACACTATGGTACTACTTTTATGTCAGGATTATCTTGTGGTGAAACACTATTTTGCTTAAATGGTTATGTTTTGACCTGTGCTGTTTGTTATTATGCCCTCTTTTATCTCAATCTCCATTTTAGTATTTACTTTTTTATTTTTATCCTTTTAATTAAGGGAAAAATAAATAAAAAATAGCAGGATATATTATAGTAACCCACTTTGATTTCCTATTAACTTGATTTGAAACCTTGTATTGCTCTCACCATCTTGTTTTGACTGATTTTCCTCTATTCTGTTTTGCTTGATAGTACCAAGTTCGAAAGTATAGGCAACAACTGTGAAGACAGTAAGATTCATTATGATGCCCATTCTGGTTGACTATTATCTTCTTTTGAAGACCTGTAATATCTCTAATGTTTTGGTTTTATTGGTCTTGTTCTTTACTGTTTTGTTCAATTTTATTATAACTGATGATATAGGCAATTCTTTTTTAAGATAGCAAGAGGCAAAATGGTAACCATTGTTGATCTCCTTGTATTATGTTTTTACATAATATATTGTGTCCATCCTTTTGATTTGACTGACTCTGTTCTGTCATGTCACATTTGGTTTTACTCTCTTCAAAAAAAAAGTAATAAGAACTGTGGGAGTAATAAAACCCAGAATATGTGATAGTCATTGTACAAAACAGAGGAAAAGAAAGTGCTCTAAACGATGTAGCTGCATGTATATTTAAGTGTATAAGATAGATAACTGAGTTTTATTGGATCATTGAACAGAATTGTTTGTAGTCTCATTGTTTGAATGTCTACTTTATTTGCTTTAATTTTTAACTTGAAAAACTATTTCTAAGATGACAATATATAATCTATTAACTAGTGATTTCCTACTGTTTATTTTTTCTGAAATTCTGTATAACTTGTACCCTTTTTCTGCTTTTTTTCTTTTTCTCCTTAAATAAAATTAAAAATATATATATACCTATTGCTTCCTGATGTGCCAGACTGTATTTTTGTATTGGAGATACAATAAAGTGCTGAGTAAAACCAGAAATCTCTTTAAAGGCAGTCACATACGGGTTACATGATTTCAATTTATACTGTATGGGCATTATTAATATTACTAATTATAAGCTGAAGCAGGTAATCTGCCAAAAGCCAGAATTTTTAAGTAGCAAAGCTGAGATTCACCTTAAAACTGCATGACTTGACTACTGTCTTATTCTATTTCAGCATCATTTTTAACTGATCACTTATGGCAAATATGTGCAATAAAATTGTCATTATAGTACAAAAACTTTTCTTACTTTACCATAGTATTTAAATCATCAGTTAATATGAAAAAGACAAATCTCTAGTAATGTTGTGAAAACAAAAACACTGTTATTCAGTCAAGTGTAATCAGATTGCTAGAAATGTTTATACAATGTACAACTGTTTTAAATCATTGCCTCTTCCAATAATTTCTGCTAGTTATCATGAGATGTTTCATTTTCTCCTTTCAGTTTCAAAATGTACACAGGTGTTTCAAATATTTACTGTCTGAAAATATGGATTTGTTAGCCCAACATGCATGTGTGAAGAGTTCTGCATGGAGTTCAACTTATTGTCATTTTTAAGAGTCTGAGAATAGGGACGAGTGTCCTCAAGTCCACACAGGGGGGATTCTTTCCTGATTCCAGCACATGATACCTTGAAAGGTCCCTATCCCATCCTCATAAATGAACATCACAGGCGATCTGTAGGATGGGCCGACATCAGGCCGCAGGCTCTGTGCCTCGCTAACAGCACCTGCCACAAACAATCCTTCTTTCAGGCCACACTAAATGCCATTAGGTTTGAGTTCCAATGCTCTCCAAGAAAGAGTCATTATTTTCTCACACCATTAATGTTTTAAAATTTTGGGCAATGAAGGATTCATATCATTTTATTTTATGAAGGTGAGAGTTTTAAGAGGAGGAAAAAAAGCTGTATTTACCATTACTTAAAAAAATAAGATCAGAATAAATAACATTTTAAATTTTTACTGGCACCCCAGAGCTATACACTGGCTTCTACTAAAGGTGTGCCGACAGTGGCTGAGGCTCAGGATGGCGGCCAGATAAACCCCATGTCTCACCGTGTTTGTACCACTTGCTGGTTACAAGCTCTGAGCCCATTATTCAGACTTGATCTGCCTTGTTTTCCCAACCTATAAAATAATAGCAGCATCCCTTCCACAGGGTTTGCTCTGATCTGGTAATGCAATTGAGAACTTAATTCAGGGCCTACAACACTTACAATTATCACTTTATTATTGATAATTGTTTCAATATAGAATTATATATAAGTATATTGTAAACTATACATTATTTTTTTTACCATAACATGAGTTCAGTATTTCTGGTGAACACTCTAGTTGTCTTCATGAGGCCAAGGAAGCATTTGATGCTTTCATCAGCAGACTCCAGGACAAGGTGGATTGCCTCTCTCCCTGCCGCTGTCACTACAGCAGACCTAATTTTTGCTTTCAGAGCAAGCAACTACCTCAGAGGGGTTTTTCCACCTACATTTTCAGCTCTCCTGAGTGGAACAGAAAAAGTAATTTCAATGTCTCCTGTTTCCCCTGACTTCTGCATCCTGTAACAGTATGTGGGCTTGGGCAAGTCTCAAATGCAAAAAATGTTGTGTCATTCTACCTACAAGAGTTTTATGACAATATTTAATAAAAATAAGACTAGAGGATTACCAAAAGAGGTCGGTATCTCTTTGTCCTAAGACAAGGATACATGCAAATTTTGGAAAAATTTAGCTCCTCAGGATATATTTTATAGTTTCCCCCAAATTCCACTCAAAGTGAGATTTGTTAGTTAATTTATTCAAGAAATTTTTGTTGAATTTTTACTTTATTTACACTCTACAGGAATGACCTAGCAAAAGCAAAATAAAAGTCAGATGGGGTGGTGCACACCTATAATCCCAGCACTCAGAAGGCTGAGGCAGGAAGATCACTGCAAGTTCAAGACCAGTAGAGCCAGATGGATCACATTTGGGGAAATGAGCTAGTGGAATTGTGCTTTGTGTTTTGATAAGGGATCACTAAGAGATTCTGAAAGTTAATATTTTATGCATAATTATGCTACAAATTTAGAAATTCTATAGAAACTTGAAGATAGTTTCCCCTATTATAATTCTGCTAAAAAAAAAACAGTATAAGAAGAGAAAGATGAGAGATCATAATATATTTACCTTAAATTCTGATTTTTGAAAGGTAAGGCAGTAAGAACCTGGCTTGTGGAAAATGATTACGTGCCTGAAAAAATATTTATAATAGGTTATCACCATACTCAAAAACTTATAATACATGTTACGTTTTTTAGAATCAAATAATTATAGGCAAAGTTAAAAATAATTGTAACTGTTTTACTTGCCTTATGAGACAAAAATGATCTCAATGAAAAAAGACATCTGCATCTTTATTAGAGAAGAAATCTTTGAAGAGAAACTAAAACTGACCTGGAATGTGTTTGGCTTTTAATGTTCTGTATTGACAATCAATGCATCCATTTTTCCCTTGAGGAACTTTTATTTGATATTCCCAATATTCAACTGACACTGACAGTGTCAGTCAAGTGACAGTTAACGATTAGTAGATCTTATATACTGTACTAAATATACAAAAACAAATCTCAATGTGGATTTGCATAACGCAGTTCAGGATTTAACTACCACAATGAATCACATTTGAATGAATCACATTTGAATACTTACTGGAAGCACACACAGAAGTCTTCAAAATCTAACCAAGTTTCTTTGGAATCACCATTATGAACTACTGCAAAGTCATCCTGTGATTTTTCTACTGTTGCTGTTGTTTGACTGACCAAAATTTTATCCAAAGGAAGACCATCGGTTTGATGAGCATCACTCAGTCGAGGGACTGTTTGCTCTTCTGTTTATGTAGAAGACAGAAATATCAAATATCTTTCGTTGTTAGGTAGTAAGTTATTAAAATATACAAAATTAAAGAAGTGTTCAAATATCACGTCTATTTTGAAGAAAAAATTTATTGGGGCTGGGGATTTAGTTCAGTGGCATAAGCACCTGCCTTGCAAGTACAACGTTGTGAGTTCGATCCCTGGTACCTCCCCCAAAAAAAAGAAAAAAGAAAAATTTACTAAGATAATCATTTACATACTGGCTTTGAATCTGTGGAGATACATTTCACACACTTAGGAGAATTTAATAATAATTTTTATGCATATGCAATAGCTCAGAAATTTTGAAATCACTTTGATAAATTTATGCACACATTCTTTAGAAATTCGGAAGTCACACAGATTTATTAGATAGATTGAATCTACTGTAGATAGAGAATATAAGAAAGGATGGTTCAGAGAATAGAAGGAAAAATAAAAACTTGACAGATCTATTGCCATAAATGTATTCAGAAAGTCATTTGATTACTGCTTCTCCATAACTGGTAATCCTCTAGCCTTATTTTTATTAAATATTGTCATAAAACTCTTGTAGGTAGAATGACACAACATTTTTTGCATTTGAGACTTGCCCAAGCCTTCAGCAATGGAGGAATGTGCAATGTTTTTAGTATTTTGATGACAAAGTACATATATTCAGATATATGAACTTTATTCACGGGACCATGATTAGGGCTTTTATTTTCATTTTTGTTTGAACTTAACAAGTAAAATCATACCATCTTTCTAGCTCAGAACATCTTAAATTCAACAAATCAGAAAACATATTGATGAGGGGTTGCTGAGAGAGAGGCAAAGTGAAGAGAAAAGCTGTCAGCAAGCAAAGTCTTGTATGCCGTGATGTCCACTGGGGAGAAAAAAAGGCCATGAAAAGATGACTAACTTACCTTTAACAGGAACAGATTGTGGGACAGTATTAGCCTGTGAAGTGAAAAGAAGTTATCAAGAAGTCATCTGTAGTGCACCAAAACATTACAGCTATATAAAGCAGGAAAGTTTTAAACAGTTTTAAGCTGAAATAAATTGGTTTCTGGAATAGTTTATTAAAATATACAATACAACAAAGAATTCAATTTTAAAAATTTGAAAGAAGTTACCATAATTAAATAATTGGCTGATGACTTGTTTAAGTTTATGACAGTAAAAGACATATTTATTAAATGACTTAAACTTAAAAGAAAAGTTAAAAAATTATTTCCCTAGTAGACATATTACTTGTCGCGAGGTACTTGTCATTAATACAGTGAAATCAAGATTATTATTGACATGAATTGTACAAACCCAGAAAGACTGGTTTCAATTAAAAATTATTCTCCAAAATTTTAACAGAGAAATCGTAATGAATTCATGTATACAACTGTTTTCTTGGGAAACATAATTAAAATAAGTGTAAGAGATAAAGTGGTATAAACTTATACAGACTATGGCTGATGTGAGGAATATTTTGGGTAAAGAAAAGCAGATGGAGAAGACAGCAGAGACAAGAGAGCCCTAGTCCTAATGTGAAGAAGTTTCGGGACCCTGGACACAGCAGGTATTTGAGGAAGAAAGAATAAGAAATGGATTGAAAGTGTGGAAAAGGGTTAAATGTCTGTAGAAGGAACTTGATTTATTCTCTGAAACTCCTTCTTGTTTATAATCTGATCTTCCTCAGCCTGAGCAAAACACTGAGACTTGCTTTTCAACCCATTTCAATCATGGCATATTGCTTGCAATAACAAGAAACAAGAAGTGATGAATAAAGTCATTAACACTAGGGTATATATTTTTAAACTGTAACATTGCTATTTTAAAAATACCGCTAGTGAGTGAATATGAAAGCAATAAGAAATGAATCTCAGAAAATACCACATTAGTGAGAGAAATTATGGAATAATTCAAATAAAGTCCATTAAAATTATGTAACAAACTAAGCTATAAAACATTTATAATTATATTCATAGTTGGCAAAATTAGAAAGTGTAGAATTTAATGAATAACAGTATCTGAGTGGCAGATAGGAAACATGACCCAAAGGGAAAAACAAGAGACTTCCATAGCAGATGAATACTCCATTTGCTAACCTGTTACAGGTACACAAGCAATTTACTTTAACAAAATTCAGTATACTCTTCAGAGGCATGTTATAAAGTCTTTTGTATATATATAATATATTTCAAAATTTAAGAAAAAAAATTCTATAATAATAATTGAGATAACACCTGAGTTGGAGCCCCCATCACCTGATCCAATTCTGACTGGTTGAAGTCTTCAGTTTCATCAGTTTCTGTGATGGACAATAAACCAGATTCTAGAGGCAATCCTTTCTTAATAACAGATTGTACATTATGCCTAAAAAGGGAAAGCCACACTTCTATTATTTTAGCTTATTTAAAGTTACTATTAAATAACTTCAGTTTTGTCGCAAAGGTTCTACTTTTGTTCATCCTCATCCTTTTCCAACTAGTAATTTTTTAAAAACCTCTTGGTATTATGCTAAATAGTCTATATCAAAAACTGATCAGAAGAGGAAAAGAAAATCATGACATATTGGTTAAAGGAACAATTTTTCAACATGAAGAGGTAACAATTATAAACATACATGCACCAAACACTAGCATATCCAATTTCATAAAACAAATATTAATGAACATAAAAGATCAGATAAATATTAACACAATTACAGCAGGAGACCTAAACACCTCATTAGTTATAGACATATCAACTAGACAAAAATTATTAACAAACAAATATCAGAGTTAAACCATATCTTCAAACAAATGGACTTAAGGGATATCATCTATAGAGTATTCCATCCAACAACAGAATATACATTCTTCTCAAGAGCACATGTAACTTTCTCCAAAATAGAACACATACTAGCTAATAAAGTATGCTTAAAGTGCAAAAAAAATCAAAATTGCACTAGGTATATTACCAGACATAGCACAAGGAAACTAGAAAGCAATAGCAAAAGAAACCAAAGAAATTATGCAAAAATATGACAATTTAAAATACAGTTTTGAACAATAAAAGGTCACAGAAGAAACAAACAAAGAAACTGCACAGTTCCTAGAATCAAATGATAATTTCAGAACATACCAGAATTTATGGGGACACAAGGAAAACAGTCCTAAGAGGGAAGAGTATAGCTGTCAATGTTCACATCACAAGAATTGAGCAGGCCAAAATAAATAACCTAGAAGTACACCTTGAGATCCTAGAAAAACAAGGAAAATCCAAAACCAATGCTTATACAAGGAATAAAACTATAAAGTTAAGAGCATAAATTAATGAAATTGAGGTTAGAAATAGCACAAAAAATCAATCCATTGAAGTACTAGTTTTTTGAAAGTATAAAGAAATAAGCAAATCATTAGTCAATCTTACCAAAAAAGAAAGATCCAAATCAATCCAATACGAAATAAAAAAGTGAAATCACAACAAATACCACTGAGATCCAAATTATTAGCAATAACTTCAAAAACCTGTATCCCAATAAACTAGAGAATTCAGAAGAAATGGATAGATTCCTAGATACATATAAACTACCAAAACTGAGCACACAAGGTTTTAAAATTCTGAATAACTCACAACAGGTAAAGAAATTGAAGTCGTAATAAAAAGCCTTCCAACTAAGAAAAGCCCAGGTCCTGATGGTTTCACTGCTCCATTCTACAAGAACTCCAGGGAATATCTAACACCAGTAATCCTCAAACTCTTTAATGAAATTTAAAGGTAACAAAGTTATTCTTGGAAGCTAGTATTGCACTGACTAGCTTCCAAGAGTATACAATCAGTCAAAGGTACAACCAAAATCAGACAAAGATACAACAACAAAAAAAGAGAGATAAAGGCAAATCTTTTTAATGAACCAAGCCGAAAAACTCCTTAACAAGATACTGACAAACAGAATGCAACAAGTAACAAAAATATTATATGTCATGACCAATATAGGCCTCATCCCAGAGATGCAAGGATGGTTCTATATATGCAAATCAATAAATGTAATACATCACATTACCAGAAGCAAGAATAAAAATGAACTGATCATCTCAATAGATGCAGAAAAAGCCTTTGACAAAAATCCAACATGTATTAAAAAAAATCCCTCAAGAAAATAGCTATAGGTCTGAGAATATAGCTCAGTAGCATAAGCATTTACCTGGCAAGTGCAAGGTCCTGAGTTCAATTCCCAATACAAAAAAATAACAATAATATAGACTTAGAAGGGCCTTATCCCAATCTGATAAAAGCCACTTATGACAGACCTAATGCCAACATCCTACTAGATGGGAAAAGTTGAAAGCTTTCCCTTTAAAATCGAGAACAAGCCAAGGAAGTCTTTTATCATCACTGCTGTTCAGTACAGTACTCAAAAGAGAAAAAACTCAAAGGAATAAGTATAAGACAAAAAGAAGTAAAATTTTATCATTATATGTAGATGTCATGATCCTCTAAATAGAAGCCTAAACAAATTTCACCAAAGCTAGAATAATAATCAGTAATGTAGCAGGATACAAAGTAACACAAAAAATTAATAGCGTTCCTGTATATTCATAATAAACTCACAAAGAAAGAAATTAGGAAACAATTGTAACTCACAATAGCATCAAGAAAAAATTAAAAACGTAGGAATTAAACTAACCAAGGAACTGAAATATCTCTATAATACAAACTACAGTACTCTTACAAAGGAACCTGAAGAGGATTTCACAAAATGGAAAGAGATCTTTTGTTTCTGAGTGAATATACTGAAAATGGCCATCCTTCCAAAACTGATACACAAATTTAATACAATTCCAATCAAAATAGCAACAGCAGTCCTCACAGAACTTTAAAAATATGTTTGTTCTACCCTCCAGTGTCATCTTAAAGTAAATTAGAAAAGGGTAGTTAGGTGAATTTTTACTGAATACTTGTGGGAACAGGAAGCTAAGTTTATGACCTCAATCTCTCTCATAAAAATTCACCTAACTACTCTTCTCTAGTTGACTTGAAACTGCCAGTAGAGGGTAGCACAAGCATATTTGTGAAGTTTCAGTGCCCTCAGAGAGGGCCAGGAGCCAAAACAGAGCAAAGGGGCCTGCCTGTTGCTGCATGACAGCCTTCCAGAGAAGTGAAGCTGTAGCAATCATTTTCAAGAGCTTTCCAGAAAAAGGGCTTGCTCTTATGTTGGTGGGAGAACCCTGTATTGCAAGCATCTACACTTTCTTGTTACACTTTCAGAAAAATCAGATACATAAGCAAGTAACTGCATGAGTCTATCTCTTGATTCGGGGTTGTTTGGTAGATTGGTCTTAATAGAAAATGAAAGTTATTCAAAGTAAAGTGAATTCTGAATCTGACAGAGCAAACAACAGAGAAGATAGAACACTTACGGCAGGGTACGGCCGAAGCAGGCTGATTTGGTTCAAGATAAGAGACTAAATACAAATCTGTCCCTCTTCTCCTTCATACAACTTCACTGGAGTCTCAGAAAAAAAGGTTAAAAATAAAAGCAAAATCATATACAGCTGGCAAAATAGGCATATCTGATCTGAGCTGAAACATTTTCCTCAGAGACACATGAGAACAAAAAACAGCAGACCAGGCAGGGGAAGAGAACAAGAAGTCGCCAAGAGCAAGCCCTCCCTGCAAATCAGCGCCTCGTGCAGTCCACTGTGGGGAGAGCCACATGCCAGCCCCTTTTGGTGTGCGGGCTGGGAGACAAGAAGAGCCAATACCTCCCACACACACATACCCCACTCCTGCCATAAGCAACCTGCTGATCTGGAAAACACAAGCTGGAAGGATGGCTGTTGAGGTGGAATACAGTTTAATGCTATTCAGAGAATAACAATAGGCAGTGTAGCATCTATAGGGGATCTCCTTCTGAGGGTGGCGGCTATTGTTGATTTCCTATTGCCTTGTTTTAAAGTCCTGTATCATTTTCGTTGTTTTGTTGGGTTCAGTTTTGTTCTGTTTTGTTTTTGTTTTTGTTTTGATTTGATTATATCTGATGCATGTTATTTCAAAAATAACAAGATATACTATGGTAGCCATTTTGGATTTATGCAACCATAGCAAAGCTTAGCGATTCAACCTACGAATTTGGGGGAGATACAAATGTTTGGTTTACATCATTCTACCCTGGATCCCCCAAATTCATGTTCTGTAATTCAAAAATATATTTACTCCATCTCAACAGCTCTGAAAGCCTAAACACATTCTGAAGTCCAAAACTTAACCTCATTACTGTCTATGTAAGATACAGGTAAACTTTAAGATAGAATTTATCCTGAGGCACTATTTTTTCCCATTGTGGATCTCTAATATTAGACAAATAATGTATTCCCAAAGTCCAGCGGTGGGATGGGTGTAGGAAAGACATTTCCATTCTAAAGGGGAGAAGTAGGAAAGAAAGAAAGGATGACAAGTCCAAGTAATTCCAAAACCTAGCAAGGCAAATTTCATACATTTTAAGGCTTGAGAATAATCCTGTTGGGTCTGAAGCTGTGTCTTCCGTGCTCACTGGGATGGCAGTGTCACCCCGTGGTTCTGTGGAGTGGCCTCGCTGCCTGTTCAGCTTTCCATGAGGCCCTGTAGTCTGCTAAAACCAAGAGACAAGAACCTTGTCCCCGGGCCGGTGGCAGAAGAGGTAACCCTGACGATTTCTGAGTCGTTACCGGATCAATTCTTCCCTTTTCTAGAGGTTCAAGTTTGCATCTGGATATCCTATGGTCCTAACTACTGGGTCCCATAAATCCCACAGACTTCGTCTAGTCTGCCCCATTCTCACTCCCATTAGGCCAAACTGGTAGTACTTCAGCTAATATAAGCTATAATCTATTTAGTAGTAGTCCGGTACACGTTTGATCTTCTCTTCAGAACACAGTTCCTTTCTCTCTCTCTCTCTTTTTTCATTATGGACAGGTTCTGAGAATTTTCAATATCTTTCAATGTGCTTTTGTGTTTTGTCAAGGATGCCTTCTTCAGTCCCTCTATCTCATCTTGCATTCAGGAGAACCCCAGCTTCCCTTTCAACATTATGCTTACAGATCTCCTTGATATAATCCCATATCCTTGCTCATCCTAACTTCTCCAAACCACAACACAATTCAACCAAATTCATGATACTTTATTGTAAATTTTCGTTTTTCTCAGCTTTGAAATAATTTCTTCTGCATTTCCTCCCAAAAATAACCTTTAATGTCCATATTTTTACCAATATTTTATTAGTTATTATTCTTTAAGATGGAGTTTCTATTTCTCTTTCTTTTTGAGCCTTATAAGACTCACCTGCTAAAAGTCTCTTCCTAGCCTTTCTGCTGGAACCGCCATCTTCCAGTAATTTGCCAAATGACAAACAGAAAGGGAAAGAGGGGAACCCTAGTATATGTTCTCTAGGCCTGTTGGAAAACATGGGGTGGTTTCTTCAGCCACATACACGTGAATCTACAAAAAAGGTGATACTGTAGACATCAAGGGAATGAGTACTATGCAAAAAGGAATGCCACACAAATGTCACCATGACAAAAACAGGAAGAGCCTACAGTTACCCAGCATGCTGTTGGCATTGTTGTAAACAAGCAAGTTAAGGGCAAGATACTTGCCAAGAGGATTAATGTGTGTATCAAACATACTAAACACTCAAACAGTTGCAATAGCTTCCTGAAATGTGTCAAGGAAAATGATCAGGAAAAAAAAGGAGCCAGAGAGAAAGGTACCTGGGTTCAACTAAAGCACTAGCCTGCCCCGCCCAGAGAAGCACACTTGGTGAGCACTAGTGGGAAGGAGCCTGAGTTGTTGGAACCTGTTCCCTATGAATTCATGGCATAAGCTGGGGATGGAGCTCTGTCATTCAGTACCTAATTGGCAGTTAAGTGTTCTGGGCCCTACTTAAGAATAAAAAGTCATCTTGTGTCGTAAGCATGGTTTTCTTAATTGAACAGGTGTGGAACCTTTACCTCAGAAACAAATATTTGGAGCAGATTTGCATTCTACCTAGTTAATTGTGTCAGGTCTTTACGCTGCAGTGTTTTTCTTCCTGAAAGATACTGCAGAGGTGTTGTGCAGGCGTGTACCCAAATGGCCAAATATTTATGAAATGTTTATATTGGCTCAATGACCCAATAGGGAAAACATCACCATGGGGAAAAGATGTGGCAAAATAAAATGGATAAGATGTGGCAAAATAAAAGTCACATTAGTTAAATAAATGGAAGTTCATTTCAGTTAAACAGTTTACAGCACCTAAAAGTCTCTTCCTCACTAGGAATCTGCATGTTTTCAGCACGTACCTCAAAACTCCTCCTGCTCTACACTGTAGCCAGTACTACAGAAAGGTCCACATTTTCATAGAGTCACTAGAGCGGCACCTCACTGTTTTGTACCAATAGCTGTATTTTTTCGCTTGAGTCACCATAATAAACACAGGCTGGGGGCCTTGAATGAGCAAAACATATTTTCTCATACTTCTGAACCTGCAAGTCTGAGATCGCAGAGCATGCCACCAGGGTTTGATTCTTAGTAGGAGGGCACTCCTCTCTCCCTTGATTGCAGACAGCTGCCTGCTCAGTGTGTCCATGTGTCTTTTCCACTGTGTGTGTGCAGGTAGAGACGGCCAGATAGCAGGCTCTGTGGAGTCTCATCTAAAGACTCTGAATACCATCAGCTCACAGCCCCACCAAAACGACCTCATTTAACCTTAGTCATTTCCTTAGAGGCCTTATCTCTGAATTCAGTCACACTGAGAACCAGGACTTCATTGCATGAATCTAGAGGAAACTCTTAACTTTAGTCTAAACTTCACATTTTAAAATGTGAGCAAAATACGTTTCTTAATACATGAATTAATCATTCATAAGCTATAAGAATCAAGAAAATAGCCACTACATTTTTGTCGTCTTTTTCTTAATGCTTTACAAATGTTCTCATTTACTGTTATTTTTACCATATACATAAAGTTTGTGTTACCAAGATGGAGTTGTGAAAGACAACATTATATACTTACGTTCTTTTTGGAACTCTAAATGGAGTCATTCTATAATTCAAAAATGGACTTGAGATCTCAAGAAACTGTTCAGGCTTCTTTATTACTGAAACTAAAAATAGCAATTATGAAGCACAATATATATGTCTTTTTATCTTTCATGATAGTAGGCAGAGTTAATATTTATCCCAGAACTGATTAGATTACTATTTGCACAACACATTTCAATAAGGGAAAAGGGATAAATAAAGATGCAGCGATATCTATGGCTTTTTACAGAAAGAATTGATCTTATATTTCTTTTGTCCATCCTCAGTTGCTTGCCAGAGAGCAACATGAAGCAAATCAGGGGAGGTTGGCAGGGGACTCAGGGATGCCTTGCAAAACATTCCTTGGCATTTGCTGCTAGTTCAAGTACAGAAGTGATTTTCCCTAACTCTTTCACTAAAACCACGTGTCCTTTAATTAACTTGTGCAGCACTGGCGCCCAACCCCTGGGAGGTGCTAAGTGGTATGTGGCGTAAGTGGAAGGCAACGACCTAAGCTTCATCTGTTTGTGGCTGCTCACATCACTGCCTGAGCTCTGCCTGCTGCCAGCCAGAGCATCACAATCTCACGAAAGCACACACCCTGCTGTGAACTGTACATGCAGGAAGTCGAGGTTTTGTGCTTCTTATCAGACTCTAACAATAATAACAGGAATAAAGTGTACCATGTAATAGTAATAAAAATAAAGTGCACACTAAACGTCATGCACTGGAATGATCCCAAAGTGTCACTCATGGTTGAGATTTGTTGACAAAAAGGTTGGAGACTGCTGCTCTACAACACAACTGCTTGGAAATAAATAGAAAATGTAGTAAAAGAAGAGAAAATGTATCAAAGTAAAGGTCAAGAGTAGAAACAGAAGCAGGAGTTCCCCCTGTGGATACTTCTAAATCTAAAGCTATCTACAAGTAGGAAATTCTCCACTGGAAAGGGACACAGACTATGAGTTAACCATGGTGAGCACTGAAATTAAACGTGAGGTATTATGAGTAGGAAAGAAGTGAGGCCTGGATACCGTATACACAATGTTCTTCAATCGTTTGGTACTATCCTCCAAAATGATCTGCCTCCTATTTTTATTAATTTTTACATTAAATATTAAACTCAGTGGAGAGAAGAAAGCAATTATATGATGAGCCCCTAGAAGAAGGAACCAACCTTCTGGAATCCCACCAATCATGAAATAATCATCCCCAGTTTACAAAAGAGTAGTCCCTCTTCCATTCAAACATTGTGCTTAAGGAAAACAAGAGAAAGAATGAAAGCTCATAGAGAATAATAAACCGAGAAGGTGTGAAGCCACTGCTGGGAGGATTTAAAAAGGAACTGCGAGAACAGGAACATGGTGAGGAGACGCCCCTCCATGAGCCTCGCCCCTGGGAATCTCTCTGTTTCTGAGGACGGCTGTATGACAGTTCTAACACAGGAGCCACCTCAGGGTAGAAGTTCTGTTTCTGTGAGAGTTCTAATTATAAATCAATAATTCAAAAATTATGTTCTACATGATACTCAATGGTGATTTCCACAATAGAAATTCACTCCAGTGACTTAATATATGCTGTTTAACTGCCATATTATTTATTGCAAACTATCACACTGGACACACACATAAATAATTAATTTATGACAAACTACCACACTAATTTTAATACACTTTGCTATCATCACACTAATAATAACCATGCCAATGCTCACTTTGGCAGCACATATAACAGCAATCATGCCATCACTGAAAGAATAACCTGAATCTGTCTGCCCAATTTACACACAAACCAAACTGCTCTGCTTCTGAGATATGAACAATTAATTCTCTGAAGATATAAAACCTGGATACAAAATTCAAACAGGTTTTTAGGTGCAATGGTTAGATGTATATACCTTGACATACATCTTTCACAGCAAAAGAAACTATTCATCCTTTAAATAGACAATTGTTCACTATAAAGATTCTAAGACCATGCAAAGCATACCTTGCGGTTCATCTGTTATCACAGTTTCTTTTTTATAGCGAATGAGTTTCCACGGTGGTATCAGGGGTGGTTTTGATGGTGCTACAAGGGGACAAGACCTACTTCTTGTCACCAGCACAGGATGGCTACAGATATGGGAAAGTCCATATTCTCTAACCTTTTCAGCAGAGTCCGCCTAAAAAATGGAAAGATTCAAAAGGATACCTGTAATTATCTCCACATTTAAAATAATAGCTTTGTCAATATGAAAATACTATCTCCACTATTAGAGTAATTTTAAAAAGCTCACATTTCTGCCTTTCATGATATAAGCCCTATTTCTGCTAGTATATCTTTCCATTTTAATTTTTGTAGGATGTATTTCTCTATTTGAAAGAAGAGGGAGCAAAACTCAAAGATACTTTTCAGTTCTAAAATTAAAAGATCCTATGAGATTGAAAAAACTTAGCACACCAGTTTTGGTCCAACATTAATCAGTATTATTTTTACAGGTTAAAATTTAATACTAGTGTTTATCATGTAAAGTTTTTTTTTAATCACAAGCAATTGTTACCTTTTATGAAAAATGTATCAAAGTGTAATCACGTCAAGAGATGGCAAGTAGTTGTTTTATCTATAAATTATACCTTCTTCCAAGTAAATTCCCCCCATTATGCATAACAATGAAGACAGTCATCAAAGTGCAGGGGGTAAACTAGTTATTCAGGCAGATATTTCTTATACTTAAATGTTCAGATGTCCTGATCCCTTTGCTTTAGAATAATTCAAAAAAATATCTAAGCAGAGTTTTAGTTATTAATTACTGGCTAAATTATGTCATGAGAAATTTTACAAAGTAAATGAAAGCTAGAATTTTATGTATTATAGCCAAGTTCTGACTTTTACAATTTGGCTTAACATTTAAAGTAAAATAAAGTGAAATATTCACTATATTAAAATCAGTAACTTTCTTCCTCATGATACTGCATCATTGATTTCCATGCAATAGCAACAACTGAGACTGTAAATGTATTTAAGTTAGGACAGAAACCCACCCAATAGTCCATCACAATTATTACTTCAGCTGGAACCTGCCTTGATCTCAGGCTTCTGTCTCTGTATAGCTTAATCTGCACTTCTCAAGACACAAAAGGAGACAAAGGGAACAATGATTGAATGGTTATTAAAAGTAGCATAATTAGGAAATAAAGGGAACTGTTATTTTCTCTGTATCATTTTTGCAGATTTTAGCTACTTACTTTTTAAAAAAATCTTTCCTAGATGATCCATGGTCTCAATCTTTTTCTTACCTAATAGTGTTAATTCAGTCAAGGTTTACAGGTTCCTGTTTTAAAGGTTTGCAAGTGGAAAGCTGTTTTTTAATGGGAGTGTATGGAAGAATTTGAGCTCATTCAGCAATATTGCCTCAATATAGTATTTTTTAAAAGGTATATTACTATAAAAGTCACATTTAAATAGTATCCAAAATAGAAGTCAGACAAAAGTGATACTTATAAGTTAATCACATTCCACACACTGTACCAGTTATAATTTTGGTTTATGCATCCTAAACTCTCCTCACAATTGTAACCATTGTTTTAGACTTAAAATGACTTTCTTTTTTGAATTGTAAAGCATTAGAAAAGACGATGATTGAAAATATTTTGGAAACAAAACATTAGTCCAAGTAACAAAGTGTGGTATTAGCATCTACTTGTAATTTGAATAGTCTGCCAAAGTACTAACTTGATTTAATTAGGAGAAAATCTAAAATAACAATTTCTCATACTTGATTTTATTTTCAACATATACGTAACACTTCTCACTTGCGTAAAGTAATCCTACTAATGACAGCTACAGGCTAATGTTAGGAAACTTCATTAAAGGAGCTCAAAGTTCCTTGAGTAATAATTAAGGGCAGAAGGGCCAGGTATATAGCACAGCAGTACAAACACCTGAGTTTGATTCCTGATACAAAAAAAAAAAAAAAAAAAAAAAAAATTAAGGGCAGAGAGTGACTTAGGACAGTACCTGAAACACTCAGTAGGTGCTCACTTAATGTTGGCTAAATAATTCATGTGTAAGACTTAAATAAGTAAAATCAGTCAAAACAAGATGATGAGAGCAATACAGGGCTTCAAATCAAATTAATAGGAAATCAAAAAAGTTACTATAATATATCCTGCTAAATTTTTTTATTTTTTCCCCTTAATAAAAACATAAATAAAAATTTTTTTAAAAGGGGGAGATTGAGATAAAAGAGGACCTAACAACATAACAACACAGGTCAGAACAGAACAATTTAAGCAACATAATTTTCACCACAAGATAACCATAGTGTTTTACCATAGTGTCTCTTTTCTTGAAATATTTGAGTATAACTTCATATACTATAGCATCAAACATATTAACACAGTGTGAAACCATTCAAGAAGATGAAATTATTATAGGGTATTTAGAACCAGCTAACAGAAAACAAACAATGGTTTCTATATTATCTCTTTGCCTATAAAAAATTTTGTTTATACTATCTCATATAAATCTTGTTTTGACTGATTTTACTCTATTTTGTTTTGTTTGATAGTATCAAGTTTGAGGATATAGGCAACTATTTTGAAGGCAATAAGATTCACTATGATGCCCATTCTGGTTAGACTATTATCTTCTTTTGAAGTCCTGTAATGTCTCCAATGTTTCAGTTTTATTGGTTTTGTTCTGTACTGTTTTGTTCAATTTTATTATACCTGATGATATAGGCAATTCTTTTTAAGGTAGCAAGAAGCATTATGGTAAGCATTGTTGATCACCTTGTATTCTGTTTTTACATCATGTACTATGTCCATCCTTTGTTTTGACTGACTCTGCTTTGTTTTGTCACATTTGGTTTTATTCTCCTCCAAAAAAGAAGTAACAAGAACTGTGGGAGTAATAAAACCCAAAATGTGTAATTGTTAGTGTAAAGAAGAGAGGAAAAGAAAGTGCTCTAAAGGATACAACTGCAAGTGTGTTTAGGTGTGTAAGACAGATGACCATATTACTAAGTTTTTGTCGAATCATTGAACACAACTGTTTGCAGTCTCACTGTTTGAATGTCCACTTTGTATGCTTTAATTTTGTAACTTAAACAAATATTTCTAAGATGACAATATGTAATCTATTAACTAGTAATTTCTTATTGTTTATTTTTTGAAATTCTGTATTATTTGTACCCTCTTACTGTTTTTTTTCTCTTTAAATAAAAATTTTTAAAAAGACTTAAATTAGAAGGGTCCTTTTCTAAGACTCTTTTATTCCTTTATCCATTCCATTTCAAATTTTTTAAAAACAAGGAACAGGAGTTGTGGCAAGTAGAGGAAGCACTTTTTAAAAATTCCCAAGTTGTTCACCTAAATAATACCATTTAGATACCTAAACGGAGGAGGACGTTGGATAAGTAAGACAGTTCATAATATCTAGTTCCTTCTTCAGTTTTGTTCTTATTTTTGTTATAGTCTTTGTCACTTCTTTAAACAAATGTAAGTCATGTATTTTACCTGTTGAGCTCATAGTTTTTGAAGCTGTAACATTTAATAACACACTGCATTTAACAAAATTTCATTAGGAGAAAAACTGTTCCCTATAGGTCTATAAACTGTTATATCCTGGTAACTATCAGGGAAACTAGAAGGGCTTCACAGATAGCGAGCCTGTAAGAATCAGCATGAAGACGGGGGCTATGACACTACAACAGTCCTGCGGGTCACTCGCTGTTACAGACACTGAGCTATCTCCAGATCCTCTGGTGTCTTAGACCACTTCCAACCCCAAAAGAAAAGCTTATAAAGATATTTCTTTATTCCAAACTTCCATCCTCAATTTTAGCTGTCTTGGAGTCTCCTTCCCTTCTAGTTTAATCGCTTCATCTGCAGATTTTCCAACAGTAGATCAATTCTGCTTTGAACCCATTTTTCGTAGTTACTTTCTTAGGGTCCTAAACAGGTAGCTCTTCCTTTGGAATGACTTCTCTGGTCTCAAGGACAAAAAGTAACGCATTTGTATTTTATCTCCCTTTTTTTTTTTTTTTCTTTCTTTCTGAGACAGAGTTTCACTCTCTCTTGAGCTTGAGCCTTGAGCTCACTTTGTAGCCCAGGCTGGTCTCAAACTCACAACGATCCTCCTGCCTCAGCCTCCCAAGTGCTGAGATTATAGGTGTGCGCCACCACTTCCAGCTTCTCTCACTGATTTTTTTCACCACTGACTCAAATACTCCTTGCATCATTCCTCCAACAAACATTTCTGCACCTTACCTACCACCCACAGACACCTGTTAGCGCTATTGCTATGAGCTTTTAATTGTATTATTGTTGGTCCCTTAACTGTGCCTTCTTCACTGAATATATTATAAACGTCTGTTGAATTAACCAATGAATAAACACATGTAAACGTTAATAGTCTTTCTTACTCTTTTAAATTCAAAGCTAACTTTGTGTTTTAAGTCTTAGTTTATTTGCAGAACCACCACAAGTTCCAAGGGATTATTCTATTTACACTGCAGTTTTAAAAGGAGTTCAGTACTTCTTAGACATAATGCCATGGCACGCCACAAAACATGGCTGATGTCTTTAGCAGTATTGATAGTCTTTGCTCTCTGGAATAAGTGAGACAGTGCCTGGGCCTGTGGAATGCAATGAAGCCAAAAACAGGTATCAGAGATGAAGTGGTGGTATTTTTTACCCCTATTGCGTCTCTCAAAATGCTTGAAGATGGTGCTTTTGGAGAGCCGTTGTATCACGAAAGCACTGCACGCTGATGGATTCATCTGCTGGCCAGTTCAGTGGCTGTTAAAAGGCGGGGCCTGGTCAGTGGGGACCGAGTTAGCAGGAGCGTGACCCTGAACGGTATTTCTCTCTGCCCACCGCCTCCTTTCTGGTTCTACTTCCTGTTTACCGTGACATCAGCAGCTTTCTGCCATCCATGCCTTTAGTTTCTGCATTTGAATGTGTCAATCACTGACTGCAACTTCTCAAACAGAGCCAAAATAAACTTCTTCTCTTTCAAGTTGCAGGTGTTGGGTTTTGTGTCACAGTAATGCGTTAAGTGACTAACACACATGGCCAGACGTAATCTCATCAACAGGCTCAATCTGAGAGAGGTTTTGGAAGCACACTTGGGCTGTTCAGTGTTACTGCCTTTAAGATTCGGGCTAAATTTTTGATCTGTTTAATTAAACCACAGATAATGCTATTTAACTTTGAATTAAAATCAAAGAAACTGCCACTATTACGTTCTGTCATTCTTATGATGTCACCACTGTTTCATGGTAGTTTTTTGCATTATAGGAATAGGTTTTTATCAAAAAAAAAAAAAAAGATGAGTCAAAGGAATATGAGGATGCAGAAGAGAGGAGGAGAAAAATGACATTAAGCCTTAGGCTAATATAAATGCAAATATATATAATGGTCATCTAACTGTAATATTTTCAGTTAAAGCTAATTTTCATTAAAGTTTTAAAGCTCAGCTCTTTCTGACTAACCAAATGACTATTATATCACTGCACCACCTAATCTTGTACTTTAAGATGTTAGAACCTTAACAATAAAGTGCTAGCTGTCTAAAGTCCTAAAACTTTAGGATCCAGTAAGCCTCAAATACAATACAGCCTTTGTCTAAAAAGACTGAGTAGTAACATGATTGGCTTTAGCATAATAAGGGAAGGAGAAATATTGTTCTTCCCTTTAAGAGCAAAAGGTAGTTTCTAACTGTGAAACTGCGTAAATACTATGCAACCACTAAGCATATAGGAAGTAATTGAAAAATATGATTAAAAATTAAAATTTTGAAAAAATTTATTATAGTAAAACATACACTGCCATTAAGTCCCCTCAAAATACTCTCTCTAGCTTCCGAACCCATTTATCCCAGTAACCTTGCCACTATCTGAAGCACTTCTAGGAGTTCTCTTTCACTGCTTTGCAAGATGTTATCAAAAATACAATGACTGGTGCTGCTGAGTGCCACCAGCAGCAAGACAGGCTGCTATGAACATTCGTGCTGCATCCTCGCCCCCCTTATTCGCTGGACCTGGTTCATCTGGCTTCTGGCTCTCCCCCAAGGTCAAAGTGACCGTGAAAGGTAAGTGTTTTGGATAAAGTCAGCAACTTGAGGAAGCCACAGCAACACAACTAAAGACATAAAAAAGGACCGGATGCCAAAATGTCTGTGTTGCCTGTGTCCAGACATTCACACTATACTTGGTATTCCTTTTGACTGCATTTTCTAAATTTCTCATAATTTTAAATCTATAAGGAAAAGCAATTAATATTTATTTGTACTACTTTATGATATAGCAAAGATGATACAGTGGCTCACTCACCTGATTGCAAACTCATTTAAATTATATTAAGAAAATGTGTGTGGTCTTCTTATGGGAGGGTTGTTAACTGTTATTTAGGATTGATGTATGTGATTTTCCTTAAAATGTGCTATATATTTCCCTTTGTATATAATATGAAATGTTTAAAAATAAAATGTAACTATATCTTTTTCTCATAATTGAGTAGTACTGCAACCATCTAAGATAATTTTAGATGTGCCAAGTCCCTTAGATCAAATAATCCCCCCCCTACTACACAAACACACACATACCTTACGTGATGTTGTATTTTCAGAACTGAATGCTTACCATATTCCTTAATGTAAAGATATTTTTTTCATACAAATAGAGAGGCTTAAATGTGGCATATACAGCCATATAAGGGGACTGCGTTGGTGAAGAACCTATAAAACAAACATATTGTGTCATGAAAATTCTAGTCAAATGAATCTAGCCAGTCACTCTCTCACTATGTCCTCACATGGCTCTTCTCCACATGCACACAAGGATAGAGAGGGAAGGACAGAGAGAGCTGGTATCTCTACATCTTTTTATAAAGACACAAGTTCTATAGGTTTTTCACTTGGTGACCCTGTTTAATCTTAACTAGCTCCCTAAAGATTATCTCCACATAGAGTTACCTTGGTGGTTAGGGCTTTCAGCTAAGGATCTGGCAAAGAAACAACATCCATAATATTCTACTCTCCGACTCTCCCTAAAACCTTGTCTTTATCACAGGCAAATTACATTCACCCTATTGCAACAGCATCAACAGTTTTAACTGATTTCAGCATCCATTCCAAGTTCAAAGTCTTAGGCTAAGCTATGGCCAAGACTTAAGGCATGATTCATTCTGATTGAAAATTCCTGTCCTAAAGTCCATCCACTGTTATGAAATTAAGACACTAGATAAGTTACATGCTTCCAAAGTACAGTGGCAGAAGAGCATGGAATAAAACATTTTCATTCCAAAAGGAAGAAACAGGAAAGCAAGGAGGAAAGTCTGATGGGTCCCAAATAAGTATATAAGCTCACTAACAAATTCCATTAATTTGGAATTTCTTAGTGAGCTTATATAGTCAATGGAAACCCGAACATTTTCATCTTTATATAATAGGAACATATAACTACATCTCCTGTGTCTCTTCAGTCACAACGTGTTACATAAAAAGTATGCTTGCAGGTGGCATAGACAACTACTTCCAGTATCCCACATCACTGGTTATTTTTAAAACAGGAAAAGAACTGAGTCCCATTGTGAGCAAAAAGCTATATACATGTTTTTTTTTAAGTACTTAAGCAAATAACTTTAATTTACTTGGATCTGGATAATACATTTAGCCACTGAGTATTTTTCAATTATCTGAAAATGAACAACTTCTCCCATCACTGTGGTACCACAAAAATGTGGACAGCCTTACTTTTGTCCTTCTTATAGGACCTGGTCCCACTGCCTATTCATTTCTGTAATAGACCCAACATTTTGGGGAAATTTTTACAAAGCTTACTTAAGATATTTCAAAAGAGAAGATGGAACGAGGGACGTGGCTCAGTAGACACAATGCCTGCCTGGCAAGCATGAGGTACTGCGTTGGATTCTCAGTACCAAAAATATAGAGAAAGAGAGGGCAAAAGAGAGACAGAGAAAAAAAATGTATTTCTACATTTCAACATTTTCCAGCAATTTAGTAAAAAAATTACAATAATTATCATTCTCAGAACATGAACTTACAATCTGACAGGGACTGCACAGAGTTATACACATCGGACGAGGGTCTTGAACCATGTCGAGACAGTTTGAATTTGTCCTTGTCCTTTTCTTTGTCTCCATCTTTATTTCTCTTCTTCCCGGGGTCTTTTGCATCTATTTTTTCCCACATATTAAAAAATCATAATAAATGTTTTAAATAGCAATCTCAAAGTGTGTTTCTTGCCCAGTAATCATGTTTTTAAAAGGCCAAAACAATAGTATTATTTAAATATGAAATTAGCTACAATTTTCCCAAAACATAGTTTATCCCAATTACAAATGTCACAATAAAGTTAGAAAAAAGTTTAAAAATTGACATTTATAGGACATTTTTGCAATGCTGCTTATTTTACATAATAACTAAATTTTTGCACGTACCTTTATATTTCATGGAGATCATTATTTGAATTTTTATTTATGTAAAATTATAGTGTGAAGCTAATTTTTTCATTTCAAAATAAAAATTAAAAACAGCAAAACATGTTCTAAAAGGTGGGTTTTTAACTGTGGAGCACACTCAGACCATCTTTGAATCTTTAGTTCAGGGTTATCTTTTTGAGGAGATGAAATCCAACCAACAACCACAAACCAACCTTTATTGCCAACATAGCTTTTGTAATAAAATCAGTATCTAGAACTAGCCACATCATTTATGTGAGTTCTAATTCATAAGTACATTTCCATGAAGCATCTTTTCCTCTTTTGTAAAAAATTATACCAATTACCTCTAGTAATCAGAAATTTTAGATTTTGCCCATTTCATTCTCTGCATTCTCTATAATTGTCATTGATCATATGCTTATTTTAAAAATTTAGCATAAATAAAACATTGTGATATCAACTATATATAATGTTTTTTAGCACCCAAAGTAAACTAATTTCATATTTGCAGATTTAACACCTATGTTTCTTATAAAAACAAACTTCAATGAGACATTTAACTGGGGAACTTAAGTACATACAGTGACTGATCAAAATTTTATTTTGTGGATTTTACTTAAACTTTAACTTAATGAAACTGATTTAGAGTAGCAATAAGTGATTCTATTTATAATTTTAAAATTGGACTTTAGCAGCCTTCATATTCTTATTTGGGAGTTATGACTTAAAAATAATACTCCATAATAAATAGAAAAATAAGCTGCTTCATTTAGAAATTTAGAAATAATATGCTGTGTGCTTTGGCCAATAGCTAAAAGTTACTCCTCTGTCATTTAATCCTACCAGCCTGACAAAACTCCATATAAGCAAACTTCGCAACTGGGTCCTGCTGGAGATTACTTTCTCCTACTTCTACAAACTTCACACTTATTTTAATCCTCCATGAGTTTGCACCTTCCATCTGCACCCCAGAGTTCATAGGCGAAGTTGCTTATTAACAGGGAAAGGAATTTTTGTCAGAATTCTTCGCCCTCTCTCCACTAAAGCCATGTGTCCACACACATCTGCACCCACTTGTCCTGTGACCTGTGCCCATATACTAGAAGGGAGCACCACTGCCCTTCCTGGGCCATGCCAATTCCTTTAGACGGGCTGTCACTCTTTGATGTCCCCATGTTTTTATTCAAAGTGTACTTGTCGCTGGGGATTTAGCTCAGCGGCATAAGCGCCTGCCTTGTAAGCAGGCAGTCGTGAGTTCGATCCCTGGTACCGATAAAAAACGAAAAAAGACAAAAAAAAAAAAAAAAAAGTGTACTTGTCAATGTCTCCCAAATGCATACCACCAACCTGAGACTCTAAAAATTAATGTGACTTAAAGGAATATTTGATGTTATCTTTACCAAGTGCTTTCATTTTTTTACGACAGAAATAGCTCTCAAATCAGTTACTTTATATGCATCTCTACCCTGCCTTCTTATCCTACGTGCTGCCTTCTCACAGGTGTGCTATGACAGTCACCAAAGTGTTCTTTCTACGTCCACTTGTGTCACCTATGCTCTCTCTGATCGCACAATCTTTTCTTCTCAGTAATTCCAGAGCGATATTTTGAAAATGTAAATTAAATGGTCGTTCTGTTCCAAAGTCTTGATTGAAGCCAGGCATGGTGGCAGAGGACTGTAATACCAGCATTTGAAAGACTGAGGCAGGAGACTCACTATGAATTCAAGGCCAGCTTGGGCTACAAAGTGAGTTCAAGGCCAACCTCAACTGCATACTGAAACCTTGTCTCGAAATGACAAAAAAGTCTTTTTTGGCTGTTATCAATTCTTATGACCAAGATTAGTAGCTGTGGCATGATCCAGAAGATTTGATCAGGTCACTCTTCCTCCTTTGCCAGGCTCTCTCCAGCTACTCTACCCTTTACTTCCTTCACCTAACCACATTCTGTGGCTGTGTTACCCTTTCGGCAAGCCCTGTCTTCTCTAGGTGAGTCCCTCCTGCCCTCACAAACATAAATCAACATCCCCTAGGAAATTCTTCCCCACCATATGAACTGTCATAGTTTCTGGTATTTCCCTTGAAAGCACATATTTAGTAAATGATTACAAATTATTTTTATTCTTCTCAATGTTAGTTTCCTTCACTGTAAATTCCAGGAGGCGAGTTCCACACCTGATTGTTTATCAAGACCTCACCAGTTTCTGGAAAACTCTGATCAGCATGGAGTATATTTAGATCAGTTGATAAGAGGACTGGGTGGCTGGATATTAATTTGTGAGACCGCTAAAAGCAAATTAATTTGGCATACACTGGGTAAAATAAATTCCGTCAGTGTGATCATTAATTCTAATAGGTTCATTTCTTTGAATTAAGAAACCCCTAGAAGATTAGAACAGGCATTCTGAGCCGGTCATAGAAGTATGGGCCTTCCCCTTCTGGGACTGCTCCTTGCTCTGCTTCCCGGCCTCCCTAAACCAAGCGGCTTTGCTCACCGGGCCCTTCTGCCATAATATTCCTGCCTCAGAGCCAGCTCTCCGCGGACTCGATTCCCCAAACCTCAAGCTAAATGAAACCTCTCCTCCCTTACGGTTGAGTGTCAGGTACTGGGTCCCAGCAACAGGAAAGCCAACTAATATAGTCAGGGTTCTTTGTTTCTGTTTTTGTTTCATAAATTAATACACATTACATCATTTCAAGAGGGAATATATTGCACACATTTGATCTTGGTACTGTACATTTTTTGAGAAAAACCTAAACTAAAAATTTCTGGATAGTATAGTATGAGAAATGCTGGTAGATATGCTCTTGAAAAGGGATGATTCTGACAAAATATCAATATAAAACAAAAATATTTAAGTGGTTATTTGAGATACTAAAATATACAGAAAAATCTGATTATCTGCTGTTTATTTAATTCTGTTTTACAAACATCATTGCTTATATGCATAGCTATATATTTTATTGGATACAAAATAGATAATACTATTTTTCATTTTGAGAAAAACATATTTCTGCTCTTTGCAAAGTAAGTTGAAATTATTTTTTCTTCAGACTTGAATTCCCACCTTTGAATAAATTATTTGAAAATCAAATCTGTGCTCATTTCATATTCCCGAAACAAAACAGGATATTTTTTCTCCTTTGCTGTTTTGGCTTGTCCCACTCTAAATATAACATGAGAAAGGTGTACTCAATGGAAATTTAGGATTCAATATCTCTTCCTATACTAATGCTGCACTAATTTAGTAGAGGATGATATTTAATTTATAAAATTTGTAGTAAGAATTAACATATAGTAAGCACTATTATAAATTCTGAAGTTCTACAAACAGAAGATTTGAACTACAAGGTTGTTTTCACTGCTTTTAAGACAGTGACAATAAAAGAAGCATTAGATTAAATAGGACTGTCAACTAGAGACTCTGACCAAAAAAATGTGTATGAACTTTAGGAAAAGAAAAACGGTATAGTATTTTTTCCACAGATGGCGCTGCCCTTGTGTGGGAGACACTAGAGGATGTCATCTATCACAGAGAACCTACTACACTGTTGGCATATAGAGAAGAAGTTTAAAATGCACATGCACCAATCTCAGTGACCAAGGTTACTCAAGCAGCAGTTCACCCTACTAATAAACGCCTGGAAGCTAAGGACCACCCTTTGAGCACCTCTTGTAATTGCAGAGGTCAAAGGAAACTTGTACTAAATTCGTGATTTCTAAATAAATTCATTATTAAAATATTTATGCAAGTTTTTCTTCTCCTGAAATGTGTGGATATTTTTGGTGGACACTATATTTATATGCAGTGTTCACGTTGGGCAGCATTCTGGAGTAAAATGTCTCACCCTTGAGAAATCTGTCACTTTTCTCAGGTCCTTTCAGAGTAGTTGCGGAAGATTCGGGTTTGAATTCCTTGGAGTCTTTCACTTCCTTTCCGTCTTTTCCTTCTTTGCCATCTTTGCCATCTTTTCCTTCTTTGCCGTCCTTTGCAGTTTTTACTGCTTCTTTTATCTTTGTATCTATCACTGTTATTTTGTTTTCAAAGCTGGGCTCATCTGACAGCTTAAACTCAGGCAGGATTTCTTTCAGGAACTCCCAAACTTTGTCCACATATCCTTCGCTTGAAGAAAAGACACCAATATTAATATCCAACAATGCTTTTTTCATTTCACATCAAACAATTATTGACAGAAAAATCAACGTGGTATTGTAAAAAACTAATTGATTGTTACATCAATCTTTGGTTTTAAAAAATAATTATACATTTATTCATTCAACATGCTTTTATTGAAGGCCTAGTACAGTGGTGATTAACCTAACCATTAACCTATTCCACAACAGTCTATTTGCATCCTTGAGAGCTCTAAAAGGTTCACCACGACTGGCCTAGTATGTTCTAGGCTTTGCTGATACAAAATGACCAAGAACATGGTTCTCATCTCAACATCACTCATTCTTGCAGGGGAAAGAGGCTTATTAATGAACATGACAAGGGAAAAACAGGTATCTGAGTATCTATGGAGTGGCAGGTAGCTCCCCATGTGAAAGGCCCGTCGGACCTGGCTCCTTTGTGAAATATGACATGGTTGTTACTCTCTCCTCTTTTAGATCTTTCCTGCGGCTCTATACCATCAGTCTTTCCTAGTTTTATTTCTCTTACTAGAGAAATTGCATGCAGACTCCTTCAAACACTCTTCTGCTCAATGTAGATGGTTGAGGATTGCTTGTCTGAATTCTCTCCTTCGTGGGCTTGCCATGCTCTTTCCTCAGTGGATCACCAGCCGTGGTTTGGCCCCTGCTCATGGATATAATTCCCAAAGCACGAGCTCACCCTTAAACCTTCCTCTTGATATCCAGCCCTATTAGGTGCACACAACCACCTAATAGGCATCTGTCTAAATAGAAACACAAAAATAGCAACAAAAATGTGCTGCTACCACTTTCTGCAGAGTAGTCAAGATCCAAAAGGAAGAATAATCACATTTTGTTTCCTTACAGTCTTGACCAAGCAAAATATACTGCCTTGCTTTGACCCTCTCTCCTCCCACTGTGGTGGTCGCCCATCCTGCAGTCTCATCACCTGCTGCTCTGAGAAAATCCCTCTGCAAGACCACTCTGGCAATCTTCTTGCTCCCCTCTGCCATGTGCTCTACTGCTCTGAGCAGTCTTCCAAAACCACAAATCCAGTAATGTCACCCCCTGTCTAAAAATCCTCAGTGACTTATGCTCCCTGTCCAGATGCTGTGAAAATTCCTGAACACAGCATCAAAAGCCTGGGTCTATCCCCACCCTCTGCATCACCCTCTGGAAGGCAGCACATCGTCCAGACACGCAGGTTTTCTAAGCTGACACCCTGCTCTCTTCTACTTCCTAGCTTGTCTTTCTTCTCTGAATTGTTTTTCTCATCTCAACCAGCTGCATTAATTTCAAATAATCCCTTAAAGTCAGTTTAAGCATGTTTTCCTAGGGAATTAAATCTATGTTGCTGTTCTGAGTTCTCAAAGAATCTTTTAGCACTTCTAACGTAGCTTTTAAATACCTTTAAAAGTACTTTTCAAGTTATGCGTTCAGCACGGTCATTCAGTGTCACCGTTCTACACACAACAGAGTATGACACAAAAGAATCCCTACCACCAGCTCTCACGGCCCTTACCATCTAGTAGATGGATTGGAAGTGGTAATACCTTGCCTGATGAAAATGAAATAAAGAATTATTTAGGTGTTCAAGAAACCTATTTGAGGTGCTGATATTTAAGCTGAATGAGACCCAAAAGTTATAACACACTCAACAAAGTGAGTATTTGATAGGGGATCATTCCAGGTGGAAAAAGAAAAAAACTTAGGTAAAGATCCTAAAGGACAGTAAGTCTTATATGTTTCATGTTTGAAGAATGAAAAAGGCCGAGGTGCCCAGGCCATGCTTGGCAAGATAAAATGTGATCATGGATAAAGTCAGAAATTGTATAGGATTTAGATCTTGCAGATCCCTGAGGACCAGAGTAAAGATTTGAAAACTCCACACAAGTATCCCAGTTAACCACTGCAAGATTTTAAGCAAGGGGAGTTATATGATCTGATTTACATTTTTGAACAATTTTCTAGTTACTTTGTGGGGAAAAGGAGGGTAAACAGACACAGGGGAAGAGCTCTAAGGCTGGTCTGCTTCCTGAGAGCAGTGACGATGGGCTGAACCAGGATGGGAATGGCCGGAGGTGGACAAATAGATGAGGTGGAGGAGATACCGTGACAGAGCGTGGTGAGGGCCACCATGTGAGAGGGGAGGAGCACGATCTCTTGAGAACACTCCTAGTTTCTTCTTCAGGTAAATTGTGGTGCAGTGTGCTGAGGTGCGGACTAGAAAAGCCATAGGCTTGGGAGACAGAATCGACTGTATTTTGGGCACCTACATTGCATATGTAATTTAGGCAATTGAGGATGATAATATCCTACAGCTCAGGAAATGGTGATCAGACATAACGATATAAAGTTGAAATTTATGGGCAAAAGCTTGTTATTAAGTGGCTTTGTGGCGGCTTAGGAAACAGCTGAGAATAGCAGAAAATAAGAGGGGGGGAAACCTGGACAGCGTGTTACTCTAGAAGCCAAGTGAATCAAATTTTGCAAATGAAATTGTTCAGAGTCAAATACTGGGGTGCTAAATAAAGGGGGGCAAAGAAAGCAATCACTGGACACAATCTTAAGCCTCTTGTTGACCTTAAAGAAAAAAGCCCTTTCACTGGTTTAAGCCCTCCTCTTATGCAAGAGAAGGAACAAAGCCCCGAGAAGAGACTGAGAGATGCCTGCGAAGGCCACTCATGCACTGAGACTTTCATACCACCAGCTCACCCCATTTGTTTTCCTCAGAAAAAGTAATAATTGGTATCCTTGTGCATCATCCGTGAGTTGCTCAAGTATCTGAACTGCCTCTGCTCATCAACGGCTCTTGAGGACCTTGCAGACAGTCAGCCTGCCGATGTTTTATTTTTGCATTTAATCTCACAACAGCTTTACAGCATGGGTATTACAACCCTAATTCAGGCTTAAGAGGTTGTAAATTTAATGCAGCAACATAAAATTACAGGGTCAGAATTCAAACAGATATTTGTGAATCCAAATTCTATATTGTTGTATGTTTCTCGTCTGTAATATAAAAAGTTATGCTCTGAAGAAGACATATTTAGATGTCACTACAGAATGATACCACATAACTGCAGAGACAATTTGGCTTAAATATAGGATGGCAGGATGCTGGTTTCACAGAGAGACCATGAATCAGAGTTGCATGTTGACCAATGAGCCATCCCTTCCTTTGAAATTGTCGGATTTCTAACGTTCCCTTTGACATGTCATTGACTGTGTTTCTATATACAAGGAAAATTAGAAGATATTCCTTCTTAGTTTCCAAAGGTAAAACTTTAGGGCTTGTAGCAAACATAAGAGGGAAGGCTAAACACTGCAAACAGAGCAGAGCATGTTGGTGTGGGAAGGGAGGGAAACAGAAGAGGAACTGTCCGCTAGAATTGCCACAAAACGTTTTGCACTCACTGTCACATGGAAAAGACAGATGTGAACATGAGTTTGAATGTTAACACTCCTATCTTTGCCCTTCATAAAACCATGGGTATAACAGGGCGATGCTTCTCTATACTCTTAACTCTTCTAAGTAACAGAAACACCCACTTCTGAACACGCCATGGGCCTTCGCTCCTGCTGCTCTCCTGCCTTCCCTTCCATCTCTTGTCTTTGCAGTAAACCAAACACAGCCAATTTTATAGCTCAGAACCAGTAGAGTCTGATCAGTGAAGCCATAGCTGACCAGTTCCAGCACCTGCGGCAGATGGTGATTGCTCCCACCTCACAATTTAAACATTTCTGCACAACTATATCTATTGTTTATGACACTTTTTCCTTTAACCATTTACTTTCTTAGCATAATTATACCTTACGAGTTATTTGACTACTAGGGCAGAATATTTCTATAAAAAGTTGATAAATTATAACAAAGATTTTTTGTCTTGTTTTTGTTTTTGTTTCTAGTTGAATTTAGAAGAAATATAATTGACTAAGTCAGTCCCATTGACAGCATCTTTCTTTATGCTTTTTTTGTTTTCAAAGGTTGGTTACTATACTCTACCAGATACATTTCCAGAAAATATTAAATAATCCAGTAAAATTCAATAAAGACAGGAAAGACATTTTTTCCTGTTTTTCTATAAGGCACTAGCTACTTTTCTGACTAGTTCCTTTTTCTTTCAAATACTCAATCTTCAGAACAACCAGATATGATGATGTTATCCCTCTTCAGATGAAGAGAGTGGGGCCCAGAGAAGTTACAGTGTTTGCAAGAACTGTAAGAATTTAAATGCTCAAGCTAGGCTAAGCGTGTTGGTGCACACCTGTAATCCCAACACTCAGGAAGCTGAGGCAGCAGGATCTCTGAGAGTCTGAGGCCAGCGTGGGATAGATACAAAGTGAGTTCAAGGCCAGCCTGAACTGCATACTGAAACCCTATCTCAAGAAGACAAAAAAGGCCAGTGATTTAGCTCAGTGGAGTAAGAGCCTGCCTGGCAATGATGAGGTTATAAATTCAGTCCCTGGTGCAAAAGAAGACAAAAAGGATAAATAAAAAATAAATGCTCAAGCTTTTTTCTTTATATCACATTCACAGATATTTTATAAACAACTAGAATTCATGCAAATTGCCTAACAAAATCCTCAATTTTGAATACTATTAAAATGATCTAATAATGAAAATAAATGGACGTCTTTTAATATTCATACATGATTTTACTTTGCTATTTATGTATGATCTTAGCAAGAAACAATACACAGTTACTAAATTACTGATTTTTAGTTGTGAATCATTCTGTCGTCTTTCTTTACTATCCTCTGATAGATTTCTGATGATTTCATGTTTCTGCTATTCACATCAACTGTTGTCCAGGCAAGAGTAAGGCGTAAGTATAAGCAGCCCATCAGCACAAAGTTAACACTGTAGAGAAACCCACGCTTCTGAAATCCTATGTGCTGTCCACTTCGCCCACTAACACTGTTTGCATTATTTGTCTTAGATATAAAAAGAAGAGTTTTGCATAAGACACATTCTCTTTTGGAAAAGTGGTTAGTTGAGGAGGGTAGAAACTCTTCAATCTTTTTCCTATAAATATTTTTACTTAAACAGAGCAACAGCTAATTCATCTTGGTGGAAAGATGACAAAATCTAAGTTTCTCAGACTTATTTTCAATCTCTTATAACCTCAGCCAGCCCTAGAAAACCATAGCCTTCCACCATCCACGATCCCATATAGTCTATTTGGTAAACTAACTGAAATGTGGATTTGATTATATTATAAACATCAGGTTTTGAGGTGATGATGTGCTCAGATCTTCTGCTGTAATTCTTTTCTAGGTATATTTACTTAATTTTAATATATGTGCTACCAGAGACAGCACTACGTACCTTTAGCTAATTGGTTTCCAGATATCAACGGTATCTATACCCATTGAGTATCTATAACCATTTCATATTAAATAAAACTAGTTGTGAAGTTTTAAGTAAGCACTATATTAAATATTTGCTCCTTTATTTTTGCACCAAGAACTATTTTTATAAAAAGATAAGCAATCTCTGCATATCTAGAACCGTATGGAGGAAAGAGTATGAGTTTGTACAAGCAAGAATTAAATGAACACAGTTTTGAGGAATTCAAACTCCCTGAGCTTATTTTCCTTGTCTGAAATGATACATTCATAACTGATGAGGTCAAATGGATAATTTCATAAGGAAATCCTTTTGGGACTGTCTCATTGATAACACATTAAAGTATATAAGCTATAACAGATATTTTATTAGTTTTATTTCCTAATATGCATGGGTAATTAAAAGCTACTTTTATGTCTTTGTATTGAAATAAGTAAAAAATGAAAATCTATAAGCACTTGATGACAAAAACAACTACCAGTATGCTAATATTTGAAAATCATATGTTTAAGGATTAAATTCCTAGTACATATACAGCATATATGTGTGTATTGTGTGTGTGTGTTTTGTGTGTATGTGTGTGTGAGAAAGAATCAGGATATACTACCCCAAAATATGAAAGACTAACTGAAGGCAATTAAGAAGCAGCAGATGCAGAGAAGCTCTCTGCCTTCCCTCTGTGTTCCTAAAAGCAAGCCTTAGACTTCCAAAGACAAAAGATTTCCTTTCTCTCCCTCACCCTTACTGCCAGACATCTGCAGACCTCATGGGCCTGAAGATGGCAGCAGAGGAATCTGCATTAATAAGCTTTACTAACTGGCCCATCCTGGACATTCATGTGCCTACCCACAAACTGCCACCTGAACAGAAACAAAGCCTTATCTCTTTTGTCTTGCCACTTCTCTAAAAAGGTGCTGTTGTTTACTAAAGATTCATATGAGCTGGAATTCCAAGACACTTGTTGAGAACTATTCATTGCTTAAGTGTCTCCCATGTACACGTGAAATATGTACGTTAATAAACTTTTGCAATAAGAAAATAAGTCTTTTTCTTGTTAATCTGTCTTTTGTCATAGGGATCAGTATTAGCTTACTTTTTTCCTACATAAAGAAGCAGAATTTACCCTCGCATTCCCAAAGAATTTTATGATATTGGGCTGGGAATTCAGCTCAGTGGTGTAAGCACCTGCCTGGCAAGTGGGAGGTTGTGAATCCAATCCGCAGTACCAAAAAAAAAAAAATTATGACACCTTAAAGGATTATTCTCCCACAACCCCACGCACACCATCAGCCATCATGGATATTCCCCATGAGTAACCAACTCAGGTCAAGAGGCAGCAACCAGCCTTGCCCCTGTGGGCACTCAACCAGCCATCCAGGAGCCAACACAGGATGGAAAAAAGTAGCAGGCAGCCCTGCACCAGCATACCCTAATAGCCACTATCAGATACCAGTACTGGCCAGGAGAACCAAACGATCTAACCTCAGAGAAATTGTAGCGAGTGTGGGAAATGCCTGGTATCCCACTACCCACTTGTCAGGAAGAACCTAGGAATATGTCAAGAGGAAGAAGCAAAAGGCAGTCTCTGGCCTCCAATCTAAGCAGATCAAGTCCAGGAGATGTAAACATGGAAGACATTGGGAGTCACACATCTCAAGTTTCTAAACTGATGGCAACTGAAGTAAAGCAACAACTTCACAAGTCTACGAAAGAAATTAGAACAGAAATACTAACTTAGCTAAAAGCAGATATGAAAAGCATAATAAAATAATTGCTAAGCACCTCTAAAGAAGACATAGATAAAAAGAGGAGTATAGGAAAATGAGGGAAACCTTGAATCAACAATATAAAAAAGGTTTAGAATACATGAAACAGATTCAAAAAGATATCCAGGAAACTAAAAACTTCATTGAAAGCTGGCAAACTGCTTGAAAGAAACTCAAGATAGACTTTCAAACCTTGAAGATAGGTTTGCAGTTTGCAATTACAAAAGGAAAGATCTTCTAAAAATAACAAGGAACCAGCAAATAACAATTCAATGTTTGCAAGACAATGCAAAGAAACATAACTTAAGAATACTAGATATTACTGAAAAAGCACAGGTCAACACAAATGACATAACAAGTCTATTTACAGAAGTATTAGCATAAAATGTCCCAAACATGGAAAAGGATGTGACATTGAGATAAGTGAAGCATATAATGTTCCATCAAGCCATAACCAAAATAAATCTATAACCAGGCATATAATAATCAATATCCAAGAAATTCAACACAAGAACAAAATATTAAAAGCACTAGAAGAAAAGAAACAGATCAGCTACAAAGGAAAATCAGTCAGAATCACGGCAGACTTGATAACACAAACCATCAAGTCAAAAAGAGTTTAGAGTGAAATATTTCAAATTTTGAAAGAAAACAACTTCCAACTCAGATTGATGTACCCTGCAAAACCTTTTTTCAAAATTAATGGAGAAATATCATTCTTCCATGACAAAGAACAAATGAAAGAATTCATGACCACCATACAAAGAATACTGAAGGACATTCTAGAGAGAGATAAAAATGAACATGGTTCTAGGAACAACGGCAGAGAGAGATCACCAACTGGGGCAGACAGCTGAATGGAGGGGAAAAGTAGGGAGCCAAAAAAAAGCAAGGCAGAGACAAACCCGTCAGTGTATGTTGGCCATCACCATCAATTCATCAATAAAAAGAAGCACAGGCAGCGTGGATTAGGAGACAGGATCCATCAATATGATCCATACAAGAAACACATTTAACTAAAAAGGAAACTCACACACTGAAAGTCAAAGAAGAGAAAACAATGCTCTATATTACAGGGAACCAGAAAAAAGTAAGGGTAGCTTGCCCATCAACTGCAGAATGGATAAGAAAGATATGGCATTTTTATAACATGGAAAGCTACTCAGCTATAAGGAAGGATAATCACTAGGCTCTTGTAGGTAAATGGATACAACTGAAATCACGCTCGAGGATGAAATGATTCAGTCAATGGGTGAATGCTGTTTTGTCTCTCTAGTATAAAAAACTACAGGAGTTAGTGGAATCCAAAATGCACAATAGATATTGTAAAAGTGAAAGGGAAGAAATGTCTGAAAAGAGAAGGTAGTGGCCATTGTTAATCTATTATTGTGTTTTGAAACCTTATATTGTTTTCATTGTTCTGTTTAGTTTGGTTTTATTCTATTTTGTTTTGTTTGATTTTATTATATTTTATGGTATGCACAGCTATTTCAAAGATAACAAAATATATTATGGTAGCCATTACTGATTTCCTATTATCTTGTTTTGAAGCCTTATATTGCTTTCATTGCTTTGTTTTGATTGGTTTTATTCTGTTCTATTTTGTTTGATTTTATTATATTCAATAGTATGGGCATTTATTTTGTTATTTTGAAGACAACAAAAGGCATTATGGTACTCATTATTGATTTCCTTTTATCTTGCTTTGAAGTCCTGTACCATATTCATTGTTTTGTTGTAACTGACTCTATTCTGTTTTATTTTGCTTGGCTTTATTCTCTTCAAACTAAAAAAAAAAAAAAAAAAAAAAAAAAAAAAAAAAAAAATCCTCCCAAGCTTTTTGTGAAACAGAACCTATCTTGAAGTTTTCTTAAAGAATATTTTAAAGAAATCTTGGGAAGAAAAAAAAAATAAAATAGATATGAGCAAAATCATCTTCAACCTACTGAAGAGGAATGACTTCTGGTAACCATCCTGTGAGTGCGTGGATAACTGTGAACTCTCCCAATTCTCTCCTCTGTGCTTCATGAATGCTAAAGGTAAGAGGCATGATACTATAGTTAGCAAAATCTGGAAATGTAGAGTGATATATACAAACTAAAAAGCATTAATGAAAAACCACATAATAACTAATGCAGGAGGTCTTACTTGTTACATATCACAATACAAGAAAATACTCTCAGCAGGAATATGATGTCTTAAAACTACTTAAGGAGTTCCAATGATTAAATTTAAAATATAGCTACAAAGCATACATATAAACCTTAGTTTAAAAGAGTTTAAATTAATATTAACACCAAATATAGAGGCATTATATAAAGCTATATATAGTGTCCCTATAATATAAAGCATACTCATATATTATAAAGTACGTAACTTAAATAGTCTATAGCTCATTTTATACATTCATCAACTATCTACAAGGGTGTATATTAAGTCAGTCTCATCCAGGTCTGTCAAGAGAGCACAAGAAATCCTTAGATAACTGGAGAAACCACAAATGTCCATCTTTTTATATCAGGGCGAGTTGCCCACATAGCAAAATGTCAAAGTTCGGTGTTAGCCAAATATCACTGTCTCATTCTTTTATTTATAAAGAGTGTACTCTATTTCCATTCACACACAACAATGCCCTTCTTTTCTCCCACCCAAGAGACATAGCAATTGTCCATCATATGTCAATTTGTTACTGATTATACTAACACATGGGTCCTTTTCTTCAGAAGGAAATTACACAATCTCAGGCACATATTAAATATGAACTGAGTTGTTGCTTATCAATTATAAATTTTAATAGGTCTATATATCTCAAAGATAATAGTCTGAAATTCTTTTGGATAATTACTTTTACAAAATGACTTTGAAAATCTTGGAGAAATATTGCTCTTTACCTACTTCACATTGACATTTACATAACTGATATATATTAATTTTTAAATGTAGAAAATTGAACCTTATAAAAAAGTAAAACTAACATCTAAACTGAATTTATCAAAAAATGTAAGTTATACAGTGGAGATCAAGTATCTATCAGGAAATCCTAAGAAATTTGTTTTACTTGGTTTGGTCCTTTATTTCCAAGCTGGGTTATATTTTTAATAATAATTTTTATTACTCACATTTCTTTTTTTTTTTTTTTTTTTTTTTGCTTTTTATCGGTACCAGGGATCGAACTCACGACTGCCTGCTTGTAAAGCAGGCGCTTATGCCACTGAGCTAAATCCCCAGCCCCTACTCACATTTCAGTTAAATTCTATTCAACTATAGCTTTAAGAAAGAAAAAATACTACTCCTGTTATCAGGGCCATGTGTTTAATGCTTCACTGATAGGCTTCCCTTCCCAGAACTTCATGTCTGAGAGTTAGGAACACTGGAAATATCTCTGGTTCCAAATAAATGCACAGTTGCCACCAATGCAAATATTCAGTAGTATTTGGCTACTTTAAAAGATTTGGGCTAAAATTTTGTCAAAGTCATTGAAATTAATATTCTGCAAACTGATGAAACAAATTCTTACTAGCAAGTTGAGGGCTAGTAAAGGAAAACAGAGATAAAGAGAATGACAGTTCTAATGTTTTTGTTTTGAGGTCTGGGAGAAGCTGAACAAAAAGAAAACTCACACAAAGCAGACTTAGCTTCTGACTACATAGCCCAGTCCATGAGAGAAGTGGAAGGGTAAGTAGCTGCGTTGGTTAAAGCATGTGCTTTACTGAATATGGAACTGCTCTTTATGCCACTGCAGCAAGGTACGAATCCAGATCTATACAGTGTAGGTGAGGATTCCCTCACTAAGCAGTGAGAAAAACAGCCGTGCATTTCACAAGCCAAGCATCTAAGTCTTTTTTTCCCATTGTACACTATATAGCTGGGATCAGAAACAGATAACCACTGGTGTACAGCACACAGCAGGCATGCCTCGTGTCAGATACACGAATCATGCAGAGACATAGGACAGAAGCAGACTTTTGCAAGCATAATGGAGGACATATGAGTAGTTTTCATCACGAATGTCCAAAGTAATTAAGGTCAAAAAGCATGAAGTATGCATTGATATCATGCTGAAAAGTTCAAGTTTTTTATATTACTGCAAAATGTACAGAACCTAAACTTTAACTGGGTCAAATATATATAACTCACTACTTAAACTAACATTTTCCCTTACAAAACACTTCCTTTTTCCTATTAAACTGAAACATTATTTTCCATGATCTATTTTCATTCATAATGAGAATCAATTTCGAGTGTTTTGCTTGAGACAATTTAGTCTTACAGTTGAATACTTCAAATTGGTGGCTTTGGCACATGGGTTTTTATACTTGAAAGTTTACATTGTTTGGAAAAAGGCTTCATTTCATTTATTTTTAAAAATGAAGTCATTTAACATGAGTGTTAACATGAGTGTATATTTGTGGTTTTGCCTTTTTGTTTTAGACAAATGAGTGATAATTTCTTACATACTCAACATTTGCCAGCTTAATGATAGCTTTACACAGCAGCATTGGCCAGAGTTCGAATTCACAGGTTGTGGTTGGAAGCAACAGTTTGTTATCTTCATCAAAAGGTAGAAAATCATCAATAGTTATCTTTCTCCAGCAACCCTGAAAATAAGAAGAAAACAGTGTGATGCTATCAAGGATTTATAGTAGTTCTTCTCATACATTATTATATATTACTAACATTGGTATTTGTTGCTTTATCAGTTTATGCTAACATTAGTATGAGACACTAATTTTCAGTATTACTCTGGTTTAACATTTTACTTTATTTTATTCGTATGATTAACATTACCATTATTTCATTTTGTAATTATAGCACATACATATCTATGCATCAGTATAGTCCTTATTACTGAGGCTTAGTGAGTACACAAAGCAATAAATTAAAATATTTCAAGTAGAAGAACTAAAACAATACATGAGCTTGGACATAATCAATTTATTGTATATAAACACAACACCAACTCTTCAAATACAACCTTAATAATTACTGCTTATCCAGATATGTGCTCACTGAAACTTACACTGCTAATTCTGATACTAGGCCTACTTCTAGTTAAAGATCTAATTTTTAGGATGAAATGAATTAATATCTTAATTAGTAAAATTCACATTTATGTGTATGCATATTTTACTTCATAATTAAAACATAACATTAATATTTATGAACTCACTTTTACTGTAGTTTTACATGCTAAGTTTTATTCTAAATTACTTCCTCTACCAGAAAATATTTTCAGTAGTGTCTCAAGTGTTGCAGACCTCAAGCTATGTATAATACATGGCCTGTTATCATTAATTACTTACGGTTTAGTAGGGGAAGGCACACATGCAAACAACATAAAATACAGTACGTTCAAAGCAATATTAGGACCAAAGAAGAAAATATGACCAGTTTGGATGGAGAAAGTCATCACAAGAAAGAGCCATTTTCACTGAAGATTCAAGGAACAGCATATTTTTTCCAGTAAGTAAGAGTATTAGGTAAAAAATATTTTAACTGTATGCTAGTTGTAACCCTGAGCTTCAAGGTGGCTTAGAAGTTTTTCTTTCTCCATTCATAGGTGATGTAAAGCAGCATAGGATTAAACGCACAGGTGTGTCATTTTCTCCACTTTCAAATTAAATTAACTCAAAAATTTAACAGAGAAATAAAATTGATACAAGAAAAACACTGTGTGATGAACAATTACTCAAAAAGGCCACTTCAGAGAAAGAGGTTAGCAGGAGCTGGAGGAAGGGAGAATGGGAATTTATTATTTAATGAGTACAGAATTTCCGCTTGGGATGATTAAAAATTCTAGAAGTAGGTAGTACCTTTGGTTGCATTTTTCACCTAACACGCTTATCTACCTGGGAAAAATATGCTGTTCTTTGAAATTTCCACTGAATTCCTAAAAAGAGAAGTTTCAAGTGGACAGAAGTTAAACCAGAGCAGTTTAACAAATATCACCTCTTACTGATGATCAAAGATAACACTTTCCCAGTTCAGAATGTTCTGACTGCTAAACATCACTAAACTGTGTGCTTAAAATGAGGGTCTATGGCCATGGGAGGGCCGGTGCTGGAGTGAGCACAGTCAGACCCACGCCTCCCTCCGTGTGTCAGTGCCATTGGCGGACTGCAGAAGGAAAGAACCAGGTCTCACCAGGAGGTGATCCCTGCCTGGAAACCTGCACCATGTGTGGTCCACTGCCAGAGTGAGGACAGCCAGACCCAAGCCTCTTTCCATGAGTCAGCACCATTCATGGAGCTCAGAGGGAGAACCAGGCCTTACTAGGAAGGGTCCCTGCCTGGAAACCATATCATTTGCATGTTTTGTTGGGTTGTTTTATTCTCTTTGGTTTGGTTTGGTTATATTAAATCTGATGGCAGGAGCAGCTATTTAAAAGATAGCAAGACATACTATGGTAGCCATTTCGGATTTACTATTGGCTTGTCTTGAAGTCCTTTATTGTCTCCATTGTTTTGTTTTTCTTGTTTCTATTCTATTCAGTTCTGTTCAATTTTTACTATATCCAAAGGTATCTGCAGCTATTTTGAAGACAACAGAAAGCATGATGATAACTACTGCTGATTTTGTAAGCTTTTGAAGTCCTCTATCCATTACACTGGTTTATTTTGATTGGTTTTATTCCATTTTATTTTCCTTGGTTTTATGCTCTTTAAAATAAAAAAAGCGTGAGTTATATGTTAAGTGAATCAGACCTCAATAAATCTATTTCAAAAATACAACACAGGGATAGATTTTCAGTATTATATACATTTCTAAAATAGTTTAAACTTATAACCATTTCATTGAGAATATTTTGTATTCATTTATACTACACATTTTTAGCTTCCTCAAATATTATTCAAAATAAATATTATATGTAATATGCATTACATATTAGATATTATATATGGTTATAGATGAGTGTTTATTTCTTCTCTAAAAGCATATGTTAAAATCTTAGTACACAATATGCTGGTACTGAGAGGCGGGTCCTTTTGCATGTGATTATGTCATGAGGCTGGAGCATTCAGGAAAGAGATTTGTGCCTTTTAAGGTATGAAATGACTAGAGTTCTCCCTTTCTGCCTCAATCTATGAACTAGGAACAAGGTCCTCTACAGACAACAAATCTCCTAATGCCTTAATCTTGGACATCTTCATCACTAGAGCTGTGAGAAAAAAATTTCTGTTATTATCAAGCCTCTGGAGCTGTGGTATTTTGTTATAGAAACTAAAATTGACTATATATAATTTATGAGACCTCATCATAAAATACTGAATTATGTTTGCATTTGGTATTTTTCAATAAGAAAAATTATTGTGTTTAAATGATGTATTGGATTTTTTTTTTAAAGTTTACTGGAGGGCTGGGGATTTTAGCTCAGCGGCATAAACACCTGCCTGACAAGCATGAGGTTGTAAGTTTGCTCCCTGGTACCAAAAAAAAAAAAAAGAAAAAGAAAAAAGAAAAAGAAAATAAATAAAAGTTTACTGGGCTAACATCATAATTTTAAATTTAAAAGACTATCAAAATGTTTAATTATTGGGTCAGGGATATAGCTTAGTGGCACAGTGCCTGCCTGGCAAGTACAGGTTGTGAGTTCAACCCTGGTACACAAAAAAGCAAAGAAAAACCAAATGCACAAAATGTTTAATTATTTAGCATGCTTACTAAGATGTAACCTTCCTTTCTTATAAATATAAATTACCAATATAAACATAAATTTCCTGGCCCTGAATCAGGGCCAGAAGCTTTCTGACACTGTTGGTTTCAAGCAGGAGCCTAAAGAGATGTCTTTCTACAGTCTGTTGGCCATTTCAGAACTTGGGCAATGAAATGGTCAATTCATTAGAAAGAAACAACTTGAAGCAACCCCCTGCCCCCCGTGAGGGGCTGTGAGTGTGGTGTGGCAGGCTGCAGTAGCCCAAGACAGGAGCCACCAGCATTTACTGGGCCCCTCCATGTTGGGACCTGGAGCACCGGGAAACAAAGCAACCCCTCCCCCTGCCATTTTGTTTTATTGAACTTCAATTTGCATGAAGGCATGGACAGATTTTGAAGAGAACGAGAGACTCTACAACAGCCATTAGTGACTTCCCTGTTGTCTGGTTTTGAGGACTTGAAATGCATGCCTTCTTCATTCTGTTCAGATCAGTTTTGCACTATGTTGTTTTGTATGAATTCTCTGTATGCAAAGACATGAACAACTATTTGGAGGAAAACAAGAGACAATATGATGGATAGTAATGACCTCAGGTCATCTAGCTTTGAAGTTTATAGCTCTTATATTGCTTTTTTATGTCCTATTTTGTTCTGTTTTGTTGTGTTTAATTTTACAGCCTTTAAAATAAAAAATTAATACATACATCTTACAAAAATACTTTAAAATATAACCATATTCAAATTTAATATTTTTAACACTTGAATTCCTGGTGTACATAACTAAATGGCTGCATACAGTTATACCCTCTTACTCTTATGAGCTTGCTAAAAGGATAACACAAAAAATTTTAAATCAGTAGCACAAGTCACAATTAGAAAAGATCAAGAAACAGGTAACCAGTGGACAGAGATTTCAGTGAATAGTTGAATTATGAAAATTATATAGGTGGACTGGAACCTAACTTCACTTCCCTAAACACACTGCAGTAACGAGGTGGTGCTCCTCCCTACACAGGGCCCAAAGGTTGGTCTCTGACTTTATACCCACCTTGAAGCATAAAATGAATTAATGTATGCTCCCCAGTGAATTAATGAACAGAGCTAAGACTGCCACTCTCCTCCTTAAACAAACAGGAAGCACTCTGTCCAGACAGAGCTTGTAGAACTCATTTCCACCCACTAACCGTGCAGGAACAAAATGGCACATGGATGGAGCCTTGTCATTTGGCTAATGAATAAAAGTGGTAGACAGAATAGAAAAATAGATCTTTTAAATAAGTCAATTAGTATTTGATAAGCCAGACCAACAAAAGGAGCCAGGAATTTAATCTAAATAGACTATCTACTAAAATAAATTATCTTACTATCTTCTAATAGACTACTATTAAATATCAACTAATCTATGTAGACTACTAAAATACTATGCACTAAAATTAATTAGAAACCAGAGTTACAAACCATAATACCAAAAATGTCCTTGAAACTGCCCAAAATTATCCATTATACCAAACATTAAGAAAACCTCGATTTTGATGAGATAATGTAACTAAGAGCACAATACCCAAATGACAACAATATTGCATCTATTAAATAACAAATTTAAAATCATTATCCCCAGATGGAACCATCTAGTTGCAATAAAAGCAGCTCAGGAATCCTGCTGATTCTGCATTATGGTGAGTTGTATCATTATATATTACAATGCAACAAGGTGCACAGTAAATGTAATGTACTTGAACCATTCCAAAACCATCCCCATCTGCCCCTGGTCTATGGAAATATTCTCTTCCATGATAAGGTTCCTAATGTCACATAGGGTTGGGGCTGCTATTTTACAGGACAATGTTGGAAGTGAGGTGGTCAGACTGAACATCAAGTCTAGCAATTTCCTCGTTTCTTACTGGGCTTATGAGGATGTTGTTAAACTTTCACTGAAAGACAGCTCATTCCTGACGAAATATTTTGGTAGATTTCTGGGTTAGTAGAAATCTGATCTCTCTCCTAGGAACACCCAAAATGTGTTTCTTTTGTCCAGCATACTCTCTAATCTTGTTTTGGTTGTTGTCACTACAGAAAACCCTGATTCTGAAAGACAGAATGTTGGAAATGAAAGATGACCTAGTGCTTTTATAACTCTCAGTATGTTCCTCCTTGACTTTAATCCAGAATATATGGATATGTGAAGTTATCTCAGACATACTTTTAAGGCCACTTTCATTTGAGATCTCAATCAGTTGATTTTCCCAGTGGATTCACCTAGTTTATTTACAAACGGGTTGAGAATCTATTCCTTCCCAGTTCAGGAGTCTTTTGTAGTTAGGAAGTAATGCTCAAACTCTTGAAAACTGAGATAGGTGTACACGCAGCTGGAAGAAAAAAGCTCTCATTCAATGTTTTGCAAAATCTCTGCTGTTTGAAATGTCAAAAATTTCAATGTTCACTAATTATTCCATAATTCCAGTTTGGTTTTGAATGTTGCCACTTTATATGATGAAAATTCAGACTTTAAATTTGTTATTTAATAAATACAATATTGTTGTCATTTGAGTATTATGTTCTCTTAGTTATTCTTAGTCATTGTCATTCTTACTTGACATGACAGACTAAGCTGGTTGAACATGTCACATGCATAAGCAAGTTTTGCCACTCATTTTATGTCACTGAAATGTGCTGTTAGCAGTGACTATTTTTCTAAAAGAAATCTTTCGTACTAACTCCAAAACTCTGACCACTAATTTACCTTAGAAAACCATCTCACTTCTGTATATAAGAGAAATGTGTGTACTCTGTGTCCATCTCCTCAGAGCTGCATAAATAAATGTGTTAAAGATATATACCATAATGTGATCAATAATTTTAACCACATTCTGCAAAATATGTTAAGTCCAAGTGACATTTTTCTATAATGCACTTGCCAGTATTTCTCTAAAAATGCCTCTGTGAGTAGACGTACATTCAGAAATGACACCCCTAAGCAGTGAAACCAGAAAGTCATCCAGTCATGGCAGCTGTTCCCCTCATATATATACTGACTCAAACTGACTGATTCGGTTTTCATAATACATAATCATTCACAGATGTGAATAGATCTGCAGCTGTGGTGTTGGTTAGCAACAAAATCAGACATAAAATATTCTATATCTATACCCTTCTGGAATTATATCATACAAAAACAAGCATTGCTGCCCTAGTGTCAATATGAATAAAACCCATCTACCTGGATTACATGGTGAATCATGAACCCTGTGTAACAACTGTGCCTCAATATCCTCTGCTACTTCAATTTGTCTAGCTATGGTACTAGCCAAAAAGGAACACACATGCCGTCTTTTGAATGCGGCCTCTCCTAAAAGTCCATGACAAATGTCAACCTGTAGGCAGAATCAGCACTTTACCAATAGCAAGGGAAATACTAGGTTTAGTGATCTGATTAGCCACAGACAATGATGCTCTTAATGAGGACAAATCTGATGAAGTAGTGACCTTCAGTAATTGCTTCTGTTCTTCCTTTTCAAAAACTCGAAAGGCCTACTTTAACCGCAGGATCCTTGCTCTCCATGTAGCAAAGCATTTTAGAAGGTTTCATGACTTCATTGAATAGCAGATTGCCATATATTATGCAAAGAAATCTTGGAGAATGAAACACCTGTTGCAATGAACCCATAATTTAAGTAGACTCTTGATATTTTCTTTTAAATTCAACTTTCTTTTTGTCTTAGTCTTCTGCTGCCTCACTACTGGATCTTTTCTATTTTCAAAGAAGCTCTCAATGACTTTTGTCTTTTACTCATTTTTGCTCAAGTTAGCTGTGGACTTAACAAAACTGTGACTGAGGCAAGTGCGCAGTGCAGGAAAGAGGCCTGGACAGATGCAGTAAATAAAATAATGGGTGGATCAGAATAAGTGTGGACTAAAATAAGGGTTGGATTTTGACTTAAAGCATAACGTCACATGCAACTATACAACTGAAGTACATCAATTCATTTGCCACCTGAGAGCCTAACACCAAATGCAGTTTGTCACTTGCCATTGATTAATAATGTCTTCATATGAGTCTTCAAACAGCTGATTTATTTTGGTCTCTACGCAATCAAACATCTCTGCTAGTAATAATCTGTATTTGCTGCTGCTCCCTACTGCTAGCATCACTACCTCAGCTCCATCTCAGATCATCAGACATTAGACTCTCACAAGGAGAGCACCACCTAGATCCCTCACACATGGTTCATAGAAAGGTTCACATTTCCGTGACAGTCTAAGGTCCCTGCTGACCTGACAAGTGACAGAGCTCAAGGGGTAATGCGAGTGATGGGGAACAACTGTAAATACAGATGAAGCTTCACTTTCTCACTCACTGCTCGTGGCCTCCTGTGCGAGCTTCACCCTGCTGTGTGGCCTTGATCCTAAAAGGCCACAGATTGGTTACTGATCTGTGTGTGGCCAGGGAATCAAGAACCCCTGCTAGGCTAAATTTCTGAAAGAGATGGGCTAAATGATTGGCTAAGCCTGAGATTTGCAAAAAAAAAGAAAAAACATTTTTTCCAGCCTTGTTTTTTGGTTTATAAATATATATCCATATGAAAGACACGAGTTTCAGCATACATAAACTTGAACTTACCATCCAGTAAAGTTTCACCACATACTTTCCATAGCTATTGAACAAAGGCATATGGCCTTTCACAGCCTTGCACAGGGAATATATATGTTCCCAAGGTTTCCAGAAGAGAACAGGAGTTTCCCCAGAAGCTGTTTTAAAATTGCTTAAAATCTCGCCATTGAATATTTTCCATACTGCACAGATTTCACTGATAATCCACCTCATCAACTAAAAACAAAGGACATTGGTTGTTAACTGGTTGTTTCTTAATTATAGATACTACAATGGGAGGGTATGGAAAAGCCTAATTCTGATAGTATTAAATTATATAAATACCGCATTCCACATTTTGATTTCTAAATGACAAAATAAAATCATTAAGTCTTGCTTTTTTTTCAGAAAATATCACAATGCAAACTAAAAGTTCTAATAAAATTGAACTCCATTTGCAACTGAGTTTCATTTAGCTGTATGTATGTACAACAGAGAGAGGGAGGAAAAAAGAAAAAAACAGGATAAAAAGAAAGGGAGACAAAGAAAAAATGCTTCTAAAAGCACTGATAATTTTTACAAAAAGTGAGCTAAAACAGTAGATTTTAAGTGTTCTCTTCACACACAAAAATATGGGCCAGGAATATAGTGCAGTGCCACAGCATCTGCCTGGCAAGCACAAGGTCCGGAGTTTGATTCCTGGCATAAAAATATATAGAATCATAAAAAATATGTAAAGTGAGTTTCTTAGTTGTGGTGACTATTCCACATTGTATACATATATCAAAGCATCAGACTAAATACCTTAAATATATACAATTTTTTAATTTTCAATTGTATTTTTAAAAAGTGGGAAAAGAAATACTGTCATACTAAAACTTAAAAGCAGGCAAGGGAAAACGGAGCTTGGCTGTCTGGGAGATGTTTCCCCAGGTCTGGAAAGCATTCTACAAGAGGCTTTGGTTCACATTTCCTACATACCTCACTGCAGAATAAATGTTCATTTGTTGAAAACAAATCAAATGTGATCTCATCTTTCACAACTACTGGAGTCTGAAATAAAAATATGTACATAGATATTATCTGATAAGAAAGATACAGAAAACATAACTCAATAAGCTCTAGCTTAATGAAATAAGCTAAACCGTGATTTCATTTCTCTCAAACAAAGGAATGAGAATAAATAAAAAATAAGTGATCACGAAAATGATCCTTACTTAGAACTGTAGGTAAAATTAATTTAATTATGATAAGATACAGTATTTTGAAATAAAATATATGCAGATAAACAGCATGCATACACATAGTTTAAAAAGTGTTTTGAACTTTAACCATTCATGTTAAACTTGAAGTTGAAAAAAATTTTATCTCAGATGCAAAATATTAGACATAAAAGTTTTTAAAATCTTTTTCAACTTTAAATCCTGTCACATTTTATAATTTCTAAAAAATAATAAATAATAGAAAAACATGATGGAATATTTTTAATGAGGTAAAATATCTATCAAAGCTTATATTTTTTAACCTTTTAAACTAACATGCAAATGTATTTATTACAGAATTATATTTTTATGGATGGTAATATAATTAATTACCCTCAACCACCAATACAAATAACACCTCAAAAAATCAATAAAATAATTTATGTTCAAGAAAAAACTATCCTGAAACCTAAAACTATCCTGAAACCATAGGCTGACTATTCTGATGATATATTATAAACACAGTTTATTCTGGCTTGGCTACGATAGGATGCCCATAATTTTCCACAGTATGAGTATGCAATAAGATTAAATATTTGATGCCAAAAATTTGAAGCATTAGACTTAACACGTATCTGCTGACAGATAAATAGAAACTGACTTTGGAGAAGATAACACATACCAACATAAAGAACTCTAACAATGGTATTTTAGCACCACTATTCTCTACACCTGCACCTAGCCAGAATAAATCTTGAGATATCTTAGAAGGTTCAATAAAGTCAACATTCAAGGGTCTAGGCTCCTAATGTCTCATGCTCAAAACCTAATCAGATCTGGTCTGTAACCCTGTGATCATAGCTTACTATTCCTTTGGGCTAGAACAACTCAAGTTGACCCCGATACCTCAAAGCCAGGATTTTAAGATCTTTAAACCTAGCTTCTCTCTGATTAAATCGTGTCCTTTGATTTAGTCTTTTGCTTGGATTTCTATGGTACGTTCTAGATTGGACTGTATTTATTAAAATGAGTTGAAATTACTTAATGAATAATGAAATCAGCTTAGTGGATCAAGACTGCAGAGAGAAGGAGAGAGGGAAAGAAATAATGGAGTACATCTTACATATGATCATTAATGTTCAGTGAGATTTTTATTTCAATTTTATATATGTGCACATTTTATGAGTGTCACTGTAAATAGTAATCACTGTGGACCTATCATTAGAGCTTGCAAAACACCCTACTAGATAAAGCTTTCCTGCTTTGCCATATTTTCATTTCTGTCTGCCCTGACCCATACTCCACCATGACAAGTCAGGAGAAGGCATCTCTGCAGAGGGAGGGCAAAGTTTAGTTGTAGAAGGAGCTGGCAGCATTACATAGGTAGAGGTGTTATGAGCAACAATGGATGAGTTTTATTACAAAAGTATCTCTATCTTTCAGAACTAAACTATACAGAAAAGAAAAAGACGGTTCAGAAAATGTTTCTACTTACTCTAATTTAAGACTCCTATCTCATGGAATTCATATTGCCTATTTGCATGAAGTGTAAACCATGGACTTACTTTAATAGCATATAACATCAAGTACATTATATTGGTATCACAGAATTCATATTCATGTCAGTGTTACTAAACATTAAATTTTTTGTCTGTTTTTCTGAGACAGGGTTCCACTGTGCACTTCAGACTAACCTTGAACTCTTTATGTAGCTCAGTCTGGCCTTGAACTCACAGTAGCAGCCTTTCAAAGGATGGAGTTACAGGCATGCACCACCATGCCAGCTTAAATTTAATTTAAAAGCGTTGTTCATGAATGTTTGAATTACTTGAAATCTCTTACAAGTAGGCATTCAGAAAGTATATATCTTTCACTTCAGTATATGAATCTTTCACTTCAATAAATCTTATTGAATTTAGATATAATCAACTTTCTGTACCAGTAAGTGAGATAAGACTTCTGTTTTTCATTTTGTTTGGTCTTGCATTAATAGCACGGTTGATGAAGGTTAAAACTTTTAGTAAAAGAATCACTTTGTGCAGAGACAGTTTTAATAGATTCTACAAATGTATTAAAAAATCAGCTCCATTTTAACCATTTGATTAATACTAAATAATATAACCTATTAATTTTCTATGCATTAGAGCTGTGAATATAGATCACAGAACCTGCACGCCAAGCATGAGGTCAAAGTGGTCCAGAGTTCTGTTCCTGGTAACAATAAATATATATATATATATTTTTTTTGGTCTTTTTTCCTTTTTATCGGTACCAGGGATCGAACTCACGACTGCTTGCCTGCAAGGCAGGTGCTTATGCCGCTGAGCTAAATCCCCAGCCCCTCAATAAATATATATATATGAATAATGTGAGTACAATTGAATGGGGGAAAAGCATTAATGATAAGTAAATCCCGAGAATAAGAAATACACTCAAACTAATGCAGTTATTCAGAAGTTAGACAAAATTGCCTTCTGAATCTTAGCATTAAGAGGTTGAGGCAAGAGGATCACTGTTAGTTCAAGGCCATCCTGGGCTACCTAGTGAGCTCAAGGACAGCATAGAATACATAGTGAGATCCTGTGTCAAAAAAAAAAAAAAAAACAGAGAGAGAAACTTGGACTAACGTGGTCACAGTTTTAAAGTATATAAGTGTTGCTTTGAATGAAAGTTTCTCAGGTGATGTCCCAGTCAAAATTACTCAAATGTTTAAGCATAAGAGACAAAAAATAAAAGCAGTTTTACCACCTTTATTTGAGATACCAATATAATGTAGCTAATATTGATATGCATTTGATATTGATTACATTTCATGAAAATAAGCAATATGAATTCCATGAGATTTGAGTGTTTTAAAAATCCACTGAATTGAAAAATCCAAGTGGAAACCTCTTGCACTATAAAAAGCAATGCTAACAAACATCAGAGAAAATAAACCTTGAGGCTATGATTTTGGGGAAAAGTAGAAAATTCAAGATTCTAAATAAAAAGTTAATAATCTCATGGAAACTAATATAAAAAATGATAAACATTGATTTCTGATTTAAATGCAAAGGACCAATTTATTTTCACTACATGCCATAAGAAAATTTATTCTAAATCATTCAAAAATTGAAATTTGTATTTGTAGGATATTGTATCTTTATGGTTAATCAGTATTTGCTTTAACAGTAAAAATACTTCTTACCCGATTTGTCACAAAATCCTGTGGACGTTTCCAGGAATAAATTTTCAACGATGGTGGCAATTCGATCTTTCCTTCAGGATCTTCAAAGAAATGCTATATAAAAAATGAATTGAGTTTCTTTTTCTATGGTTTTATCAAAATAGAAACAACTCAATCCTAACTAATGTAAGTATACAACTTTGATCAACAAATAAGCATTCACAGAGTAGTTTGTATGTTTATCGTTAGAACTAGTTCATGGAGTTCTTGGAGGGTACTGAATTTAACAACTCTATGTCATTTCAAGCATTGAGTAGATTTGGATTGCAAAGATAGTGACCCAAAAATGCAAGAGCTGTTAGGTGTAAGGGAAACTATTTCAGATGAATGTGTGGAAACACTGAAAATGTTTTGTTTTTACTTGAGTACAGAAGACTGATAACTGTTACTGTTGGAATCACAAACAAGATTATATGTAAATGAAAGTTGGAAAATTTTTTGCACCAGGAATTCAACTCACAACCTCATGCCTGCTGGGCTGAGCCATATTCCCAGCGCTTAAAACTTGGGATTTTGACCTGATTTTCATTTGTTACTTTTTAAAATGAATGTTATTCTTTTGAGATCATTATTGTATAGATTCATACGCAGTTGTAGGGAAAAATAACGAGTTCCTGGGTTTCTTTAACCCAGGTTCTCCAACAGAAACACCTTGTAAAAAGTCGTGTGCAGTATCATAGCCAGGACTCTGACCTTGATGCAGTCAACACCCAGGGCAGGCTCAGCACAAGGATCCTTTCCACGCCTTTCAAAGCCACACTAACCATCCCATCCAGACTCCTGCCCTAACATCTATCAGTCACTAATCTATTCTCTACTTCTATAATTTCATCATTTCAGTAATATTACACTGAGTTAAATGGCATGACATCTTTTGGATTACCTTTTTTCTCTTTCATAAGAGAAATATTCAGCAAAATTCCCTAAGGCTCATTCAAATGGTTGCATGTATCTATAGTTTGTTTTTATTCGTTGATGAGTAACATTTCATGGTATACATATTTGCCCACTGAAGGATATGCAAGCTATTTTCAAGTTTAGGGTACTACCAATAAACCTGATAAGAACATTTATGTATATATGTTACAGAATTTTGTACGAACATGAGTTTTTATTTCTTTAGGGTAAATGCCGAAGAATACAATGAATTGGTTAATTTTTGAACTTGATTAAGGGTCAATTAATGAACTTTGGAAAAGAAACGATATTCAAGTATCTATTCTCAAATGATAGCAATCTAATTAGCTAAAGCCTCTACATTACCATGTAGTTCTCAGAGCGCAGAAGGTCCTGGGAAGAAAAGACCCCTTACAAGAAATAACATGAAATACGCTAGGAGTATGAATAAAGTTCTTGAGGAGTGTAAATTATCTGTGTGGGAAAAGGCAGCTAAATTTCACCCGCATTAATAGAAACAGGAAGAAAAAGACATTGTATTGTGGTTTTTGTAGTAATTGTATTTTTCGTCTAAATCTGGTGTGGCCTGAGAAATAGGTTATATTTTAAGACAGTGGAGTTCTCATACATTTTAGGCGTGTATGTTTATCTGGAACATGCGGTTTATGGTCACATTTAAGACACTGGAATCTGAAGACACTGCAGACAGAGGCAGTCAGCCTCTAGCCAAATGCCCAAAGAATCACTCTGAAAACCTGAAATTTACAAGGTGCTATTGCAGACTTCTGCAACTCCATCACCTTGTTTTCTTTCTTACAAATATTAATTTAGTTATTTTAACATTTCCTATCTGACAAATCTGAAGTTACCTGTGATGTTTCCTTTTTGTTTTCACTCACTTGGTTCTTTTCTCTTTGGGCTTAGTAATTTTGGATTGAATTATATAACTGCATATAAAAATAAAAACAGGCTCTAGATAATGGTATCTTCCTACAGATGAATTTGTTTCCTTTGGCAGTATAGTTTCACATTTGCTTGACACAGTTAACACTCTTTCTCAGGTCTCAGTAGAGCTGGGGAACTTTGGTTTGCCCACACTTCCTATCAAATGCTCTGCCTATTCCTAGGTACTATCTAAAAGGCTGGAGTGCTTATCAGGGTCACCTTATCAGGGTCACCTTGATGTACCCTACATTGCATTTCTTCACAGCACTACAAAAATACTTAGTTACCAGGCCTCTAAAGATGTTACTTTGTAATTTATTTGCACAACTTGCGCTTCATAGGTATGGCCTAAATGTTGAGCAAATGTCTTAAAATAACATTTTTTAATTAGCTGAAAAAATTTAGATCACTTCCTTGGACTTTGGTTTAAGTGTAATTACTTTGGCAGTTCCAGACAATCCCCTCTGTCCCCCCAGCCTGGAGAGACTGACACAGGCTCAGGAACACTCCTTTTTGCTTGGCTTCTGTTCTTCATGCCTTGAAGATCCTCAAGGGGAAAAAAGGGTAAAAAAAGTCTTACTGAGATTCCCTTTTCTCCAGGGTTTGGACATATCACATTAAGAAGTGGTCACCTTTTCCTGTCATTTCACTTTGGGGGTATTCCTTGTAACTTCCTTACAGGTCTTTGTTATGTACTCTGCAAGCTGGTTCACTCACTACATGCTGTAGTTGCCATGACTTAGCTGGAGAAGTGATATCTGACACTGGACTAAGAGAACAAAGGGTTAGCTCATCAGATGCTGGTTTTCTGATGACTAGCTTCACATCTGGAGAAAGAACCATGTGCAAAATTCCAAGGATACTTTCTAGGGTTCAGTGTTTAACACAACTGAGAGTAAAACACGGATGTTGCAATTTGGGACCAACATGATGGGTGCCATCATACGACAGAGATGCAATCACCAAGCCTGGCCACTTCACCCCTCACTAAAGAGAGGCTTTGTGAGTCCATGGATGCTGAGTCTTGGGACAGAACTACAATTGGACGGCAAGGTTCCATTCCAGATTTTACCACTTTGTATTGTACTTTGAGCTGGTGTTCCCTTACCTTTGAAAGCTGAAATGATAAAATGGAATGCTAAGCCTCCCAAGTGTCCCACTCCATTGGATTGGCCATGTTCATAGTAAGAGTTAGCCTCAGGCCTCCTTAACCATGCGTATGACTCCTTAGAGTAAGCATCATATTATCTCCTGATAATATGGTCTGATGTTTAGCCAGTCTATTTTGTCTACAATGAAATGGACACCAGGTGACCAGCACATTTGCTACTGTTCCAGCCTGCTTTTCCCTTCTAATAGACTTCTGCTTGCTCTGCTTGCATTAATAATTTGAAACCCAACCCCACCTTCTAGATATTAATGAAATTATTTCAGTCATCTAATGAGGCTACTCCTACTTCCCTGTGTTAAAGTTTTCAAGCACTTTCTGCTTTTCCTTTCCCTAGTGTATCTCCACAATTTAGAGTGATTTATCTTTAGGTTTTTCCCGAAGGTTCAGCTGCTTAACTGAGGATCCGCACAGTCTATCCTCATGATATAACTTCAGAAAGCTATACAGAGTAAGGCACACACACAACCCCTAAGTTTTGAGTTGTTGCTAAACATATGTAAAATATGCCAACTTTCATTTGGACCAAGAAGGTTTAGAAGCCATTAAGTCTAACAGTTTACACTTATTTTAGGCATGGTTCAAAGAATGCATTCTCTCATAGATCACTAATTTTGATACTGTTCTTCATGCACTAACAGACTTAGCAATTATTTTACTAAAATTTTTGAGAAAAAAATTACTGATATGTCATGCCATTTATGATTATACACAAAATGTAAATGCTAATATTCACCATTTTAGAATGCTTTACATAAAACAAAGATACCATAGTTCATCTAGTCATTCTGGCAATTTGTGTTTTGAAAATTTTATTGAGTTTGATAGATATTTTTAAATGAATTGCTGCATCAAATAACTGAGTCATGTTTTAGAAGCAATTTGGACATGTAATCAGCACAAAGAAGTCATTAAAAATAGAGTAAAAGGTTTAAAGAATCAAAAAGAGCCTAAAATCATAATCGGTAAGTGGAGGAACACAACATAGCTCCAATCTCAGGAACACATCATGTTTATATGTCCAAAAGTAAACAAGGGGGCCACTGGAAGTGACACTGCACTCTGAGGCAGAGCCCTGGAATTCAGATTCATATTCCTAAGGGGTTAACAAAACTAAAGGGCTTCAGGATACCCTGCCCTTTCCTTCTGGCTGTACTGTGTCTCCTCCTGTCATCTTCATGGAACAGCCCTCAGTAATCATGACTATAGAGGGGAAAAAAATAAACAGCCTACTGTTGGACACATGTCTCTTTGTTCTTTCTTTCAATTCTGGCCTTCCTTCCGGCCATCATATCTCAATAAAAGGAGTTACCAAATAAAAGGTAACTTACTTAAACTATAACTGGGATGATCCTTTTCACACTCCTTTTAGTTATGCCTAAAGTCCAGCTCCCATATAGGAGAGAGATAGTTTATCCTGCCCAAATATTGTAATATATATACCAGGTTGCCAACAATCTAAATAATGCTTAGATTGGTTTAATAAATACAATATATATTGTGGTCTATATATAAGAATTTGAGTGTTTTTCGTTGGTCAAAAACAATGTGTTAATTGTTATAATCTGTTTCTCATAGGTCATCAAAATTTTGGAGATATTTTACAACTGAAACTGAAATAAACTAAAACAAAATATCAGACTCCATCAATAGAGGAGTCTAACAGCCAGTGGGTTACAATTTGTATTCCAGCCCCTTAAGAACAGGTTCTAGACTTACTGGAAGCTTGATTTTATTCATATACCAAAGAATAAAGGAGTTCAATACTTATTAGTCTGGGTAGATACCTTCACAAACTGAGTTGAATCCTTTCCTTGTAGAACAGAAAAAGCACAAGAGATAGTAAAAGTTTTAGTGTCAAAAATCCCAGATTGAACTTTCTTAAAGCTTACAGAGTGACAATGGGTCTTCTTTTAAAGCAACAGTCACATAGGGTGTCTCTCAGGCACTGGGCACAATCTTTGGGAAAGTCAGAAAAATGAATGAGACCCTAAAGAGACGCCTTCACAAAATGGCTCTGAATGTTGTGTGCACATTCCTGATCCTTCTGCTAATGTTTCAATAGCTGTTCAAAATGTTAGACAACAGGTTAATGACATGTCAGATCCTGAAATTCCCTACAACTTTTCCGTATCCTCTTTATGGAAAGCTCCCAGTGGCTCCTCCCGGTGGAAAACTTTGTTGTCTACATTCATAATTATCCTGCTGATTTTACTACTTGGCCCATGCATACTTAATTTTTTCTGTGGCCTTGTCTCCTCCAGATTTAAACCTGTACATCTACCAAGATAAAACACCTGGCATCTAGTGAGGGTCCTTAGATAGATCATCTATGGAGTATCTCTGACTGCAAATTGCAACTACAACCTTTCTCAGGTTGAAGAAGCCAGATCTGTCTTTGCCGCCTGCCCCCTCATAGCAGTTAAAAGTGCTTCTTCAGAGAATGGAATGTTGTAGACAGCTGTGTGAGGTAAAAATGTTGTAGGTAGTCAGATGAGGCTGGGCCCTTGCGGGTCTATGCGGGAGACAACTGTGGCTGGAGGGGTATTCACCGAAGACCAGGCTTCAAGAAAAAGAACTGCACACCCATATACTTCCCTTGGAATGAACAACAATGATTGATATTCTAAGTAGGCATAGATCTCCTTGGAGTGAAGATCCAAGCCTCCTTAACTGATCCCTTCCAGCAAAGTCCTTGTCTGCCCCTGCACACTTGCTATGTGTCGTTTCCCCATTTGAGCCCCATTTAATCAACACTGCCCAAGCAACTATACTTGTTGTATACTTATTGGTTGACCATAGTTCTGTCCCACCTCACACCCATCCTATGATTTGCCATTGGATGAATATTACTTGTGACTACACTTATAATCTTACTGATTGGTTATAGTTCTGTTCCACCTTAATCCCACTTTACCTCATGGCTTTGCTCAGTAAAACACCCTTGAGAAGTGGGCAACCCATTTTCTGGGACCCCTTCTGTCCCTCTCAGACAGAAGCTTTCTTTTTTTCAGTAAATTCTTCCTACTCTTAAAAAGAAAAAAGTAAACAATTAGATCTTTATCTATGTACCTTGAGGGGATTATGAGGGACCCAGTTCTTATCGTACCATAGGATCTTTTTAAAGCTACTTTTCCCATAATCTCCAAACAACAGTCACAAATGCACTACAGACTCTTCATTTTCTAAACTACTCTAATTGCCTTGTTTTCAATTCTATCCAAAATCTATCCCATCTATGGACTTCTCTCTCAATTTCCCTTTATTTTATTAGTTTATTTAGTTTGTTAATCTTTAATCATACTTCTTCCCTCCCAATTAGCAAATATAATTCACCAGAGCTCTGAACTAAGGCTTAAAAAGACAAAGTGGTGATGGGAAAAGCCAAGCAGAAAGTCACAATTTCCCTTTGGAATAGTGACCGGAGAAAAGAGGAATGAGCACGCTCCCATTTTAACAAATCTTACTGCCTTACAAAATTAAAAACCAAAATGAAGTCCAGTCACAGTCAAGGCTACTTACAAGTACAGGGCTCTTCCCTGCTTTGTCCTTTTCTTTCCCTCCTTTGCCTGCATCCCACTTTTCTGCATTTATATCAGATTCACTCCATTCTGGCCAGATTTGGAATTTCCCCTTCTTTTGCTCAGCAGAACTGGACTGGACATGACTGCCAACAGGGTACACATTGTGGGAACTGAGGGACACAAGGGGAGAAAGAGAGACAGAGGCATTTAATTAAAACCTCCAAAATAAAACATTGGATTAATTGTATGGCATAAGTTTAATTATCTCATCAGGGAGTATGTTACATGCATTTGTCAATCAGCTCCCACATGTTAAGTTTCTAAAGACTAAAATGATCCATAAAAATTATTTCATTAGCATATCTGAACATTAGCTCCTGCTTACTATTTCAGGACACTCAAAAATAGATGCAAGAAGAGTATTATGTATTATCATGAGCATATAAGAATGTTTACACATAATTCACACTTAAAAATTCTTTACACTTATAATAGTAACAGCATTTAAAATATCAATACAATTTGGATTTCTTCAAGTATCACAGTATCAAGGAAGCATGACATTTTTAAAAACTGCGTATTACAAATCCTTTAAGTAAGAAAAACTTGCCCACGCCATTCCAGGCACCACACAGTTAACATCTACTTAACCTCTCAGAACAATATGCAGGATATATATTGTTTCTTTTAAAATGAAATCATTCCACATATTCTGTTGCATACAATACTTTTTACCACTTAGCAGCATAGTATTATGTATTTCCCATGGCCATGAGTGGTTATCCATGTGTAATTTAATAATTACCTAATATTTCATTCTAAATTTCATAATTCACTGCTGTAACACATGTGCTGCACACACGAGAGACCACGAAACAAGTATGTTTAATTTTGGGAGCTGCAGCAGTCAACAGCAGGCTCAGGCCTTTGGAGCTGCTGGCTCTGATCATTTGTTCTGTTTTGCTTATATACTCAAGTGAATTCACAAGGTCAGGGGTTGCTATGGATACCACTTTTACAATACCATCATTGCTTCAGAATGTTACCACAGGAAGTGGGTATTGGGCAGTTTGGCCACCTTGAGACAAAACTGTTTGTTCCTCTTTCTGTAGTTTTAGTCAATTAAGGGACAGGAAGCCTTTTGGGAATTTGGCCAAAGTTCACTCGATGTTTAAACTCTGCTAGCAAAGCATCTAAGCTCTAATCTATAGGCTATAAATTAAGTGAAGTTTTTTAAAACCAGGGTTTCGGGGAGGTTCAAAGAGAAAAGGACAAAGAAAAGAAAGCAAACAGTGGGTGTTTGGGGTTTGCAATTGTGAAGGCCCTCCCACTGCAATGGCAAGCAGAGACACCAAAATGACACCCAGGATTTGGAGGCAGATTTATTTATATCTATGGGCACTGATCAGTATCATTCCCAGAATATCAAGGGCTGATCTCTGGTGGTCTACAGCTAAGCAGGAAGTACAGAGGCAGAAAGGTTTGACAATTGGGGACTGGTTTATACACTGTGCATCATAGTAACCAGCTACACATCACAGAGACTAGGCATTTCCAAGACACAGGAGCAGTTGAACTATTACCCGGGCAACTAATGAACTGGGGTATTCTGGAGTAGGAGGAGGATTCTGCAACAATACTATATTTCATTTATCCAACCTTCTATATTTGCAAATTTGTTGGGTTGATTTTATTTTTTTAATTTCTTCACCTGGGCTTTTGCACTGAACTACCTTCTGGACCTCTGTTTTTCTAATTATTTTTTGAGATAGAGTCTTGCCAAGTCCCTAAATTTCCCAGCAAGGCTTTAGTGTGAAATCCTCTTGCTTCAATCACTGGAATACTAGGATTACAGATGTGTGCCACCACATCTGGCTAATTCTTTCAGTCTTATAAACAAAAAATGAAAGACTATTGGAAGGTTCTAGATACTGGAAAAAGGCAAGGAAATAGAGTATCTTATTGAGTCTCGAGCCCTGTTGAATCCTTGACATTAGCTCAAAGAGATCTATTTTGGACCTTTAACCTTCAGAATTCTGAGATAATGCATTTGTGTGACAGTAAACTATTAAGCTGTTGATATTCTATTACTAACAATAAAAAACTAATACAGTGGGGGGGGAGATAAAATCATAGAATTCCATGCCTGAGAAACTAAGCAAAGCTTTTTTTTCCCCAAAAAAATGAGAAAATATGCAACAGACTCAAATGCTGCAGTAGATCAAGGCAGAGGAAATAAAGACAGCTGAACACAGAACCTTTAATGGCAAGAATATTAATGTCTCCCTCAGATGTCACCTTCTGGAGGTGAGCACGGAGGAAGGACTTTTCTGAACACCTGTGTATACAACACTCACTTTCTGTGCATCCGCTCCTTTGCTCCGTTTTAATAACATTCGACAGCTCTCCGGAGAATTCTTGATTTTTGTACTTTCCACAAGTAGGATTTTAAGTCCTACAGTGGCACGAATGTTGAAACTTTCTATAACTTCCTCTTTATTTAGCACATGAAATAGTGCCTAAACAAAGTAGGACATTTATCTGCTATATGAAATAAAAGAAAGCATGTCTTTATTTTTTTACTTCTATCATTTTTAACTAGAATTGTTGTAACCTTTCATGTGTGAGTAGAGACTGACCAAATAAGCTCCAATCTTGTTTCTATTTCTTTTCCAGTTTGGCTGACTGCTATGCCACGTGGTTTGGAGGATAAAGCATGAGTAGGTGTGTGGTTTCCCTCTTCAGGATTGTAAAACATTCTCAGATATAGTCCTCTCTTCCTGCTTGATGCATGGCAGAACCCTAGGAGAACACCTTGCAAAATAATAACACCAGATGCAAGGAACCAAGAAACCTCAGTACAGGCAGAGCCGCCACTGTACACATTAAGTTCCTGGTGTGCCTGTCAAATACTCCTCCTTGTGCTAAGTCACTGGGGTTGGGGACTGTTTGATACTGCATCTCTCCCTAGCCTGGGCTAATAGAAAAAGTAATCATTCCGATCTTAGGATCTGGATGTCCTCTTTTACATCTTTAGTGATGAAGGCATACTCGTGTTATATTTCAAGTCGTTTTTCCATTAAAATTTTCTTCATTGTGACTTCATCCACGTTTCGCATATTTGTTTTATTGAGTTCATCCCTCTCAGGTTCATGTCCCCTCCCATCCCCTCCCCTGAAGCAATACAGTGTTTTAAGAACAGTCTTTATATCTTCATATAAAGACTGCCCTCTGCCCTCTCTCCTCCTCCGGCCCCTCCTTTCTCTCCCTACCTAATCTCCCTCTTTTCTTTGCTCCCCTCTCCCCACCCCTACTCCTCCTGCTCTCGCACCCCAGCCCTCCTCCGCCCCTCCCCCTCTTCTCCCCAACACCCATCCCCACCCCCTTCTCGAGCCGGACGCAGTCCCCCTCCCGAGCAGCCCGAGACCATCGCCGCTTCTGGCCCCACTTCTGCAGGCCCGCGTGGCTGGGGCGGCGAGCAGGGGCGGGAAGGGGTCGGCGTCCGGGTGGGAGCCACAAGGCCAGGAACCTGCCAGGCAAGGACTGTGGGGCTTCGAGGAGGAGCGAGAGGGGGGGCGAGGCTTCCGGGCAGGGATCGGGGGTGCCGGAGCCGCCGCCCAGGCTCGGGCGGACCCTGCGGCAGGGCCTTACTCGTCAAGTTTGTCGTATCCGTGCCCCGAGTTCTTCCGCGGCACCTGCTTCTTTTCCGAGTGTTTGGAGGTCATGGCGGTCGCACCCCTGCGACCCAGAGTTAGCGCGACCCGGCGGTTGGGCCCTGCGCTCTGCGCCTGCCGTTGCCAGGAGACGGCGCCGCGGTGGCCAGGGAGACGCCCGCCAGGGGGCGCTGGTCCGCGCCGCCCGGAGGGGACCCGCGCTGGGGCCCTGCAGCGGAGAGTGGGAGGACCGCTGGGCCACGCCGCTAAGGAGGAACCGGAGGCCGCCCGTCTGGCGCTGCTCTTCGTAGGCTGGGCCATCACCAGGCTGTCTAGGCTGTCTGTCGTCTCTTGGACAGTCAAAGGCCTGATCCTGGAAGTACAAAGATATCCAGCACCCATCAAGGTTAAATTCACAGTGACAGATGTACCGAAAAAATTACCAGGCATGAAATCGAGCAGGGAAATATATCCCAATAAAATAGAGGAAGCAGTTAAAAATGACTGAAAGAATAGGAGTGATAAAAATACCAAAGGGGTTTGGATTAGCTCAGTGGCATAAGTGCCTGCCTGGCAAGTGCAAGGTCATGAGTTCGATTCCCAGCACCAAAAAAATACAATAAAATAAAATTAAATTTAAAAAATCAGACAAAACATTACAAGTTATAAATAAATTGCAGATGTTTGATTAAGTGAGAAGGAAGAACGACTATGCTGAGCTCATTTTAGTGACTTCTAGAGCTGCACATAGTATGAGGTCTGCATTGAACACACAACTGAAAGAGACTGACGGAGACTAGACACTGCAGGAAAGCAGATCGGTCAATTTGGAGTCACTGCAGCGGGAGCTATCAACATGGAACGGAGGGAGAAATCCTCAGAAGGAGAATTAGAGCATCAGTGTAGTGAAATAACATCCAGTTGCCAATGTGGCTGTGGATAGACAGAGCCAGGACGGAAGGTGGGATAATAAATATACAAAGAATTATCTGGAAAACATTTTCCAATTTTTATAAAAATTATGAACCCATTGAGCCATGAAATTCAAAGAATAGTAAGAAATTGGTCCTGAACATCTCAAAGAATGAAATTACCATTTACTGACATGAGAAAGAAGGGAAGTCTAAGGTTTTGGCTGAAAATGAATTTAAATTTGAATATGATAGGTTTGAGATCTAAGTGTTGAGTCTCTAGTTGGGCATTTGAATCTAGACTTCAAGCAGTAAATTTGGGTTAGAAGTAGAAATTTGGACATTATCATTCAGTAAATTCCCTAAAAAATTCATCCCATAAAAATATTTTTAATATTATAAGAGCATGGGAAGCAACTGAAGCCAGAAAATTATGAGTGTTTATGCTTGTATTCGTCATACGAGTCACCCTGGTTGTTCTAAAAATTAATACATGCTACTTAGAGGGAATTCTCACTTTAGAATGTTGGAGGGTTTTGGGGGTTTAGGGCGAGGGGTGAGGTTTTTTGTTTGCTTGGTTGGTTGGTTGGTTGTTTTGGGGGTTTTTTGTTTGTTGGATTTTTGTTTCTGTTTTTGTTTTACATGATTGCTCCAGCTTATGGAAAGCATTGTTGTCTAGTGTCCTCCCTCTGTGTGGAGCAACTGTTGACATAAATAAAATTGCTATAAACAAAGGAGATTCACAAGCAATCCTTGTGCTTTAGATTTGCCATCTCATTTAAGATAGGTGGGTTAGAGGAGAAAGCTCTTTGAAATTCAGAAGTGGAATGACTTGCTCAAAATCACGCAGTTAACATAGTTATGAATTATTTATTGAGTAAAATAAACATTTACTGAATACTATGTGCTGAGTAACGTTCTGAAGAGCAGAGACAAAGCAGTTAACAATGAAGACCATCATAGTTCCTATGACGCAGAATTCACAGTTCCTATGGAGAGAACTAAAAAACAAAAACAGGCAATTGTACATTGAATACACAATAATTTTCATAAAGCAAAATGAATCAAGAGTAAAAGCAGGATGCTAACTCATTTATTATGGAAATAGAGACACTTTTAGGATAAAAAGAATTGAAAACTGCATGGAATGATGTCAGCAAACATACTAGGACATCGGACACACTGAAATGTAAGTTTATCAGTATCTTAATTACTTTTCTCATTGCTGAGACAAAATGCCCTAAACCCAAAGTTAAAGGAAGAAAGATTTGTTTGGCCAGCAGTTTGTAGAGGCTTAAATTTGTAGTTAGCTCACTCCAAGGCAAGGTAGCTTGGCAGAGGGACATCATGGAGGAGAACCAGTTCATGGCAGGCAGAAGCAGCAAGTGACAAGCAATGCTTCTTTCTGTCCCTTATATTTTATCCAAGCTACCCACCCTTAATCCTAGCATCATATCCTTGATCCTAGCATCACACACTCTGGATCCAGCCACCTCTGAAAACCCCCACTTTGGCTGCATGAGGCTTTGGGATGACATCTAGGTGCCAGTCACGACAATCAAGATAATTTGGATGGGTGAGGGCTGGATGCTGAGGGAGTTACGGGTTTTGTTTAAAACAGTCAGTAGCAAGATGGTCTGGTGACATCTGAGGATTGACCTGCAGGCAGTAAAAAAAGGAGGCATCCAGGTATTTGGAGTGGAACAGACCTTTACAGGCAAAGGAAGCAATAAGGACAAGAGGAGGAGAAGGAGGAGAAAAAGGAGGGAAAAAGCAGGAAGGAGGTCATCATGATTGCTAGAAAGGGAGCAGGAAATGGTAGGAGACAGGGAAGGGTAATATGGAAGTCTTTCCGCTGTTAGAAGGATTTTGATGTTTATTATGAGTCATAGAAGCTGTTCATTAGCTATAAAATGAAGAGTGAGATGATTTCGGTTTGAGTAATAAAAGCCCAGTTACTATGTTCATAGTAGATTGTGGTAGAGGATTGGGGGAAAAAATATTGCATACAATACACTTCTACTTGAGAATTTTAAAGTTTAAGTTTAAAGACAATAAAACAGCAATAAAATGAATTGAAACAGTGATAAAGCAGTATGAAATCTACAATAGTTACTATATTGCATATTGCTGTCCTCTAGATAATTGCTCAGTTAGGCTGGCAAGTCAGTCAAACAATACAGTGCCTCTGAATCAGCTGGTGGCTCACAGGGCGGGTCTGTTTTCCTCCCCACAGCCCAGGCCACAGCTGGCTCACAGATGGGCGCTCAGCTTCCTTCCTTGTTCCCTTAATCCATGCTCTGGCCAGCTCTCAGGCGGGTGCTTTGCTTCCATCTTGGTTCCCCTGTCTGCACTCCTGCTCTCTACCTAAGCATCTTATTGCAATAATTAAAGAAGATCTATAAATGGATTAGGTCATAGGGTAGAAAATTCAGTGACAGAAACATGTCGATTTTTCCTGAATTTTATAATTCAGTGCATTTTCAAGAAAAGTTCTTTTTTTGTAGAAATTAACAATTAGGTATTAATATTTTGGTAGAAATGCCAATAACCTGGAATGATGTTAATTTTGAAACTGAACAAATTTGGAATATTTACATTATTTTAAGAATTGCTATGAAGACAATTACTGGTATGAAATAGAAATATAGATCAGTTAATCAAAAGAAGTCTAAAATAGTTATGCATATATCAAAATGTAAATTTATTTTTATAAAGACACAAATGAAATTTCAGTGAGAGAAGAAAAGTTTTATATGCTTTTCAATATAGCATACAAAAGAAATGGGTATCTATGAAGAAACGTAACCAACTTTTCACTTCAGATACTAAAATTAACTAATGATGGATTATAGATCTAAAACCTCAATCTTAAAAAAGCCCTTACAATCTTTCTACACTGTTGAGGTGGAATTGTAAACTAGTACAACAATTATGGAAATCAGTAAGATTATTTCTCAAAGAAAATTAGAAATTCCATTCTAGATATCTTCCCCTAAGAGCTTAACACATCACTTTACAGTGACAAATGCATATCAATATTTATAGCAGCATGATTCATAAAAACAAAAACCTGGAAGCAACCTGTATACCTATCAACATGACTGGATAAAGAAAATGTGATATTTATACATGATGGAATATTACACAGCTATACAGGAGGATAAATTTAAAATATTGTAGGAAAATAGATATCCTGGAAAATCTAATGTTGAATGAAATAAACCTTTCACACAGAGCAGAAACATGACCAGGCCCCAGTTTCTCTCCACCTTCCCTCATCCTTGTGGAATCCTGAAGGGCCAGCAAGCACCCTCCCACTGTGTTTCCTCCAAATGGCCCAGGATGTGCTAGCCACTGCCCCGTGTTCTGAGTCATCCTCCTGTTTCTGGGGATAAAGAGACGCCCCAAGGTCTGTTCACTGTCACAGAGCTGTGGGAACCCTTCATCCACTCGACCCTGCTGTGCCTGGGGAGTTGGCTTCTGATACCCCAGGAGACACAGAAGCCGGCAACCCATGCCACATGGACAGCAGCTCCAGGCCCATGTGGAGATTGAGACCTATGCCCTGCATCCCCACAGATGAGGGGCACCCTGACCACTGGCTGGCCCACAAACCACTTGGGCCCAGGAGACTGCTGTTTCTGTCTCCTCTGGGCAGTGGGCAGACATGGGGCAGAGTGCCAAGTGTCCTTGACCACTGGGTGTTCCTTTCTACAGCTTCTTCAGGGAAAGTGGAGACAATGATTAGAGGCCAAGATTCTCCCAGCTTCTGCCCAAGAGGGACAACAGGGCAGGCATCATGGATCTGGGCCGGGTGTAGAGATGGGCTGAGGCCAAGCCTCACATCTCCCTCCATACAAGTTCATGGGACTGAAAAAAAATCCTCCGTTCACTATCTCTTCACCTTTACCGTGGGTAGTAGCTTTCTGAGAGACAGTAGTTGGCAGTGGACCCATGAGTGACCACCATGGTGATCTGGCCGGGCCAGATGGGGGGTCCAGCTGTGGAGGGACCACCCAGGGACTTGCTGGTGCTCCTGCAGCTGCCCAATGCAAGTGTTCATGGTTTGGCTGGGCCTGCAGTCTGTGTGCCTGCTGTCACCCTGGTGTCATCTGGGGAGCAGGGACGCAGTGCAGTGGCTGTCCTGCTGGATTAGGTTGGAGGAAGGCAAGGCCCACTCCAGGCCCACTCCAGAGCCTTGGCAGGGATCTCACCCCCCTCTTGCTCTGTGGAAGTGTGGAGCACAGTCTATATTGTGGCTCTTCACCAGGACTTTCACTTTGCAAACACCTCTTTTTGGGAAACAAAGCTGTCTTTGTCCTCCATGTACCTTGGTCACAGCCCCACCTCTGTCAAAAGATGGCGAATTCCAGGTACAGTCCTTGCTTTCTGGAAGGGAATCTCCTTCCCCTCCTTACTGGGACAGGCCTGGGAGGGGAGCAGCCATCCTTTGGTTTGAGGCCAGAAGTCAAGGGCGGCGTCCTCTCCCATCTCAGCATGGACAGTGCTCCAAAGCAAACAGCATGGCTCGGGCAGGGGCAGATGTCCCAGTTCTCCAAGGCAGACTAAGGTTTGAGGCTGGCCATGTGCAGAAACAAAGCTCTTTAGCCATGTGAGGCTGAGACCCCATTCCTCCCACTCAGCCCATCACTCTCGTCACCATGGTCAACACTGCAGCACCTGGGGCAAACAGTAACCCAACCACGGGGGGCTGAGGTGAAGAAGCTTTTGGCACTGGAGGGAGAGAGTCATGGGACTCAGGACATCATCAGTCGTGGTAGAGGCAGCAGGTTTCCGGAAATGGATAGCGAAGAGCAGAGGTCACATTGTGACATGGATGTGTACCCCAGATCCAGAGCAGAGAGAGACCCAGACAAAGCTTGAGTTTCCCATCCTCATGGCTACCATAAGACATGAAGGGAGAGAGGCCTTCCAACTGTCATATCAGAAACAGATGTCATCAGCCAGGCAGGACAGCTGGGTATTTCATAGAGTCATGTGAAGGATCAGCCAACAAAGGCCTAGCTGAAAAACACAGGAAAGATATGACAGTTTATCAGTCACAGGCAATTAATACTGTCCCTGAGTTTTAAATGATAATCTGAGTTATTTGCTAGCTTTTTAAAAGGTAGGGTTTGATGTCTTTAAATGCTTCTACATGTATCTCCTTGCACACTTTAGAATCCATAATCTTGATCCTTTCTTCCTGAAAGAGCATCTTCTAAAGACTTCTCTTTGCTGCTGTCATCAAAGACACACAAGGTGGGACAAGACAAGGGTTTGGGTCGTGCAGCAGAAACTGGACATCACCAGCCTGTAGATGAAGGGTCAAGCCTGGAAGCCAGGCTGGTCCCAGCTGTGGTGACTGGTCTGTGACAAGATCTATCTGGCCTACAGTGAGTGCCTTGAGGCCAATGGCTTCCCTTCCACAGCCTGTCCTCATGGGTAGCTCTCTGGGTAATAACCTTCCTCAGGGCCTGGTCTCCGGCAGCCCAGTTCACCTCCTGCTTCCCGTCACCACCTGCTCCCCCAGCTCTCCTCACCTGCCCTTGTGTGCCATTGTACAGTGTCTTACTTTTTTGCTGTAGCAAATTACCAGACATGGAAACTTATAAGCAAATGTGTTCCTCACAGTCTGGAGGCTGGATGTCCAAGATCATGGTCTGGCTCATTTGTTTTCTGGTCAGGGTCCACGTTCCAATTGGTGGGACACTGCTATGACGTCACAGTGTGGGAGGACCAAGGGAACTCAGCCTCTTTAATAAAGTCATCAATCCTCCAATGGGCTCCACTTTCCCAGTCTAGTCACCTTGAAATTGGAGGTCAGTGCATGATCTCTGGAGACACAGCTCATATCGCATTGCTACATTTATGTGACAAGGCAAAGATCAGGGCCATTATTTCTCTGCTCAGTGCCCTGTATATGTTTGCAGCCTCCTGGCATCACTGTAAAGAGCCAGGGCCAGCACTGAGGACCCGGTACCCTCTAGTGAGGGCAGAAAGCTCTGTCCTGAGGGAGGGAGGCTGGGGGAAGGCCATCTCCTAATGGCTCAGGACACCAACCACTCATCCCCACCCCTCACTCCAGAGGGGAAGACTCACATGTCAGGACCCAGGCAGCTCACACCTCCCCTCAGTAACATGTAGGGTACACAAATAAGACAGGGTAAAGTCAGAAACATCTTTCTGGCATTTAAACCATTTCCTCCCCGAAGTAGTCAGCTGTGACTTGTCTCAGAAACCTGATTCCATCTCATTTTCAGAGCCAAAACAAATTGCTGATTAAAGATTGAGTTACTCTTGGTCTGTGCTTACGACCTCAATTCCCTGACACATGCATTCCTCCTGAGACCCAGCCTTGGCCTCTGACGTGATGGAGAGGCCTTTCAGGGATCTAGAAGCAAGAAGCAGCAGAACAGCCTGGCTCCAGCAAGAGTGTTCTGGGGACTACCATTGCCTCCTCCTAGCTGTCTGTCCTGTATTGCTGCTAATTCTCCAACCTTGACCCCCTCGCACAGGTACAGGACAGGGCTTTAACCTAGTGGGGACACAGCAGGAGGAGGCAGAGTCCAAGTCTGTCTGGTTCCAGAAAATGTCCACAGAGACCCTGGGACTTCTGCCTGATTCATGTCTGATGAGGTGACAGGCGTGGAGCTCGGCCTGATGGTGTCTCACCACCACTCCCTGTGCATACGGAGTAGCCTCCTTGCTCGGCCCACATGCCACGTTCTGGAAAGGGCCCCTCTGACAAGCTGCCTCCTTTCCTACCCTCTCATCTAGTGACCTGCAGGTTCCTGGAACAAAACCAGACTCAATGAGTCTCAACAAAACATGTTTATTTCTCGGGCATCAGGGACAAGAAGCACATTTTGAGGGAGAACTCATTGCTAGGCTGAGCCCAGGCACCACTCCCTGATCTGGGAGTGGGGAGATTTCTTCCTGGCCTGTCCTCGCTTGACCTGCCGAGCTCTAGTCCCAAATCCAAGGCTCTGTAGTGTCTCCGCCACGTGCTTCTGCCCTGGGGACACACACAGAATCACCAGTAACTTTGCATCACCTCCTAAAAAAAAAAAAGGAACAAGATACAAGATGAAAAGAGTTTGGTGAAAAGAGGCATCAACCAGCGTCCAAATCCCAGCAGCTGTCTGAGCTGAGAGGCTTTTTGACAGAAAGTCTGTGCACAGTTGAGCAAGGACCATGTCCCAAAGCCAGCAGATCCAGGTCCTGAGAGTTGCAGGCCACCAAGTGTCACCCATCTCACTAAGCCAAGCTGCCCTTCCCATAGCTTAGATATCCAATGGGCAATCATTTCTCGGCCAACCTGCCACGTCCCAGGACTGCCCCTGGAAAACAGCCAGCAAGCTGAAGCAGCAAGGGTGCCAACCCACACATGTGAGAGGGCACCGTAGGCACCCTGTGGTTATTGACAACAGTGCTGGAGATACTGAGCAGGTCACAGTATGCCTCGTAAAGCCATGACTCTGACCAGGAGAAGCCACCTGCATGGAGCCTCAGAGGCTACAGGAAGACGAACCGATGGAATCCTGCAGCAGGTGGGTGAGCTTGCTGTTCCGGTATGGGATGTGGCCCCGGTGCTCTGACAAGGCGCCCAAGACATCTGCCAGTGCTGCGAGACTGCGGTTGATGAATGAAGTCTCCCTCAGCGCCAGGCCTGTCACTCCAGACATACCTGGAGGGGGCAGAAACCAGGCAGAGTCACATACAATCACCAAGCGACCCAGAAAAAGCAGTGCTGGTTCTTGGGAGAAGCATGCACTTGGGAAGTTCAGAGAAGGAAACACTAGGCTGGGCTCTGTCCAAAGGAGTTTCTCCATGTTCATGTCTTCTCTAAGGACCAGTGCTGAGCTCTTGCTGGAAATTCTGAGCTGCTTTGGTTACAGAGCGTCATGGTGTACGTGTGTGGGTGTCGAGGTGGAGCAGGCATGTTCTGGACTGCAGTGAGATCATACCACCCATATAGTGAGATCATACCACCCATAAGGATGTATGGGGATTCGGTGTCCCCTGCACACAGGATCTGCTGTACTCAGAGCTTCTAAAGTTCCTGCACAGAGCCAGGCTTTGTCAGCATCCCCAGAGGAGGGTTACTGCTACTGCTGTCCCCGCCCAGGCAAACCTTCCCATTCCCGCTCACCTGCACACTCACTGCCGGCCAAGTCCACCAACTGCAGCCTGGACCACACTTGCTTCCTAGAGCCCACAGGGTCCACGGGGACAGACCCAGGTGGTGAAGCCTGGTGAGCTGAGCTCCACCTCTCACTTGCCCTTGTTCGCTTCCCGGGGAGGGTCTGACCAGGCTGCTGGTCTGGGAAAGGCGAATGAGAAACAGGGAACAAAGTCATCCAGCGTATCAGTGCTGCAAAGCTTCTGAAACTCCACCCTCTTGTCACAATAGTGAGACAGGACAGAGGCAGAAGGACACTGCTTCTCTGCAGGGAGATATGAAAAGAGGCAGAAAGAGGAGTATTCTGTGGAAGGTAAACTAACACCTACCTCATGTGTTCCAAGAAAACAGGATGCTTCTTAGAGAGTTTTGGTGATGATTTTAACTAAAATCCCAGCCAGAAAATCTGTCTAGAAATAAATCTCACCACTCCTGTTAAATAAGCTTTCACAAAACCCTGTAAATGAGTTTTGCCATCCATCACTCCAAAAGAAACTTCTTAAAAAGACTTTTTTAACCTAAATAACATTCCCTGTGTGAAACAGGAAATGCACATTGAAGATTTTAAAAAGCTCCTCTCATTCCCCTGGGCTCACGTCTCCAGTGCATCTCGGTCTATGTCTCTGGTGTCCCTGTGCATGGTACTGTCCCAGCCCCACAGTATGCCCAGTCCTGAGACTGGCTGTGGTGAGCTCTACGTGGGCTAGTGGCCACAATAGTGAGTGTGCTGCTTCACCTGTCCCTTCCTGGCCTGGGAAATCACAGAGGACACAGGGGATCAAGTGTCACACTGACAGGATGGAGAGGGTCTGTCTACACTGGCCTTTGATGAGAGGGGAAAATAGCCTTCACTGTGTGGCCCGGTTGGCCTAGGGTTTCTATGTTACACAGACCCAGCCTGGCTCTGTGACATGGTGCCTGGCACTATGAACTTGCAGCAACAGCCCCCAGGCTGCCCTGGCCTGCTGAATGTGCCTCCTGGGGAGTGTGCAGAGTAGGCCCAGGCCCAGTGTGTGATTTATGGAGCCAGGTTCTGAGGGCCACTGCCCTATGCCATGCTGGCTTGTGTGACGATACTTTGTTCTTCTTGGGTACCTGGAATTATTTTCTCCATGGTATAGTCTACAGCTTTCATTTTAAAATGAAATTATACCAAGTTCCACTCACCATAGGTATAGTGCATTTCAAGGCATAAGTATATCCTGTTTCCCTTTTAATCCAGCAGGAGCTCTCCTTTCTCACTTTCTTTTCCCAGCCTGAGATCCCAGAACCTCCTGGGTGGCTCATCAGATGAGGTGACTGTAATTCCTATACTTGGTTCCTTTTGTATAACTTAGATCCTTCAGCCCCACAAAGTATTTCTTGGTGAGCAGTTTGCTTTTCTGTACTTGAACTGACCCAGTGCAAATGGAAACTCACCAGTGCTGGCCAAGGAAGTGGCTGTGGTCAGAGTCACTGTTACGATTAAGTGAGATCTGGAAGAATCTGCATGCACCAGGGTGGGGTTCTTCGCCCTGAGCCGCAGGCCTTGGTGGAAAAGCTCCATGAACTCCAGGACACTGGTGATGGCCCTGAGAAGACACATTTTAAGAGGCATCCCAAAAGGCATGGCACACACCTCCTGGGCTGCAAGGGCCAGTGGTTAATGAACACCCTCCACTAACAGGTGCTTTTCAAAGAAATCAGACACACTGATTTCCAGAAAGGAGACAAAACCAATCTCAGGCAAAACAAAACATCAGAAATCAAACATTTTGCTTGCTGAGGCCTAACTGACCTTTGCCATCTCTGAAATACTCAACAGCTTCAGAACCAAACCACAAGTTGCTATCTTCTAGCATGAGCCATTCCTTTACGCATCATGCCCTTGGGGTCAAGTTTTTGAACTATTTTGTCTATCAAACCAAACTTGTGAAATAAAACAGTTTAAGCCATTCGCCCCCTTCTGTGAGTGAGATGAGCTGCTGGTCGTAGCTCTTGCCATGCTCATCATGCTCTACTATCTAAAGCTCAAGCTTGGTTACTTTCTGGAGATAGATCAAACACACGTTTGTGTTATGCCTTGTATCTAGACGCCCCTCCCCCCCAACAAAGCCTCACGTGCTCAGATGCAGGGCTGTGGACAGTGATTGGATGATGGGATGCTACAGCGGGCTAGGTGTTGGGAGATGGGCTTCCCTCCCTGTCTCCTTGCCTCACTCTCTGCTTCCAGGCTGCTCTGAGGTGCAGAGCTTGCCTCCTCCACTCTCTTCCCCCATGCTGCTATGACTATGCTGCTGACTGACTCTTCTAAGAAAGAGCTAAAGAAAACCTTTTTTCTCTTTTAAGTTTCGGGCGTTGGGTATTAGGAGCCAGCAATAAGGGAAGTGACTAAGACAGTTTCCATTGAGCTTTTGAAATACTAAAAGTAGCTTGGAAGCCCTACCCTTGTTGTCCTGGAATTCCAGCATAGGAAGTTAGACTGCAGGCAGACCAGAAAGGTAAGAATTCCTCTGGGTACCAATAGGGTGTGTCCTGGTATGCATATGGCTTAAAAAATACAGAAAATGAAAGAGGGTATGTAGGTGATACGGTAATTCCCACTTTCGAAAGATGGTATCCATCACATGTCTAAATAAATACTCCCGTCTGTGATGGAGGGGTGTGGTTTGCCTTCTCTAAGCTGTTTCTTCACCTGCAAGGTAGAGTGACACCTGTCCCACATACTCTTAGAAAGATTTTTTAGACACTTTAGTGTTTACATTCAAATTTCAATTTTTTCCTGTTTTTTTTTTACATTTTATTTCTTTCATTAACAGTTTATTAACGTATCACTGACATAAAACCTGTGAAGTTTGGGGGAAATATAAGCATTGTGAAATTATCACATTCCAGGTAATTAACATATCTGTCACTGCTACATAACTACCATTAGAAATATAATTTTTAAAATAAGTTGGAAAGTATGCAACACATACTAAATTCTAAAAACCCACAATCAACAGTTTTGTGGCTTGACAGCCCTGACTTGGTGGCAGGCAGGGCTCCTCCTGCAAAGCTACTGCCCTGAGCCTTTGCAGCAGGAACACAGATAGTCGGTCCCTCACCTACTCACCCACGGGTCAGCAGGGGCACCTCTGTGCATCCGTCCTGGGTGGTCACCACATCACGCTTGACCCCAGACACCACTGTAGAACTGTCTTTGGCCAGAAGATCAAAAATGTCGTTGTTATAAATTTCCAATATGGAAACATCCACCTTTGGGCTTCCTGATGGATTTTCTGAAATAAGCCTGGGGAAACACACAGAGGAACTAAACCATCAACGAAGTCCAATGAGCCCTCAGAAAGGCCTTCAAAAAGGCTCCCAAAGCCAGGTGTCACAGTCCTGGAGATACTGAGCAAGACTCCTGTAGCCCACAAGTGTAGGGTGACTTTACCAGGATCAAAGTCACCAAAGAGGAAGGGAGTCCTATTTAAAATCCTTTTATTTTTCCTATTAAATTTGCTTTTTGTTTTTGTTTTTTGAGACAGGGTCTCACTATGTAGTTTGAACTGGCCTTGAACTCACTTTGTAGCCCAGAGTCTCTAACTCACAAGGATCCTCTTCCCTCAGCATCCCGAGTGTTGGGATTACAGGTATGTGTCACCATGCCTGGCTTAAATTTTGCTTTTTAAAAATATTTTTATGATAGTCCACAATAATTACAGTCATCATAGGGAATAGGTACATGAACATGACATATCTTAATTCTGTTTATGTTCTGAAATCCACTTTAAATTCAGTCTTAGGAACAAAGTTACTTGACTGGAATTCTATTTAGACCAGCTGCCCCTGCTATATCCAAGTGAGGACGCTGGAGAGGGTGACCTTGATCTGAAGTCACACACCCAAGTCTTGCCTTGCACACAGCCGAGAGTGAGACGGCAGGACGAGGACCTGCAGCACCTGCCATGAGTGAGGTTGTTGCTCTGTGCTCTGTACTAGCAAACACTATGTCCTTCCTTTGTACCAGTGCTACTTGTGTCTCCCAACTGTGACCTTCCTGTGACTCCTAAAACCCCTTGCAGGCTCTAAAAAAACTGTATGTCTCATTCTGTTACATCTTTTAAAGCACTGTGTGCTGACTGTAGAGAGATTTAAAAATAAGGACACAACACACTTGGAGAGACACTATATCCCACAAGGAAGATGGGACCATGCATGCAGCTTCCTTCCTCTCATCCAGCTCCCAGCACGACCGCTTTGATAAAACTCTGCCCAAGGGAGATATTGCAAGAGCAAATGCCAGAGATGCTGCAGAGATTGTCGCTTCTTCTTCTCTGAACAGTGAAATCAACTTTTCTTGACTTGTGCTGCTCTTATTTAGAAAGATATTCTGAGCTCAGGTCAAAATGCTCCAATGGGTGGACATTATCTGTACTACAGGAAAAGTCTAGCTGGGACATTTTCCCTTTAAACTTTATTAGACTGAAGTTTTTAACCAGATCTAGAGGGCATTATAAATAAAATAAGCCCTTGGCATCCTCAAATAATAAGTAATATAAAACAACAGATTACCCTAAAAGAAAAATCAGGTGAAATTCTCAAGTAAGTGTTAAGATCTAGATTGTTTTTGTCATTGCATTTTACTGAGACTGTTTCAAAAAAACTGAAAAGTGAAAACCAAACTCAGCGAAGTGGTAGATTTCATATTTTGCTTTCCTCTCCAGTGGGACAGTGCAAGACAGGAACAGAAGTGTGGCCTCTGCATCTCTCCTGTTCCTTTCTGTGAGACATTATACCTTTGAGTGTCGCCAACTTTGAGTTAGACGTTTTTTATCTTCAGAATATGCAAGATTTAATTTAAAAGATTTTCCACCACTTTCACTGAGTTGATGCCTAGATTCTAGGCATAATATTGAGAACCAGTTTTCAGGCTCAGCCTAAACAAAGCATTTAGTAGGTTTACTGAGGGGCATAGGCAGCATGACGTGAACAATCCAATAATAAAAACCATGTTAGGCTCTCATGAGGCTCTAAAAGCTAATGTCCAGTAGAGGGCAGTGGGCTGCAGTAGTCTCCTCTTTCTAGTCTGGGCCATTTTTGCCTTGTCCATCCATTCCTGCACACATCCCACTGGATCATAATGACTGGTCTGTCTCTTTCTTGATATTTTAAAGTTGAAAGATGTATAATACTCATTTCTGTGTTTCTCATGTCTTGACAGTGCTTTTACATAGACACATTGAATATTTTAGTTGATAAGAATGACAATGAGATCAGTCTAGGAGGATATAGTTTCAGCAGCCGAGAGAGATGGAAAGTGGGAAGAATCCCAAAGGTGAGGTTTTATTTTATTTTAAATGGCAGGGATGCCTTCATTAGCAATGCCTATATTTGGTAATGGCAGCCATTTAAAAGGTATGTGTTTTAGGATAAAGGCTCATATTAGCATTCTCTGATATCTATGCCTGATGTGGTTTCACATTTTGGGCAGACAGACTGCTTGCATTTTAACTTGGGCACACCCAAACTCACCCACGCATCTGGCTGGACATGTTCCTTTCCAGAGCCCGTCTCTACCGATGAGGAATGCCTGCATGTTTGAACTTTCTTTCTCATTCTTGCAGATAAAGAAAGAGAAGCTGGGGGATGCTGGGGCTGGCCTGGTCTCAGCTAAAATAAGAGAGACTCAGAATTTTGCCTGGTGAACTTTGATGCCCCAAATCACTACTCTTACATGGCCAGTTATCACTGCATGTCCTGTGACTAAAAAATATTTAAAAGCTGACTTGCACCCTCTGTGGAAGTAATGTAAATAGCTATCAGGAATGGGACCCTATGCCTGATGAAGTGGAGAATCCCATTTCTACATAGTTCTAACTGCCCAGATGTTTCCTGAACCATCTTCCACAGAATACCATGCCACCAGCAGCTCTTCCCAGTGCTCCCCGAGCTCCAGAATCAGAGCGTGACCTACAATGTGTAAACATCTGCGCTGTGTAATGGTCCCGGTGCATAAATCCCACCGCAGACCGAGCCAGCCCTGTAACCTCACACTGCCCACTGTGGAATCCCCGAGGAAATCATCCTCTCTCAGGTCAGGGTTGAACACTGTGCCTCAGAACTCAGCTGACAGAGGCTGAGAAGCAAGCAGAGTGTGCCCCACACTCCCGTTATCCCTTCTGGTTCCCACCATCTAGTCCTACCCTTCTGTTACCCCAAACTCCCTATCCTGGAGCCTCAAAAGGTTGCTTAACAGAGACAAAAATTATCAGTCAATGACCTTAAATTATTGACTTTATTTTAACTGATACATAAAAACATAAAAGTGGTACTTATTTATGGGGTGCTGTGTGACTTTCAATACACAATACAGTGTGTAATGTTGGCATCAGGGTAAATGAATCTATTTGCTCAGATATCTACCATTTCTTTATAGTAAAAACATTCAAGTTCCTTTCTTGCAGGCTTTGAAATACACAGGATGTTACTGCTCCCTCTACTCACCCTATGGTGTAGCAGTTACCCAGCAGAACGCATTCCTGCACATTACTGTAAATTAGACCCCGAGAAGCCTTTCCTCCTCCCTCTTCCCCACCTGCTCTCCCAGCCTCACACAACCACTATTCTCTCTGTGATAGCAATTTTTTATTCTACATTTGAGTGAGGTCATAAGTACTTGTTTTTCTGTGCCGGCTCACTTTGTTTACAATAATGTTCCTAGGTTCCATCCATGTTGTCACAGATGACAGATTTCATTCTTTTCTATGACTGAATAGTATTCCATGGTGCATAGGTACCACGTTGCTTTATCCATTCATCAGTTGATGAACACAAGTTGATTCTGTTTCTTGGCTTTTGAGAATAGTGCTGCATAAATATGAGAGTGCAGATGTGTGTCTTCAACATATTGATTTTATTTCCTTTGACTCTATACTCTGGAGTGTGATTGTTGAATCATATGATGGTCCTATTTTTAATTTTTCTAAAAAATCTCCACAGTGTTTTCCATAACAATTATACTAATTTACACTCTCACCAAGAGTGTGCAAGGATTCCCAGTTTTCCATATCCTTGCCAGTATTTATTTTTAATATTTTAGATAACAAGCATTCTTATTGGATGGAGTGAGGTAAGATCTCATTGTAGTTCTGATTTGCACTTCCCTGGTGATTAGTGATGTCAAGTATTTTTTATATGCCTGTTAGCCATTTTGATGTGTCCTTTTGAGAAAGGTCTATTTAGGTTTATTCCCATCTAATGATTATACCATCTGTGCTGTCTTCTTTGTGAGTTCAGACACTGTTGGACTGATCAGCACAGATGCTAAGAGGCTGCCCCAAGCAGGTTCTTTACAATGGTGGGTAAATATGTGGGTAGACAGGGGATGGGGGGATAAAAGGTGAAGAGCATCCAATTACCATGAGGGCCAAGGAAGAACAGAGGGTGGCCTAGGTCCCAGAAGCCCCCATCCCCACGTCCCTCTTCCCAGACGAGGCTACTGCCATCACATTCTGACATAGTCTCACCTGACGCCAGTGAACTCCTGGCCAAGTGGACCAAGCCTGGCAGGGACATGCTCCTGGGTGACAGTGACCTGTGAGCTCCAGTGTAACCCTGCTGAGCCCTTCTGTGACACACCCATGCATTACACTGTCTTGGGATGCTGAGACCCCAAGATAAGGTGTACACATGTAGACTGGTAAACATATCTATCTACATACATAAATATTGAAATACTACTGGCCTTAAGAGGCATCAAAGCCCTTTGGTCATGCTCTGTCCCTTGGGTCATGTTCTGGCCATGATTTTAGGACATGAAAGGGTTATCTATGCAAGGAAACACAGATGGAGAGACTGAATCTCAGGGCTGGGAGCACCATGACACTGGCTCAGTTGAGTCCACTGCTGACAGCCAACGGTTTGGTGAGAAATGTGCAACGTCTAACCTCACAGTGGGCCCAGACTCATTCAAAGCAGTGTGCAAACAGGAAGATGACCACCAAAGGCTGAGGCTAGTAACCAAGCCAAAGCAGTGGCTCAGGAAATGCAGTGTCATTCTAGGCCCTCCTTCCAATCTCGATTGCTTTTTTTTCCCCTCTAGGAATAAGTTAGTGAAATTGAAACAATTAGTAGTGGGTCTCCTCTGTGGATGTGTTAATGGAACAGAGGACCTTCTATGGAACAAATTTGCTGGAAGGGCCAAGAAAGGCAGATAAATCTGCTCTGCAGGAGGGCAAGAAAAGACAACACTGCTCTGGAACACAACTTTTGTACTGGGAATTAACTTGGGGTCTCTTCCAAGAAATTTCACCAACAGACTTTCAGCACACATTTGTGGTAAGAACTTGTGGCATTCACAGCAATAATGCCTGAGAGTGTGTTGGGTTGTTAAATGCCACCGTTAAGAGGACCTGTCCGGTGTAGCTTTCTACATGACTCACATTGTCCCTCCAGTTCCTGCACAGCACCTGCCTGTCATCACCACCATCAGAGTTACCTGAAGAACTCCTCAACTGCTCTGGGGATAAGTCCCAAGTCGCTGTGGGCATCTGATGGTAGCTCTGGTCCCAACATGGTGTAGCTCTTCCCACTCCCCGTCTGCCCGTAGGCCATGATGCACACATTGTACCTGAAATTCACATGAGTCCATGTGGCAAAACACAGACAAAGGACAGGCTCCTAAGTGGGTACTGGGAGAAACTGCTACTGGAATGTAAAACTTCAGTGCACTTCATTCTGCGTTCCCCAGTACTCTTTGTGAATTAGATTTTCATTCAACTATAACTATTGTTTACATAAACCATTTACTGCACAGCTGTTTTGCTATACAGAACATGAGATAAAATGATACTTATGCTCATGCATACAGCATGGATCTCATCAGTGCCTACCTTAAGTCATGTGACATCATCCACGGTGGGGTGGCTGTTCACAAGCTTTGCCAGCTCAGTTTACCAGGGTTCTAACCTAGTGAGTCCCTCCTAAACTCTCACTTCTCGCTCATTTTCAGTGCAATCTTAGAGTCACCTGATGTAATTTGACCTTCATAAAATTGGGTCTATTATATATAATTTTGGTATAAACTCTTGTATGCTTTCTTTTGAAGTTCTTAAAACTTTTCCTCATTGTATATACGACCAATAGCTAACATTGTTGGCAGTAATTGTAGTTAGATAATAACCATACTTTTTTACATTTGTTACCCAAAGGGTTGTGGGGTTTCCACATTCTGTGAGCTGCATGTGGCAATGTTGACTGATCCTACATCTGGATTATTTGACAATAGTTTATGGCATAGAACACAAGATTTAACAACATACTCATAAGTTTTCTTCTATTCATTTTGGTTAGCCCAAAATATCAATGAGAAGACTGGAAGCAGTGGAAGAATATTTGAGATTAGTTTGTGCTATAAAATTATATTGCCAGCAATATGATTTTCTTGACCCTAAAGGCACAGGTCAACCCAGCCCATAGCTGTTAAATACATCATGCAGGGTACTCTGCCCACGCCCAGGTGAGAGTCACTTGGTGACTGTCCTCAATGCACACACTCCTCACCTCAGAGGTGCTGACTGACTGATGGAGGCAGGGTGTTGCTATGTAGCCCAGGCTGGCCCAGAATACACAGTGCTTCTCCTGCCTCAGCCTTCTGAGTGCTGGGATCACAGGTGCCACTATGTTCCAGCACAGATGTTCTGACTTATTTAACCTTCACTCAAACTATGTTGTTTTACCTCAAGTAAACAAATACAGTTCTTTTGATAGAATGGTTTTATGACAATGTTCAGATTGATAGATTCTGATTCCCACCAAAAAAGTGATACTAAAGGCAGGAGACAAGGAAGCCCATCTCTGAGATAAACTGTTACATTCTACCCAACATCTTGGAACCACATTGGGCAGAGCAGATCATGGTCACTGTCATTCTAAATAATTTTATTCCAAAATCTAAAAGGCTTAAGGCATACTTTAAAAATTCCCACACATTTCACATCTTTTCCAGCTCCCACCAAATGAATATTTCTCTCTGGGAGTCCTTGACTGCAATTATTATTATTATTATTATTATTATTATTACTATTAATTTTTTTTGTAATGCTGGAGCCTGTGTGTGCTAGGCAAACACTTTACCACTGAGCGGCACACTGTCACAGGTGGTTCACATGTGGTTCTTATGGAGTGTGAGACCTCCTGGGAATGTGGATCCCAGAAGGCTCGGCGTTTGTAATAATGATGTCCACTTCAAGTTCTGAAGGGAAGGCAAATCTGGCAGAACTCACTCTAACCATAATGCTTTCCTCATTTTTGCAACCTGCTCATTTAAAAAATGCCTTCTGCGACACCCTTGTCATTTGCAGTACTGGAAGTACTTTGAGTGGGAATAGAAATCAAGCCGAAGCAGGAAGTGCAGTCACCAGAGGGAGGACTGGCTGTGTATGTGTGGGCCGTGAAGAGGACATGACCTCAGCCTGCAGATTACAGGCCTCCCGGCTGTACAGCACCCTGGTGTAAAATAACAATGTGGTAATTATAGATGCTATTTTGTTGAGATTGGCCATGCAGAAGTCTCTGTGAGACAAACAAAAATAAGTCTTGTTCAGAAAGTTTGATGTAGACTTCTTTGCAAAACTGAGATTCTCCCAAAAACTCTGCAGTAGAAAGTCTTGGCTGTGGTGTTAAGTATACAAACCTAGTTTGACTTACAGCTAAAGAAATGTATTTACTTCCAAATTATGCCCCTTGCCTTAAAAATCGGTAGTTGTGATTTCCAAAAATAGAAGGCCGATTCCCAAAAGGAAACATTTCCCAATCTGATGTTGGCATTTACAACAGATATATTTTTTTTAAACTCTGAAGTGCGAAACTAACCCCACAGAAAAGAAAGGGAGCAGCCGTGGCAGCCTGAAGTCTGCAGTACACACCCAACGAAATGCGGTGTGGAGCCAGGGCACGTGCACCCAAATGACGACTCCTCCTCAAAGCACAGATATAATTCCCGGCAGACACCACGCCAATGTTTGCCCTGGCTTTGCTCAAGTATCACACGATACCTGGCCTCTGATGGTCCACTCTCATTCTGTAGCATGAATGAGGTTTGTGTGTGCAGTACTTAAATGCAGCTGTAATAACTGGCCTTAAAAACATTTTAACTCACCCATCTAAGAGGGATGTGAGTAGTGGGCACACATCTGCAAACACTGCTGTCTGAGGTTCTGCTGGACCATAGACTCTGGGAGACAAAGTGAACAGTGCATTACTGAAAGAAGAAGAAGGCTTTTACATCCATGTATGGATGCCTGGGAGAGCATCATCTACCCCCTACACACACACACACACACAAATGTGCCCAACATAACCAATGCTGTCTCATCAACAGAAGTAAATGGTGAGTGAAGCTGTAGGGCTTGATATAAAGTTTAAGAGGCATGGGGACACAGGGTGACCCTGGATCCTCTGGAGGCAGCTCTTTCATGCTGTCCTGCCTAAGACAAGGCCCCCCACCTCATGGGTTGGGGCCGTGTGAGCTCTGTGGGTTCTCAGTTGCTCTTTGCTGGTACCAGACTTCTCCTCATTGAGGTGCTGACTGGCACTGAGCTGGAGACTGTGAGGAGACCCTGCACATCTCCTGTAGGGTCCATGAAGTCACAGAGGCCACTGAGCAACTGGAAGAGAGTCCTCAGGCACTGCAGTAGGGCACAGCAGGCAGAGCCTCGCACTGGGTCCCCTATATCCTTTGGTAGTGGAAAAGGATGTGTTGCTTCCCAGACTCACTTTTAATTCTCCAGCTTCACGAGCCTCCCATCTGCTACTTTGATAATACTAAGACCAGGTGCGAGGGAGGCCTGAGCCCCATCTTTAGTTGCTCTCATTGTGATAAAGCCCTATTTAACACCTGGAGATATGAGAATGAGGATTTACCTGAAAGATTAACATATGGGTTCTTTATAATCACATGAATCAGTAAGATAAGTTGTACCTTTTGTTAATAAACTGTAATGCAAACTCTGCATGTTTAATATATATCTTGGATCCATACTGCATCATGAAGCATACTTACCTTTCAAAATTATATGTCTTATTAATCAAAGGATGGCCAGGACGATCACACCGTACTAGGATGGTTTCCTAATAGAAAAGATGAAACAAAGTAGTCATACTCTGCCAGATTTCATTAATTAAGCACCAAGTGAGGCTGACAGAGGACAGCCCCAGGCTAGCCCAGCTGCTGTGTGCTTTTGTCAACAGAGACACACTGGAGCACACACAGAGACCTCTGTTGACAGATGGCACCCAGGTGCTGGACTGAAAGGAAACACTGGGTAATATAGACGGTGGCCAGATGGCCTCAGAGACCATGAATCTACCTGCTCTCTGCGGGAGTCTGCTGATCTCCAGCGAAGAGGAGGAAGTCATGCTTACTGAGGAAGACTTGACAGGTCAAGGGCTGCTGGTTTGCAGGCCAATTCAGAAGGCATTTGGCATGCAGATAAAGCATAGCAGCCTCAGCAGCTAGAACAGGCCTGTCTCAGGCAGCAGTGTTACTTAATTATGATGGGAAAAGCTAGTGTCTGTGTTCAAGCTTTGGCAACGCTTGGCCTTGCTGAGCTATTTTCTTCAGTTACATCCTGTGTGGAAGAGGCAAGGACATGTTCATAAGAAATGTGGACTAGCTTTGGATTTCAGCAAAGGAAAAATGAATGTGGATCGCTTCCAGTTTTAATACAAAACATGAATTCATGAAAGAACAAGATCACAGGGAAAACTAAAGACAAACAAACAAGCAAACAAAAAACCCTAACAATTGCAGTGATGAAGCACCCACAAGCACCTGATTTTTTTCATAATGATATTTGGAATATCCCTTCATGATGCCCTGTCTCCTTACTGGGACTTTAGATATGCACAGGCACTGTAAGAGTGTGTGTGTGTGTCTGCAGTAATAAATATATTTTGCAGATGTGGCCTGTTTTGGGTGGAGGCCACCACAAGTAGAAGCACCTGATAGCTGTTTGTCTCAGATGTGGTCATGTTTTTGTCTGCTGCCAAAAGCTGGGTCACGGTGGTGACTGGAGCACAGTACTGTACCATTTGGACATGGGTAGGACACTCCGATGCCCAAGGCTGACCTTAGAACATGGGGGACCTTGACTGTCAGCAGCAGGTAACACCACAGGGGTACCAGGCATGCGTTTGGGCATGTTACTATTATGGTTCGGATCCAAAATGTACCCCCAAAAGGCTCATGTATTCAGAGGTGGGACATTTGGAAGGTGTTTTCATCTTGTAAGATCTGATTTCACAGTGAATTAGTCCACTGAAAAGATTATAGTTGGATGGCATTATTTAGAAGTAATAGATACTTAGGAGGTAGGGCCTAGTTGAAGGGAGTGGGTGTGGGGGAAACTTTGGGGCCGATATCTGACCCTGGTCCCTTACTCTCTGTCTCTCTCCTACTTCCTGGCTGGCAGGTGGGAGGCACAAACAATCACTGTGCACATGTCTCCATAGGGTCCTTCCTGAGAACTCTATGTGTGGCACTGCCTCAGGAGTGGCACCCCCACATGACAAGGTTACAGCCCTCTGTCCTTTTCACATCAAATCTCCCAAACAAGAGCAGGAGCCAGAGCTCTGCCTCAAAGCAGGGCCCGTACACCGAATGGCCAGAAAAACAGGCTGGCCAGGTCTTGGTATCTAGACTGGACTCAAGCAAGTTTCAGGCTATCCTTCCTTCCGTAGTCTGTGACAGCCCCGTGGAGGCCAGCAGTATCCTGGTGCCCCACGGTGAACTGCCCAGGACACATACTCTGCTGCCTCTGATGCCCACACTTTAATCACAAAAACAAGAGAAAAGCCAGGACTTACATGACCTGGCCTCAAAGCTCAAGGAATACCATATAAGGAGCATAGAAAGCCATAAAAACAAGTTAGAATCCAAAAGATCCCCATGGCCCTTTAGAATGTCATTTTTACAGTGTAATCAGCACATTTTAAACATCTGAAACAATTCCACAAGCAATGTTTAGTTTTTCCAAGAACAGCTTAAACATATTTTCCTGAATATCCCAAAAAAATCTCCTCTTTCACAATATTGAATATTCCTTATTCTCAAACACAGGAGTTGCTTCCGTCAGCTTTTAAAACAATTTCCTTTATGCAAACTTTTAAACTCTGGGCCCTACAGCTCTGGGCCTTTTAAGGTGGGAGCTGCCTGGTGTGGAGCTACTTCCTGAGGAAACTGGGCCTCATCTGAACACAGACCTTATTACAGCACCCACCGGGACTCCAGGATTCAGTGCAACAACATTCATGACTGCCTGGCTTGGAATTAAGTCCAGTGAACTCTTTTTCCTGAGGCTTTATCATCTCTTTTCTTAGGGCTTTTTTTTTTTCAGTGCTGGTGGTGGAACCCAGGGCCATGTACATTAGCACATAAAAAGTAGCAGGAAACACTCTACCACTAAACTGTACCGCTACCATTTTACCATCTATTTTCTTATTTACACATGTTTTCCTGAAAATAAGATGTAACTAGAATTTAAAAATGCAAGCCCCAATCAGCCTACCATTTAGAGTAGCCCCTGAGCAGGAGAACTGTAAGGCATACTCTTCCGTGTGGCACTGCCCATCACCATGGTAATGACCCAGTTATTAACTACTGCCCAAGTTTGTTTTCTAATCAAGTCTTATTTTGGGGGAAACATAGAAATTCAATATCCTAGAATAGCTTTGCAAGAATTTAGGGCCTAAAACTATCACTAATCTTGGCGCTGAAGTAAATTTTAATCTCCACATCCTCACATTATACGGAATGCCCTGAGTCCAAGAGGAAGCAGGAGAACTCCATTCAGACACCACCCAGCTCCCCCTACCAGTCTTAGCCTTGCTCAGGATCAGAAACAGCTTCAGTGGCTGGCCTTTCCCTGATCATCTGCTCACGGAATGAGACAAGGTCATCACTGCCTGGTGCGTAGTAGGTGGTAGATGAGAACCGTCTTGTAACTGCACAGTGCATGTGAGCCTAGATGTGCTCATAGGTGGGGGCAGTCCCTCAGCACTGCAGCAGGGGTGCTATCCTGATCCCATCTGGAGGGCAGAGCGCTCACTCTAACATTCCCATGGCAGGCTATGTGCTCTGCGCACAGGAGCAGTGCCCACCTGGGAGGCACCACCTGGGGCTTTGGTGCAGATACAGATGCAGGGGAGGAAGACCCTGGACACTCAAGTCTGCAGATCCACAATCACATCTGACCAACTGCCTTATGCTCCCTTCCCAGGATACTGGGGAGCCTTGGAAAAGATGGGGGTCCACTCCAGTTGAAGTGATTTTCCCATAGGTAACCACAATGGGGGGAGGAGAGCAATCCTTCAAGAGTTTCCAGGAAAAGAGGAAAAGAGGTGCTAGAGCAGATATCACTGCTTTGTAGCCCCAGTATCATGAGAGGTCATTGCCAACCCAACGAGAGACAGACTAGGTGCACCTCCTCCAAAATATCAACACTTTCTCCCTGGGGTTGGCCCCAGTCTGGGTGCACCTGCCCGCTTGCAGGAAGGAGGTGAACTGCTCTGGACGGCAAGTTTGCCACCAGCCAAACTGGACTGTGGGAAAGGCCCCAGGCCCTCAGGCCCAGATTCTTCAACAACAAACTAAGGACGAGTAAGGGATGGAGAGAACCTGAAGATTAAAAGGGAATAAGAGACCCCAAACTACAAAGTGGGCAAGACCTGAACCCAGGGGGTAGGAATGCAGAATGCACAATGAAACCGAAGAAATGAAACCAAGTGGCCCCTTCTGGAGGCTAGGTCATGGGCACCTTGCAGAGAAATCTGGAATGTGCCTGGAGGGGCCACAGCAGGCACCCTAGGAGCTAGTAATATCCTGGTTTGACCTGAGTTAGACCAAAGCGTTAAGTTACGAATCTCTTCTATGACACATTTTTACATTGTGTTTTTATTTTATGACAAAGTTTAAAGGAAAGAAAAACTGTGTGAGAACCCAAATGAAGGATGAGTAAAATGAAGATATCCTGACATTGACCCTTGAGGGTGCCAGGATAGTGAAATAAGCCAGTCACAAAGGACACACACTGAGTGACTCCACATACCTGAGGTCCCCAGTGTGACTGGATTCACAGAGACAGAGTGGAATGCTGGCATTAGACACAGAAAAATGGGAAAAGAGTCAGTGTTGGTTGGTAAAGCTGCACCATGGGAAGGTGAAACATTCTGGAGATGGACGGTGGTGGCAGACACAGTGTCATGAGTATATGTAAAGCTACAGAACAGAAGCACAGTTAAGATGGTAAATTTTATGTCATGCATGTTTTAACATTATAAAAAATGATGAACTGAAATTATGATCAATCTGTATCTGTGTGCTGGAGGAGAAAAAGGAAAAAGAGAAAGATTGGTGATATGTATTTAGGTGAAGTCCAAGCATCCTCTAACTCCTCTAATGGACAGCAAAAGATAGGCACAGTGGTCTCCCATCCCTTAGGCATGAAGGCCACATAACATTTGCAAGGTCACACAGCTATCTGCCAATGCAGCTTGCTTTGTGTTAAGAAGAGGTAGCCCAGGGGCTGGGGATTTAGCTCAGCAGCATAAGCACCTGCCCTGCAAGCAGGCGGTCATGAGTTCGATCCCCGGTACCGATAAAAATGAAAAAGACAAAAAAAAAAAAAAAAAAAAAAGAGGTAGCCCAGGTGATCAGACTCAGCCCTTATTCATTGGTCAATTCCTGTTCAGTGCACTTGATGGAAAACAGGTATGATGACATGGTTACATGCTGAGCCAGTGCCCAAAGTGCCTGTGGCCTGAGGACAATAGCAGCAGAGTCTCTTCCATATGATGTGAGCATAGAAGTGACATCAGAACCAGGAACAGAGGAGAAAGCCTTGTTCTGGATTAAGGGACTGCAAGGCATAGAAACAAAAGTACCCAGCCTATAAGAGCGTCCAGCTGTTCTCACTTACTGGCTTATGGGAGTTTTTCTACATTATGATGGGTATGAAAGCTCCCGAAGTCCTGGCTTCAGCCTGAGCTCTCCATTCGCAGAGCAGGGGACCAAACTGCTCCATTTCCATTAGCATCAAAACACTATGACCCTGCAGCAAGGGTGGCAGCAA